TTGATCCAGACAACTTGTCCTCATTGGCGGATAAGATTTTAGATGATCCTATCCGTTTCCATGCAAACAACCCCTTGACCAGGCAAATCGATAGGTGTTTTGTGCCATTCGTTTTTCCTTGAGACCAATCGGCACTTCTTCATTTTCTCCGACCTTTCCTTAATTTTGTTTCTAGATCTTTTACTCCCAGCGACTTCTGCTAATTTTTTTATCTTAGACTTCACCTTCAACGATTTGTAACAGTCAAGCTTCACTCATTGTTCCACGCCAAGAAATTCGACCTTCTTACCGGTGGAACCTCTAACGCCGTCAGCAAGGCTGTCGTTGACTTGTCGTTGCTCGAGCGAGATTTGTCAATGGAACAAAACGTACCTTTTTCTATTCTAATCGGTTTTCATAATCTTATTTTAGTATATCATCGTGCAGGGAAAAGATAAGAAAGTCGTCAAAGTCCAAGTTCAATGTGGTCAAGTGAACGAATACACTCTGCGACGTGCATTTCAGCTTGATAAAGGATTGGCAGTTTCACTTTGGAAAGATGACTTGTTTCTGGGGTGAGTTTTAAACATTGTGTGATTTGATGGTTTGATTAGTGAATAATTGCATTAATTTAGGGTCCGTCCCGAAGGTGACGATTTTATTTATGAACTCGGCGACAATTGGAAGGGTGGTCAAACTTATAAGCTTGAATGGGAAGGAGAACGTGGGTATCGACCGTCGACTGCAATCGTGAGAGCTCCCGGCTCTTCAGCTGAACCTCGCCATGAATCGCCAGATCCCTAAGGTAAAAAGACAATTCCAAGCTTATACAATTCATTGGGAGTATTACCATTTTGGACTAGATTTATTTAGTGATGAGATCTCTTGCACCTACTAAATTCTATCAATTTTAGTTTCTTCAACGCCACTTCCAATCCCCGAAACGATAAACAAATGGATGTACTATGCTTTCGATCCGCAGATCGGAAAATCGACGGTGTTGTGCATCCATCCACGCTATTTCGTCGCATCCAGTCACGGGACACACCTTCAACTTCAAATCGGAAGTACTATTCGAATCTTTCCTGCAAAGAGTGAAACTAATGAAGGCGTCGGTAATGAAGGGCACGAAGTCGCCGTCTTGAACATCGAAGAGCGCTTGGGCTTCATTGTACTCCGAAGCGAAAAGGCTATTGGCCCGGTAAAATTTGCGAAACTGCCTATTTAGCGAGTATTTTTTTAGAAATCGCCGCGATTGGTTCCAGCTGAGAAATCTGAGAGCTTCCTCCTGGCAGGATTTGGCGACATGGACACTGGAACGCAGCAATTAGTCTACTCAACCGGAATCGTTCACTCAGTTGACCACTATTTCTGCCGCAGTGACAAATCGATGGGTCCATTAGTTTTGGGAACTGTTACGGGTTCGAGAGGAGATTCAGGTAAATATTTTGGTCGTATAACCCAAATGAAAAAGGTTCAAAAATGCTTATTTCTGTATGAAAAATTTTAGGCGGAGCATGTTGGAGCGCCAAAGGGCTTATTGGAATTATTTGTGGTGTTACTACCGTGCGAAAGAGGACCCACTCAGTTTCAGACGCAATTTCAAAAGAGGGAATCTCCAGTCCCACGAATTATATATCTCCGGCAACTCACATTAGACAATCTATCGTGGTAATATTTAGAAAATTAATTATTGAAATTAAATTTTAATTTCTAGCATGAATTGGGAAAGGAGAAAGCTGCTTCTATCAAAGCTTCTGTTGAGAAGGAGGGGAAGGTTTTTGTTGGTGGGCCGGCTTATGCGTTTATTGTGGACCTTGATGAACCATAGTCCTCGGGTATATTGGAAAGTGCTAATTTACCAAATGTAATGATTCTTTTTGTGATATTTCGCTCCTACGTTCCTATTGACCTTCTAGTCTCGCTTTTTGACTCTTCTTCGTTCTGATCTCAAATTTTTTCCACGTCTGAATTCAGTTGTCTCAGGTTTCACCGTGATGCAGTTGAGAAATTTTATTTATCTGTTACTACAAATTAATTGCATAAAACGGTCAACATTTACTTGTGGTGCATAAATTTATTTGAATAAATCTAGCTATGTAGAACACATCGTAAACAAAAAAAACACCAAGATCTTTCTAATACTAATAATGAAGGCGACGTCACAGAGGGGTAACAAGAAAAAGTACCGAGTTCAATCGGGTAACTGCTAAGAAATGGCTTTAAACTTTGGAGGGCTGGCAGCAATGAACCTGTAATCAAAAAATGGGCAACAGCGAGTGAAGAATGCATTCAATGATTGGAAAGGCCGGCTAAAATTGGAAAATGAAGATAAATTGCTTAGGATATTTTCCAAAATTCAAAATCCAAATTTCCAAAAAGATACACTTAGGATTTTGGTTTGTGTGTGAGACAAGTGTGAGACACAAAAATGGAGGACTGGAGATGTCCCAGTTTGAGCATTTGAGCACTTTCTTCAAAAGAAACCCATGTTGGTGTCAATAGAAAAGTTGTAGAGAATCAAAAATCAAGCTTATAGCCAAATTTTCAGAAAGATAGACTTGGTAGTTTCGCTTAAAATGCAAGTTTTGTGAAAATTCGTAAATTTGGGCATTTCTTGAAAACCAGTTTTTGAATCGTTCTGAAAATTTGGATATAAGCTTGATTTTTGATTCTCTACAACTTTTCCATTGACACCAAAATGGGTTTCTTTTGAAGAAAGTGCTCAAACTGTCACATATGACAATAGCCAGCAGTTTTCAGTTCACCAACTCAATAAATAAAAAATAATAATTAAAAAAGCAATTAAACAAATTGGGTTTAATTTCATTTTACTTTAAATCAATTTAAAGGAATTCTCTTTTGAAATAATAAAATTCTGACGACAGATGCCTTTCGGACCGTCCACCGTACACTTTGCCTTTCAGACGTTTCCGCGCCAAACGTCGGAAACTACCGTAACCCGACGCAATAAAACGACCCCGCCACAAAGAATTTTTCAGTCTTTCGTCGTGTTTTATTTTTTCAGGCTTTTTTTTCTTTTTTCCATTGACACCAAAATGGGTTTCTTTTGAAGAAAGTGCTCAAACTGTAACATATGACAATAGCCAGCAGTTTTCAATTCACCAACAACAATACAATTGCTTGTATTACAATTGTAAGTTTACTCTTAAAATTGCTGTTGAAGAAAAGATTTCAAAAAGAAAGCGGTTGACTTTTACTGACTTTTACTGACTTTTAAAGGACGTGAAAGAAAATTGGATGAATTGCGTAATCTAAAGAGGATTCATTCATCCAAAATCACCTCTTTTCACAGCTTTATAAGGACATCTATGGCCACTAATATGTACTTGTCAAATGGACTGTGATGTAATCGATGATCTTTCCCTTATGGTCACTGCATTGTTGTTTTTTTTGGCGTTGAACAAGAGCTTGAGATTTGATTGGGTTTAGTGTTTGAATGGAATTTGGTTTCATTTCGAATTGATTATTGATTTCGATTCATTTCCTTTCATTTCACAGCTTGCTTTGATTGATTTCAAATTTAAAACCTCAGATTTTGTCCTAAATTTAGATCAGGTTTAAAAACCACAAAAAGCCATAGATTTACATTTAAAACAAACAAAAATGACATTTAAAAGAAAGATATTCAAGCTATTAGCTGATCTCTTGTCTGTTTGTCAATGCTGGAAAAGAGTGCAAGGAATTGTTGGCGATGTATCGATCACTGAAGCCACTCATCAGGCTACTGGGTTGTTTAACTTTGTTGCTAATTTTGTTTTGGTAATTTCTATTAGTTTTTATATTAATAAAACATTGTAGATTAGTTAAAGAAACAGCGAAAAAAAGTGGCTTGTGATAACATAATTTAGTCGCTAGAGAAGCAAAAGCAAAAAAAAAGCCATGGCTAGACAGACCAGGTCATAAGCCAAGTTATATTGATTTATGGTCTAGTTTTGGCCTAGCTTTGGCTTAGCTTTGGCTTGGCTTGGCTTTGGCCTGGCTTGGCTTTGGCCTAGCTTTGGCCCAGCTTTGGCTTAGCTTTGGCCTAGCTTTGGCCTGGCTTGGCTTGGCTTGGCTTTGGCCTGGCCTGGCTTTGGTCTAAAATGCTCAATGCACAAGCTTTTACAGTTAACAGTGGCCTCTTGTTCTAACCCTAGCCTATAAGCAGGCCAGCTACTACTAACTGCTAAACTTTGTGATTCAAACCTGGCTTCTAGCTGGTTTTGCCTTTGCCTTTAGCCAGAAACTAGTAAAGCTTGTCTTTGCCCGGCTTCCGGCTAAAGAGCCTAGGGACTTTTTGAGTAAAAATATTTCAGACTAGGCAATGCAAAAGCCAGCTTCTGGCTAAGGCCAAGCTAATGTTCTTGAACTGATCTCGAAATTGCCTTGAACTCTAAACAGTATAATAAATAATGATTCTCAATGGATTTTTGAAAACAAAGCTAAGCGACACAGTGAGATTTCGTTAATCTCCACCATTTTCTCACACCACTTCCCCGGGTTGATTTATACGGTAAACGATCCTCTTATTGGGGTTCGTTCTTTTTCTTGTCCTAGCTCTTTTCTTTCTTTCCTTCTTTCTTTCTTTTTGTCTGTCTGTCTTTCTTTCTTTCTGTCTTTCTATCTTTCTGTCTTTCTTTCTTTCTTTTTCAAGCAGGTGTCCCTCCGAATACTTAGTAAAGTCATGCTGTGAGTGCCTCTTTTCCCTCGTTCTCTTAACGGATTAGGCACACAAGATTAGACAAGGGCATTTCTTCAACTACCAGATAGATCCTGACTTTCAAAATATTTGCGAAACGAATGGAAACATTGGAGTGTACTTTGTGACCAAAACTGTAAACACACCTTTCTGGTGCATTGAGTTCTTCATCTTTCTCACAATAACGATTTCAGAAAAGCGAAGACGTCAGTGTTAGACGGGATGTGCTTATAATTGAGCACAAGGTACACAGATCACAGTCACAGATCACTGTCAGACGTAAATGTCGGCTATGGCAAGCCATATTCATCTTCAATTACTCAATAACGATTGTCCCACCGATTGTCTATAATATAATAATAAAATCGAACTTTATTACCTTTTCTAAATCAACTGGTAATAAGAAAAGTTTTCGCAAATCGCAAATCAAAGAAGACAACGATTTCATTTGCATAAATGGGGGAAAAGAGAATAAATAAATAGTTGAGAATTGGTTTTGTGAAAAAAAAGAAAAGGAAGAAAGACAGAAAGAAATAAAGAAAAGAAAGACAGACAGAAAGGAAGAGAAGAAAGAAAAGAAAAGAAAGGAAAGAAAAGAATCACTGCGGGAAATCCCCATAAAATCAAATGAGAAAAGAGACAAGGATTACGGTAAAAAAGGGGATGATTTGTGACATTGCGGGTAGAAGAGATTTAAGAAAAAGTCCAGTTGAACAATTTTCAACATCTCGCTTAAAAGGCTTTTCGTGGGGGGCCCGAGAGATGAGCCGACGGCCTAGTGGATAAGGGGTTTGTCTACAAAGCGAGCCACGCGGCTTTTGCTCGGGTTCGAGCCCTCTTTCTTTTTTCTGTTTTCTGTTTTTAACGAAAAAGACCTGGAAACTAATTTTCATTCAATCTCGATCAAATCGAATCGAATTTAACCAAATTTGAGCTGATCCAATGAAAACTGGGGTTAGATAACGGTCATTTATCGAATGGCTTTTAGAAAAGGCTTTTTTCAAGGTATCCGTTAGCTTATTCATTAGTTAAATATCTTATTCATTAGCTAAATGCTTTAATAAATAGGTTTCGGATTACTGTAGTCTACGAGATTACTGTAATCTTCTTAATTCTATGCAAAAAAAAACATTAAAATGCAGTGATTAGAAAAAGTTTTAAGTGTACTTTGTGTTGTTGCAAAAACGCAAGGCTTCTGGTGCACTGTATTCTTTATTTCTTGCAGAACACTAAGGAAATGAAGAATTCCGTGTACCAGAAAGGTTTCGTTTACAAGAATACAAAGTACTAAGCGTTTAAGCTGGCTGTAAACACAACAACACCCTAGAATTCGAGTTTCAACGATTTTCAAAGATTTTCAACGATTTTCAATGAATTTCAGCTAAAGTACACTTTTCGAAGTGTGCTAGAAGGGGTGTGTTTATGTGTGAGCACAAAGCACACAAAGTACTTGATCACTTTGCTCCTTGGTGAAAAGTTTGCGTTGTACAAAGTCGACAAGCACACGGTTGGCCCAACATTTTTCTGCATAATCCCGTCGGAATCAATGGCAAGAATGGGATAAACGGGAAATGGGAAACACGAATTGATGGCGAGGATTGGGGAAAGAATTGAGTGGAAATTTGTGAGGGAATTTGTGAGCTCGGTAGAGTTTCCGCTTTTATCTCTTGTTGCACATTCGTTTGATCGGTTTGAGTGGAAAGTGGGGTCTGGAAAGAATCAAAAATTCAGGAAAAAATCAGAAATTCTTATAAATCTAATCCTACTAATCGTTTTTCTATTAGTTTTTCTAAGAGACTAAGAACAGAGAAAAAAGAACTACCGTAATCCTTGGAGTTGAAGATTGAGTGGGAATGGGAAGATCGCTTGGTGGCACATCTTCTTTGAATTGACTTTGCTGAAAGAGTTTACAATAGAGAAAGTGAATAACGAATGGAATAAGATGAAGAAAATGAGCTGAAGAAAATGATATAAAGATCACAATTTGAATTTAATCATTTGAATACAATATTTCAATGATATTAAAGCTGATTAAGCGTCAATAATATAACTTTTCAAAACAGCGTCGTTTTGACGGCCAAAAACGGTCAAAAACATGCGTTTACGCTCAATTTTCTATGTTTTTCCTTATTTTCATTGAATTTAGAATGAAATTACCGTAAATACTGTAATAGTACCCCAGCCCCATAATGACGGCCGGAGCATCGCGTAGTCTAGCTTTGAACGAATTTTTCTCGACACTGGTTTATGCTACAATGCTCGCTTAGGTATCAAAAAATAGCCCTGAATTTCAGCTATTTTTTGATACCTAAGCGCGCCTTGTTTATCAAGAACTGGTCGATTACGGTAGAAAGGGCAAGGTCGGGAAACTGATGGGATTGCTGGATAGGGAAGCGCTTGGGGAACTTGGTATGAGATTTAACAAGTCATTTGTTGTTCTATGAGACGAAATAGGGTTGAAAGTACGCTAGTACGTTTGAAAGAAGTACGGCAGCTTTCCTAGAAGTACGGTAGCTTTTCTAGAGGTACGGTAGCTTTCCTAGAAGTACGGTAGCTTGAATATCTCAAAATTCCTATGGCATTTCACTATGGTAATTGGTAATTCCTACCGTAAATACTGTAATAGTACCCCACCCCCATAATGACGGCCGGAGCATCGCGTAGTCTAGCTTTGAACGCGTTTTTCTCGACACTGATTTATGCTACAATGCTTGCTGAGGTATCAAAAAATAGCTGAAATTCAGGGCTATTTTTTGATACCAAAAGACGGAGCATCACGTAGTCTAACTTTAAACGCATTTTTCTCGTCATCCTTTTATAATGACGGCCGGAGCATCGCGTAGTCTAGCTTTGAACGAGTTTTTCTCGACACTGGTTTATGCTAAAATGCGCGCTTAGGTATCAAAAAATAGCTGAAATTCAGGGTTATTTTTTGACACCAAAGACGCATTTTTTGAAAGTACGAGCGCTTTGAAAAAAAATGAAATACTAAAAAACTTTTGCGACTACGCGACTGTACGATGGGGGTGGGGTGCTATTACAGTATTTACGGTAGCTACAGTATTTACGGTATCTGTTGAACATTTTTTCAGCCGTTTAAAACAAATCTGAGATGAGAAAATATCAAAAAACAAAAAAAAACGGCTTCAAAAAGAGATTAAGACTTTTCTTAAAGCTTTTCTTGACATGATTTCTATTTTAAGTAATCAAAAAGTATTCAAAATGTAGATAATCTTATTCTATATTTAATAAGGATTACAAAAAACATAGAAACTTGAGCGTATCATACTGTAAAGTTGTTTGTAAACGGCTTTGTTTTGACGATCTCTTTGTTTTTTTGGTTTTTGCTCAATTTCGACATGTTTTTAAAGAAATGATATTCAGTTAAACAGCTCAAAATCTTCAGTACTCAGTTGATTAACTGAATATCTTTAAAGGGAATTTAAAAGATTCGAAAGAAATTTGAATTTTCTTACTGATGAGCTCGAGAGCGAACGCAAGTGGGCATTCTCGGAGACGAGCTTTTCGTTGAGTTGAATGAGTTGACGAATTCTGGGAGTTAATTTATGAAATTTAGACTCCTCTAGCACTTTAGACCATGTTTAGGCTCCTCTAGCACTTATCTTATCTTCTAGTTTCATTTTAAAGTCTTTAATTATTGCAGCAATACTTTTTGATTATCAAACACCACTTTTTCAATTAACAACCGAACTTTGAGCTCAAATTTCTTCGTGTTCAGCTTTCCAATTGAAATAGTTTTTATATCAATCGATAGAGAAAGACTTGGCGCATCTAATGATACCAAAAACATTAAAATTGAACATCTCAACGCGGAGAAATTTGAGCTCAAAGTTAGATTTGTTAATTGGAAAATGGACGGGGTGACGGACCTTTTATGAGCTCAAATTTCTTGGTGTTCAGCTGTTCAATTGAAATCTTTTTAATATCATTAGATGCGCCAAATCTTTCTCTATCGATTGATATAAAAACTATTTCAATTGAACAGCTAGACACGAAGAAATTCCAGCTCAAAGTTTGCCAATGGGAAAAGGGGCGGCGCCCTGCCATTAGCAATCTAACTTTGAGCTCACATCTCTTGGTGCACAGCTGTTCAATTTAAATGTTCTTGGTATCATTAGATGCGCCAAATCTTTCTCTATCGATTGATATAAAAACTATTTCAATTGAACAGCTGAACACGAAGAAATTTGAGCTCAAAGTTGGATTGTTCATGGGAAAGGGACAAGCTCGTTTCAAATGTCTCAGAATCATGCTACTTAGCATTACTGATTACAAAACTACTGTAATTAGCAATGGGATTACTGTAAACTAGATTACTGGCTTACGGTAGTCATTATAGGGTACTGTAGCTGACAAGACAAGGCTAGACAAGGCTTAGAAAATCTCACCGATTCGCGGCTAGCATCAGCGTGTTGATTTTACTCAAGCGACGAGCACCAGGGCCATCCTGGAATATAGAGGCTTTAGATAGAGGCTTAGACTACTGTAACTTTAGATAAACTACTGTAACTCTAGATAATCAACTATAACTATTCTCTACTATATCTTAGTCAAACAATGATCTTTACCGTGTAAACTTTTGGCAAGCAACTCCGCAAATCGTCCATTGCATCGTTTAAATCGTGCATTCGTTTGCGCTCTCTTGAGTTGATCGATGTGCGCAAGACGTTTTGTTCCTAGAATTCTAGAAATTAAATCTCTAGAAACTCTAGAAACTCTAGAAAACTCTAGAAATTAAATCAAATTAAAATAAAACATGTAACTTGTAAAAAAGGAAATGAAAGATTCAGAAACCAGCTGCAAAAACCGCGTCTTTCTTTTGTCTTTCGCCTTTCGTCATTCATCTTTCGCGCAGTTGCTGTTGCGCAGTCGCTGTTGCGCAGTCGCTTTTGCGCAGTCGCTTTTGCGCAGTCGCTGTTGCGCTTGTCTACAGCCTACACAACCCGGGTTCGACTCCCGGTTGGGACTTTTGCTACGACTCCCGGTTGGGACTGATACGAGGCTTAGAATTCTATGCAACTGCAGTTACTGTAGTTACATAGAATTCTAGCCTAAGAAAATAGAGATTATGTAAAGCTCTGAGAGCTGAGAAGAGTACAGAAGGCAATTTTAAGGCAAGCCAGACCATAAAAGGGTAAAACTTAGGTTCAGCCTCACGTCACGTACTTTCTTGCTTTATCGTGGAGTCTAGCCAGTCCAACCGGATCAATGATCAGGCGCAAAACAGATTCGATCCGATTAGAGCTGACTTTAGCTAATCTGACAAATCCTTGCTTAATTTGAAGTCTAGTGAAACCTTGTAACATTCATTCCGCGAGACGCTTTTTTCCCACTTTTAGATATTAGACACTTTTAGATACTTTCCTTTCCTTTTAGATATTAGACTTTCCCTAACCTCTTCATTTAACCCCTCCATTCGCCTCTTCGCTTCACTCTCCGAGTTCTTTCGACGCACATATGGCTCAAGATCGTCATCGTTAAGTAATTTCTAAAGATATTCAGCTAAGAGTAACAGCTAACATACCGTAAATACTGTAATAGTACTGTAATACTGTAATAGTACCCCACCCCCATAATGACGGTGCGGAGCATCGCGTAGTCTAGCTTTGAACGCTTTTTTCTCGACACTGGTTTATGCTACAATGCGCGCTTAGGTATCAAAAAATAGCCCTGAACTTCAGCTATTTTTTGATACCTAAGCGAGCATTGTAGCATAAACCAGTGTCGAGAAAAACTCGTTCAAAGCTAGACTACGCGATGCTCCGGTCGTCATTATGGGGACGGGGTACTATTACAGTATTTACGGTAGGCTAGTTTGATTTCTTTTCAATTTCTTCAATTTCTTCAATTCCTTTCAATTCCTTTAAACAATCATTGCCTACTCACTTCAACAAAACTTCCTCGACTTGATGGAGATGGAGTCTGATTGTCAGATCCTGAAGTGGACATCGATACTAAAAATAAAGGTTTACAGGGAAAAAAACTCGGAAATATTGGAATAAGAATCATAGAACGATCGTGGAGAACGATGGAGAACGGTTTTGCTAGATTTTGGGCATGAGAGAAGGGAAGGGGGAGAGACAAGGGAATGCCTAGACTCCGCCTACTCGATCACTCTCTTGTAAACTCTCTTTTTCTGTCATTGCTTTAAAAAACAACCCTTCTTTTACTTAAAAGGATCAATTTCAAATCATTCAAATCATTCAAATCATTCAAATATTAGGTAAATCCAGCTTCCCCTGTCTCTTGTCCAGTTTTCAAACGTTTTTCAGTCCAATCAACCTCTAAAAAGTGATAAATCTAATAAGAAAGAAGTGCGTTTTGTTTAACACAAAGTAGGCTCTAGAAAAAGACAAGGTTACGGTAGCTTTTAAAAGCTAGCAAAGTTTTAGAAGGCAGATAAAGAAAGCAGCCAGATAAAGAAGAGAGATGAGTGCTGAACATCTTGCTCCTTCGGTCTTTTGCATTGTCTTTTTCAATGTAATTGCCAGGTTGGGGCCAAAGGGCACAACAGCCAAAGGCCAACAGTCAAGCACTCCTCCATCTCTTATCCCATTTTTGACCATAATCCAATCCACTCGCATTCATCCAGACAACAGCATTATACAATTACAATTGGTCCATAGGATAACAACTGGTGTTCGAGCTATTCAAGAACTGGAATCAATGAAGATTGGTACAAGATATTCCGTTGTCTGTAGAAAGTGTCTTAACGGTTACAGTAATACGGTGGTACTGTAGCCAAGTACAGTAGCCAAGTACAGAAGCCAATACAGCAGCCGGTACAGTAGCCGGTACAGTAGCCGGTACAGTAGCCAAGTACAGTAGCCAAGAACAGTAGCCAAGTACAGTAGCCGAGAACAGTAGCCAAGTACAGTAGCCAAGAACAGTAGCCAAGTACAGTAGCCAAGAACAGTAGCCAAGTAGTAGTATGGTAGCTACGCGGTAGTTTAGCCAGGAATATGTCCGACCGTCCAGGCCAGACCAGGCTTGACTTGCCCTGACTTTGATCTGACCCTGGCCCTAGCCTGGTCTACCATAGCCTTATCCTAACCTGGTCTGACTCTGGCCTACTCTAGCCTTACCCTAACCTGGTCTGATCCTGGTCTACCCTAGCCTTACCTTAACCTGATCTAACCTTGGTCTACCCTAGCCTTACCTACCGTAACCTTGCGCTGGTCTGCCCCTGGTTATATCCCAGTTTCTCAGTTTCTTCGCCTAAACTAGAGTAAACCAAACAGTAAGTTACCCTATAAAAGGTGTTCGGGCCGATCTATCGGTGGCGGTAGTCTAGTGGATAGTGTGTGAGTGCGTTGGTTTTCTTTAGTCCCTGGTTCGAATCCACTACCGGCCAAACCTCTATTTTTGTTAGAAAAACAGAAAAAACTTACTTTTCTATCAATAATCTTTTAAATAATATTAATTTGATGCAAAAAATGTTCTGAATTTTGAAGAATTGAGCAAGCAGCCTTTTTGGTTATCGATTTATTTATTTATTTATTTAAAACAATCACAACTTTAAAGCACCAATATGTTCATTTTATTGTAATTTGACGAATTGATTAGAGCCAGTGTACACAGGAATTCGCAATTCTCGTTCGTCGATCATTTTTCGTGGCACAAAACGCCCACCGAGATAGTGGGAACCCTGGAATTTGATGAAAAACATTTTAAGCAATGTAAAATGTTTTTTTCCGTACTTTTAACAGTTAAATATTTAGCAAATAAATCCTAAATGACTGTCGGATTTGGGTTTTTGCTTAATTTTGACAGTCAATTTAATGTAGGATTTGAATTTTCGAATTCTAATTGACTGACACCAAATCTTTGCACTAATCCTTATAAGAAACAAGGTGTGAACAAAAGTCACCCAATGGGCAGGTGGCAAATGTAAATGTGACTGTGAATAGCGATGAAATGATAAAGAACTGGATAGGTTTCTTAAATATTCAACAGATCAAGGCTAAAGTCTTATTTGGCATTGATCTCTAACCGGTCAAACCAGGGTAGGTAAATCTATCTACAATAAAAACTAAACTAAATCTAAAAAAAACATTATACAGATTTAGATTTAATTATTAGACTTAAAAGATGAATTTTTTTATTGTATACCTACCGTATTTCCTCTAATCCAAACGCCCCCCGCCCCCTTGCCAACTTTGGCCACCCTTCGTTCTCAGTCAATTTGCCAAAAATTTGAACAAATTCAAAAACGTTTTATATATCAAAAGGTAGAGGACATTAAGGGCTTTCTTTTGATATATTCAACATAAAAATATCTCAAAATGGGGCTGAGAACGAAGCGTCCAAAGTTGGTACAAGGGGGGCTTTATTAGACTTAAAAGATGAATTTTTTAATTGTATACCTACTGGATAGGTTTCTTAAATATTCAACTATTTGATTCCAGTATTCCAAGCCCAAGGTAAGGCTTACAAGTGCTGTAATTTGGAAAGCTTACAAGTGCTGTAATTTGGTAAAGCTTACAAGCTTTCTTTCCCTATCCCCTTCAAAATCTCAACATTTTTCCACTGGTAAATTTAGTTTCTCTTTGGTAATTAACAATATTCCTATCAATTACATTAGTAAATTAGATTTTGTTAGAGATTTAGGTGTCCACATCTCTCCCCCTTTTAATTTCACTAAACATATTGAAATCATTTGTCGAAAAGCTTCTTTTGTTTCTAGCCGTATTCTCAAATCAATTGTTCATCCTAAAAATGCTTGACGACTTATATCCGGCCCATCTTAGAATATGCTTCTATTGTTTGGTCTCCCCGCGCACAAGTCTTTATTGAACGCTTGGAGAAAATTCAGAGGAGGTTCACAAAAGTCGCTTTATGGAAAATTGACTATTCTAAATATTCTAGCTTTACTTATGAGGAGAGGCTTGCTTTTTTTTGAACTAAAAACTTTACAGCATCGTCGCTTTGTCATTGATTTAGTCGAAACTTTCAAAATCCTCCGTTGTAAACAGATTAGCCCTTTGTTTATAGACTTTTTCAAATTTAAACCGCGGTCAGGGCCCAGAAGTGGCTCATTCCTTTTGCAAATTCCCTTTGCTTCCAATGCCTCTTTATCAAATGCATTTCCCGTTAGAGCCGCTAGATTATGGAACTTGCTCCCAAACGACATACGAGAAATTCAGTCGCTTTTCATATTCAAGAAACGTATCGATGCTTTAGATCTAGTGGCTCTTTGCCGTAAGTAATTGGCTTATTGATTTCAGTATGTATTGTATGATTAAGTATCACTGTGCATTTCTCTATGATTTCTTTCACTTTATCGTTTGAATAAAGTATTATTATATTATTATAAGTGCTGTAAGTAGGTCAGGCTTACAAGTGCTGTGGCTTATAAGTATTGTAATTAGGTAAGGTTTATAAGTATTGTACTTAGGTAAGGCTTACAAGTACTTTGCTAGTGTCTAGAGCCTTGTAAGACCAAATCAAGGCAGATTTTTAACTGATTTCTGATCGTGTTAGGACCCAGAAACTAGGATCTGACTCAGGATTTACTAAATATTTAGCACCACCGCTGCGGTTTACATTCAACATTACAAATCTACATCCAAAAGTATTGGGTTGGTGAATTGAAAACTGCCGGCTATTTTCATATGTGACAGTTTGAGCACTTTCTTCAAAAGAAACCCATTTTGGTGTCAATGGAAAAGTTGTAGAGAATCAAAAATCAAGCTTATATCCAAATTTTCAGAATGATTCAAAAACTGGTTTTCAAGAAATGCCCAAATTTACGAATTTTCACAAAACTTGCATTTTAAGCGAAACTACTAAGTGTATCTTTTTGGAAATTTGGCTATAAGCTTGATTTTTGATTCTCTACAACTTTTCCATTGACACCAACATGGGTTTCTTTTGAAGAAAGTGCTCAAATGCTCAAACTGGGACATCTCCAGATCTCCAGTCCTCCATTTTTGAGTCTCACACTTGTCTCACACACAAACCAAAATCCTAATACGAAAGAGGAATCCGCAAATTGCCTGTAAAATGAGCAGAAGTCGTCAATAATAATGGAAATTATTTGGAATGAATTGATGGTTTTATGTTGAATAAATTTTAGTTCAAAGTCCCACAGTTTTCAATTGACCAACACTAATATCACTAATTCACTAATATTCACTAAAAACTAAACAAAATCTTAAAAACATTTAGATTTAGATTTAATTATTAGATTTAAAAGATGTTTTTATTGTATTAGATTATTAGAATTAAAAGACTGGAAATGTTATCCAAAGTTATCCAAAGAAAGAAAATGGAATAGAGAAAAAGCTTTATGGGAAAGCTAGAGAAAAACACACTAGGAAAGCTAGAAAGAGAAATGTTTATAAAAAAGATAAAGCTTGAGTATCAAATGACCAAAAGTGATCAATTAATTAGCTGGGAAAAGCTTAAAGACTTGATAGATTTTATAAAAACCAGAGCCATGGACCGAAAAAAATAGCTCTACATTTTCTTGTAGCTGTAGAATTTTTAAACTTTGATAAATACAAGATAGCCAGCCATCCTTTATTTAGTTTACTAGTTTGTTAGTTAGCTAGTTTACTAGTTAGCTAGTTAGCTAGTTTACTAGTTAGCTAGTTAGCTAGTTTACTAGTTTACTAGTTAGCTAGTTAGCTAGTTTACTAGTTTGTTAGTTTACTAGTTAGCTAGTTAGCTAGTTTACTAGTTAGCTAGTTTACTAGTTCACTAGTTTGCTAGTTAGCTAGTTTACTAGTTTACTAGTTAGCTAGTTAGCTAGTTTACTAGTTTGTTAGTTTACTAGTTAGCTAGTTAGCTAGTTTACTAGTTAGCTAGTTAGCTAGTTTACTAGTTTGTTAGTTTACTAGTTAGCTAGTTAGCTAGTTAGCTAGTTTACTAGTTCACTAGTTTGCTAGTTTACTAGTTTACCTTTATATTTTTACTACCTTAAAATATTGCATGCACAATTTCGGAGCTGTTAACGAGATGACAGCCTTGGGCGTGAAATGGGGCACTTCTGAAGATGGCGCTCCTTTCTCGACGTCCCAACATGAAAAGTGAAAGATTTTGAAAAGAATCAGAATACATCTCAAGATAATTATCTTAGTTTTCATATTTTGATCTTGTCGCACAGTCGTGAAGACGCTTGTCTACAGCCCACACAACCCGGGTTCGACTCCCGGATGTGTTGGGACTTTTGCTTTTTAAAAATAGAAATATACAATGCAAAACTACATAGAATTCTAAGTCAAACAAAATAAAGATAAAGAAAAATCTCACCTGATGGAATGTCAATCGAGAAAATCGGTCGTTCACTTGCTTGCACTTTTCTGATGATCTCGCCAAATGGTTCACGGATTGGAGGTCTGAAATCAAGACAAGATCGTGCTTTGCTTCTATTTGTACTTGTAAGCGTACTTGTAAACGTACTTGTAAACGTACTTGTAAGCGTACTTGTAAATGTACTTGTAAGCGTACTTCTAAACGTACTTGTAAACCTACTTGTAAACCTACTTGTAAACGTACATGTAAACGTACATGTAAACGTACATGTAAACGTACATGTAAACGTACTTCTAAACGTACTTGTAAACCTACTTGTAAACGTACATGTAAACGTACTAGTAAACGTACTTGTAAACGTACAGTACTGGACAATGAAATATCATATTTGAAAAACGATCGTCACTTTCGGGCGTCTGTAACTCCCTTGTCTTTGAGTTTAAACTATTAGTGTTATACATTTTCTGAAAGCTCTTTTCAAGGGCTACACAATGGTAACATTAATATTCAGAAATATGGTATTTTTTGGCGCATTTCAGCCCGCACAAGATGGGATACTCAAAATTGTTGATTTTCAAAGCTGTTTTTCTTTATGATAGAGTGCTGGAATCGCTCTCAAACTACGATTTTCGGAATCTACGCAAAAATTTACCTTAGAATAATCAATATTTGTAAAATTTTATCAAAGTTTCATAGCGAAAAAAACCACATTTGCGAAATTCTCACTTCTTGAGCGGTCAAGCGAGGAAGAAGCTGAAAAACAAATATTTAACAAAAATGTAGTAAAATGAAAAAGTAGCAAAAACAGTAACAATAATGAAAAAACTCCAGAGCACACAATGGGCTTTCAGTATTTTGTAGCAAATCCTTTAGCGTCGATTACAGCTTGACATGATTGCATTGAATCAAGAAGATTAGTGATGAAACTGACGGGGATTGAATTCCAAGCCTGCTCCAATTGTGCAAACCTCTCATCGGCATTGCCGGCTTTGAGATTCTTAGTTCGTCGCTCAAGTTTCGACTTTTCGAACTTTAGATCGTTGTAGAACCCTGGAGATGGTTGACTGAGAGACGGTAAACTGTTCCGATAACTGGTTCTGGCCAAGACCTTGCTTTTTGCCGTTAAGGATTGCTTGTTGTGTAAGCACATGAAGATCCTTGCATCCTCGTTGCTTTCCCATTGCACCTAAAAACAGTAATTATTATCATTTTACCCAAGGCAAAGAAAGAAAAACAAACTCAAAGTTGCACGCAACACAATTTTTGTAAAGAATCGCTCAAGAAGTGAGAATTTCGCAAATGTGGTTTTTTTCGCTATGAAACTTTGATAAAATTTTACAAATATTGATTATTCTAAGGTAAATTTTTGCGTAGATTCCGAAAATCGTAGTTTGAGAGCGATTCCAGCACTCTATCATAAAGAAAAACAGCTTTGAAAATCAACAATTTTGAGTATCCCATCTTGTGCGCGCTGAAATGCGCCAAAAAATACCATATTTCTGAATATTAATATTATCATTGTGTAGCCCTTGAAAAGAGCTTTCAGAAAATGTATAACACTAATAGTTTAAACTCAAAGACAAGGGAGTTACAGACGCCCGAAAGTGACGATCGTTTTTCAAATATGATATTTCATTGTCCAGTACTGTACATGTAAACGTACTGGTAAACGTACTGGTAAACGTACTGGTAAACGTACTTGCGAACGTACTTGTAAACGTACATGTAAACGTACATGTAAACGTACTAGTAAACGTACTTGTAAACGTACATGTAAACGTACATGTAAACGTACTAGTAAACGTACTTGTAAACGTACATGTAAACGTACATGTAAACGTACATGTAAACGTACATGTAAACGTACTTGCAAATGTACTTATAAATGTACTTCTAAACGTACTTTTAAACGTACTTGTAAATGTACTTCTAAACGTACTTCTAAACGTGCTTCTAAACGTACTTCTAAACGTACATGTAAACGTGTAAGTTGTAAAGTGTAGCCGAAAAAATATATGCTATTCTTTTGATACGATAATCTTTACTGTAACTTTTCATCTTTCAATGTCAACCAAATGTTTTAGGGCCATCTGTTGATGAAAATTGGTGAACAGACGATTCTCTGAACACTTGACCAATTAGGCATGATAGCCCGCTCATTCAACCACTTGAAATCCACACTTGTGACTCAGTTTGATACGCTTTCGATATGGTAAAGGACCATGGGAAATGTTGGAGGGAATTTGACAATATGGGCAGAAGATTGTGTCTTTGAGAAATTGGGGACCAAAACTATCCTATTTTTCAGTATTAGTACAGTGCCATAGTACTCTAGTGGTAGCAGTAAGTAGCTAGTGTCCACTGGAACTAGTACTCTAGTACTCCAGCATTGTTCAATGCTTGAGTGTTCACCACCTCAGCACTGCTCTCGCTACCAGACTTTCTTTATCGCTTCCTACCGTACCCTAGTAATTTATCTAATAAATCATAGTACATAAATACCGAATAGATCTAAAGATCTAAACCTAATAGAGCTAAGGCTTTAAACCTAGTAGAGCTAAGGATTTAAACCTAATAGATCTAAAGATCTAAACCTAGTAGATCTAAAGCTCTAAACCTCATAGATCTAAAGATCTAAACCTAATAGATCTAAAGATCTAAACCTAATAGATCTAAAGATCTAAACCTAATAGAGCTAAAGATCTAAACCTAGTAGATCTAAAGATCTAAACCTAATAGATCTAAAGCATCGTATCTAGGCATGCCCTTTAACTTTAGCTCAAAAAAAACCATTAAGCCGTTAGAGTTTTTGGTTGCTTTTGAATCCTCTTCCTTTTGAATACGATAAAATTTTTGATAAGGTTTATAGATAAAGTTAAAAAATAAAAACTCACTTAAAAGAAAACCCAAAAAGCGCATCAACGACAATGTCAAATGAGGCGAGTTCTTGAGAAAGTTGTCTCTCAATTGGGATCTCCATTCCTTCACATTGAGCAACCAAGCCCTTCATCAGCTCATTTCTTGACTCTTTTGGATAAACGATTGTTGGTGAGTAGCCCTGGAAAGCTTTTGATTGATTTCTTAACGTTATCTGTCGTTGATAAGTCATTAAATGTCATTGTTCGGTCATTAAATGTCATTCAATCAACTTACAAACATTTGTAAATGACGTGCACAAACGAAACCATCACCGCCATTATTGCCTGGTCCGCAAAGTAGAAGAACTTTTTCTAAAATTGATCTAAAACATACAAAAGTGAATACAAATAAAGATAAGATTATGGTATTTTGAAGAAAAGCTCATGTTTTAGACTCTAAAACTTACTAGCTTCTGGCTTCCAATCATAAACAGCTTGAGCTGTAGCTAGTCCAGCCAACTCCATCAATTGCTCGACTTTAAATCCGAAACGATTAAACAGATCCTCATCGATTTTGATTGCCTCGTTTTGGCTATAATTTTTCAGGTTTAACAGTGTCCTAACAAAAGCAGAACCTAGCTTGTTATATAGCATAGCAACTTGCTAGTCTTGTAGTATAGCAACTTACCAGTCTTGTAGCATAGCAACTTACCAGTCGGCCACCGAGGCCAACTTTTCGAAGCAGTTTAACTTTGCCTTATCAAATCCCCCCAAAAATCTCTATTTTCCTTGCAATTGCAAAGAATTGGAAAAAAGTAATTACAGATCTAGATCCGGTAGCTCAAATTGGATATGATGAAGCAATCAAAGTTCAAAAGATTCATAATGACTCCATTTTCTTGTAAGTAGTTGGAAGATGTTTCAACGAAGCACTATAAGCCAGGGCAGAGTCAGTTTTGACCTATCTTTAGCCTCTTCTTATCTAGAAAAGCTTTTTATAGGGATTCTCCTGCTAGATCAGATCTAGTCCTTGGTTCTGGGAGACTTAAGAAGTCTGGAACAGGTTAGACTCAAGGAATAGGCTAGCCTAAGCTCAAGGAATAGGTCAGGCTAAGCTCAAGGAATAGGCTAGACTAAGCTCAAGGAATAGGCTAGGCTAAGCTCAAGGAATAGGTCAGGCTAAGCTCAAGGAATAGATCAGGCTAAGCTCAAGGAATAGATCAGGCTAAGCTCAAGGAATAGGCTAGACTAAGCTCAAGGAATAGGCTAGGCTAAGCTCAAGGAATAGATCAGGCTAAGCTCAAGGAATAGATCAGGCTAAGCTCAAGGAATAGGCTAGACTAAGCTCAAGGAATAGGCTAGGCTAAGCTCAAGGAATAGGTCAGGCTAAGCTCAAGGAATAGGTCAGGCTAAGCTCAAGGAATAGGCTAGACTAAGCTCAAGGAATAGGCTAGGCTAAGCTCAAGGAATAGGCCAGACTAAACAAAACCCACGTCAATGTCTAGCCTGAGCCTAGTCTTACCTGGCTTGACCTAGGCTCTAGAAAAACTCTTTGACTCTAGAACTCTAGTTTGGTAGATAATCAATCTAAAAACCCATTAGTTAAACAACTTTAATATCTAACAAAAAAAACGAACCCCAAGAAGCGAATCGTTGAGGTCATTTCTCTTCTCAAACTTTTACTCAAAATCGTTGGTTGAAGTCTTTTCAGAAAAAAATAGATTTTCATGTAAGATTATAGAATTTTTTAGCCCTTCAAATAAACAACAACAAAGAATCGTTGGTAAACAAGTGACACAGGGAAAAGGCGGGCTTTTGAAATTGCCTTGCTAAAGGGAAAAAGCTGCAGACAAAGGTAGACTCAATGAAATCATTTCACGTTTTCAATATTAAATTTAGATTTTCTGTTGTAAAATTTCAATGTTAATTTAATTTTATTGTTAAATGTGGGACCATATCAAAAGAGCGCTGTTTAAAAGAGCGCTGTTTAAAAGAGCGCCGTTCAAAAGAGCGCCGTTCAAAAGAGCGCTGTTTAAAAGAGCGCCGTTCAAAAGAGCGCTGTTCAAAAGAGCGCTGTTCAAAAGAGCGCCGTTCAAAAGAGCGCTGTTTAAAAGAGCGCCGTTCAAAAGAGCGCTGTTTAAAAGAGCGCTGTTTAAAAGAGCGCTGTTTAAAAGAGCGCCGTTCAAAAGAGCGCTGTTTAAAAGAGCACCGTTTAAAAGAGCACCGTTTAAAAGAGCGCTGTTCGAAAGAGCGCCGTTTAAAAGAAATAAAACGGGTAGTTGAAAATTGTCGACTTTTCTCTATGCATAACTCCGTTCGTTTGCTTCCACAAGCTCTGATATGTCAAAATTTGAATTCTATGGCCAAAAATTACCCAGAAAACAAATTTTGGAATGGAAATTGGTTAATGTTAGCTTTGGGCTTGTTTCAAATGCGAAAAAAGGTGCGCAAATGCGATGCGCAAAAAAAAAAGGTCGCATTTGTCCCACTCCCAGAAAAGAAAAAAAATGCTCTTTGGATATAGTCCTGTAAATATTAATTTTCGCACGACGTCGCATTCCAATTGACGTCGCCACCATTTGGAGGTAGTCGATGGGAGCGCCGCGTCGTCGTTTCTTTTTTTTTTTCAAATCATTTGTTTTTTTTCGGATTAATTGAAAAGTATTGTTTGGCGCGATAAATTTTGTTTTCCACTATATACAGTGCGTTTCAAATTCTTAAACGCACCCTCTAAAATAGCGGATTTTGCATTTTGACCACCGCTACAACTATTAAACTTTTTCTATGAGAAAGAGCATGTCTTAAAACCTAAATAACACGAAAAAGAAACATACTATAAAAAGTAAAAATTTTCAAAATAGATACTTTTTGCTAAATCGACCGTTTCAAATTCTTAAACGCACTATGAAAATATTGTTATTTATCGACACAAATATAAAATCAAAGGTTACAAATCAAAACTAATAATCTGTACACGCACCAGAACGATTAATTACTTGAAAAATGCGGTCTGGCATTGAATTGATGAGGTTTTGAAGAGCAGAGACGTCGAGATCGCTCCAGGCCGAAAAAATTGCTGCTTTAAGTGTAGAAACGTCTTGAAACTGACGATGATTCTTGTAGACAGCTCGGACAAGTATTTCCCATAAATTTTCTATCGGATTGAGGTCAGGAGACTGAGCGGGCCAGTCCAAAGTTGCAATGTTGTTGCGGTTCAGCCAGTCTCGGGTGTCTCCGGCTCGATGAATTGACGCATTGTCGTATTGAAACAAGTCCGGAACGGTTGGATTTAGGAGCCAAAATGGCAACAAGCAATTGTTCAAGATATCTATCTAGTCATCCGATTCGAAACCATCTTCAGAGCGACCGTTCCATCAGCACAAAAGGCGGCCCAAACCATCACAGAACCACCGCCAAAGTTTCAAGTGCCAAACACCATCGGATCACGTCGAAGATCCCTCCAATAGTAGCCAACGCCATCGGGGCCATCCAAATTCCATTTCTTCTTATCGGAAAAGATCACCTAAACGCAAAAAAATAATAAAGCATAAGCGGCTTTCCAACCATAGACCAATTTTGATTCATATGAGTCTTGGCGAAGGCCAATCGGGCTTTCTTGTGCAAAAGCTTCACGGTCGGTTGGATGTTCAATAATTGTTGATCGATATGTGCGTTTTTCCTTGATGGCTCGCCAAATTTTCGACTTCGAAGAGTCGATTTTCCGTTCCGTTTTCACTTCATTGATCGTTTTTCCTTGGATGTTGTTCACAATATGGCGTCTAGCTCGCGGTGTAAGCTTTGGTTTTGGTCCTGGCTTCTTCTTTGGTGTAGAAACGAACTCGGACTTTATATAATTTCGCATGGCAGAGTCGGATCGGCCCAAATTTTTGCGATTTTCCTTATTGAGTCGCCAATACTCAAACGGGCATCAATCTGGCCTTTCTCATAATCCGTGAGCAGCTTTCCGTGTGCCATTTACCTGAAAAATGAACAAAAATTATAAATTTAATAAATAAATACGCACAACAAAACGAAAAATTTCAAATAACAACAGCAAAGGCGGGTGCGTTTAAGAATTTGAAACGGTTGATTTAGCAAAAAGTTTCTATTTTCCCCCCTCCTCTTTTTCTTTTGAATTTTTCTTTCCCCCTCTGTTTTCTTCTTTTCCTTGTTATTTAGTTTTTAAGACATGCTCTTTCTAATAGAAAAGATTAATAGTTGTAGCGGGGGGCCAAAATTGCAAAATCCGCTATTTTAGAGGGTGCGTTTTAATTTGAAACGCACTGTATTATGTCGTAGCCGTTTAAGAAATTCAGCCGCTTACGAATGTATCTGGGCATCCAATCAAAAAGTCACCCACATAAAAAATGTTCATAATACATATATTTTATAATAAATTTTTGAAATTAGCTCATTTGGTTGAGTAGAGTAGAAAATTTTTTTGAGCCCCCAAAGTTTAAGGTCAAAAATGCCCTAAAATGGCTATAAAAATTTTCTTCTCAGCCAAAAAACTTTGTCTAATAGCTCATTTTGTAGCCAATTTGATGTAGATTTTTAAAGTAAAGCTAGATTGAACATTTGTTTTTCAAAGCTAGGAGAAAAAGGGCGAGGAACGACTTCAGTTGAACTCGGTCGCTATTTTCACATTTGAGATTTGCCCTGAATTTGTTCCTCGCCCACTTTCAACGAAAAATTGTTTTAGATGGCTTTACTTTAAGAATCTACATCAAATTGGCTACAAAATGAGCTATTAGACAAGTTTTTTGGCTGAGTAGAAAATTTTTTATAGCCATTTTAAAGCATTTTTGAACCTAAACTTTGGGGGCTCAAAAAAAATTTTCTACTGAACTAAATGAGCTAATTTCAAAAATTTATTATAAAATATATGTATTATGAACACTTTTTATGTGGGTGACTTTTTGATTGGATGCCCAGAAATACCCTCATTCGTTAGCGGCTGAATTTCGTAAACGGCTACGACATATATAACGTCGTTCATCTGTTCGTCCAAGGCTTTTGTTCGGGGAATTGAGCTAGGGGCTGAAAATTTCCATCTTAGGGTCAAAAAAATTCACTGATTCCGAATCTGAAGTCCGTTTGTAAAAACGTCATTTCTCGCCGAGTTATTCGACTTTAAAATTTACAACGGCCGACCAATGTGCATTTTACGCCCAATTTCCATTTAAGAGGAGGAATTTAATGCAAATTTTAGCAAAGCAACCGCCTAGCGAATACCCAGCGCGGCTAGTGAAATGAGAAAGCAATCTATTTCCATTTGAGAGCTGAGTGGAGAGTCCGAATCACAATGAAGGCCAAAAGTAACTGTATGATGGTTTGCGGAGTTGAATAAAAACAAAAACAAAGCAAGGCTCATCTTCTGGATCGTTACTATATTCAGTTCTAGCCCAAATTTCAGCCTACCCATTACCCATTACCATTACCTGGAGGTTATCTAAATGATTCATGCATCCTATTCTTCAAACCTTTAAACTCATCAATTTTCAATTAGCTTTTCTTGACGTCATCGACTAATCCGCTAATCCTCTATAAGATAATACATTATTTTTTAGGAGTTGTGCTTTGTTTTCAGCCAACCAGGGGGAAAGAGGAGAGGCAAAGAGCCGAACACAGGGGTCCCCTGCATTGATCGGGCTGCGGGTGGAGTGGGTAGAGAGTAGAGAGGGCAGACCGATCGGCTAGCCTCGAGCGCCGAGGGGAGAGGCTGGGGGCTGGCTGGGGGTAGTGCGCAAGAAATAGAGACGCAGCAGCGCCAGTGTCACTCCCTCCCTTCAGCATAGGCATGTGGTGTGTGTCTCGTGGCGGCCCCCTCTACCGACAACCGATAGCCCACTGCTGAAGGCACCCCCATCCAGCCCAGCTTTGAACGTCGATCGCTTCATTTTATTTAGATCTGTTTTTAACAAATACAGACTTTAGCTGTATAAGCTAAAGTCATTTTTTCTTGGTTGCCTTTCGGAGCTATCTATGTTAGCTATAGATTTGTACCCAAAGCTTTTCTTTAAAAACTAATAACGGATTCGAATTCGTTGACACTGAAAGCCGCTAATTTCAAATTTTCAGCGAAATCGGCCTTAAAAAAGTTCTAAATCTAGGCACGGCTAACCAGTAGGCCGTATCGTCGCGAATTTGTTAATATTTTTTATATTTTATCATATATTTTAATGTTCTATAATATATTTTTATGTTTTATAATATATTTTTTATATTCTATCATATATTTTTATATTCTATCATCATATTTTTATATTCTATAATGTTTTTTATAATATAACTATGATGTATTCTTTATATTCTTTATTCTTTATATTCTTGACATTCTTGACATTCTTGACCAATATCTTGCGCCAATAACGATCATTTTATCTTTCCTTTCCAAAATTTACTCTACATCAATTCTTTCAAACTCTTTTCACACTATGTTGCCGAGTATTTTTCTTTAGTTGCTTATGTCAGCTAATAGTTTATTGTAGAAATAGTGTAGAAATAGTTTATTCTTATAGTCAACTAAATATAATATCTGATCATTTTGCACTTAAAATTCTGATTTAAAATTAACACTTAAGATTTAACCATTAAATCTAATCCTGAGCATTGATTTTTGCTCTTTTATTCATTTAAACAAGATTTCTATTTGATGGAACTTTATTTTGCATAGAAGATAGAAGAAGAGATAGAAGATAGAAGATAGATAGAAGATAGAAGAAGAGATAAAACAAAACTAGAAGATAAAACAGGTTGAACTTATGAGCTTATTTTACCTTTCTTCTTTTGCTTGATCTTCTAAAGTCGAATATGACCCATTTTTTTAGATCTTTCACCTGATTTGCATGTTCTTATGTTGCATGTTCTTACTCGTTTCCTGTTACTTTCAATCGATCACTTTATTTCCGGCTGTTTTTTTGGCCGATTTCCTATTTTGATGATCTTGTTTGTCTTGTCAGCACAAAAGACTACAATGAAATATGAAATCATGACATAACAACTCCTATGGAATGATCAAATAACAAGTCACTCTTTTATTTTTTACCAAATATGGCTAAAGTCTTGAAGCTTCAGTCAAAGAGGACTAATTATAAAAATCTAGAGTTAAATTGAATGTGTTTTAAAATCGCTTAATCTTCACAATCTTATTGTTTACCCAATTGTTTGATAGATTTTGATGTTTGATAGATGTCTACCCCTCTTTTCCCTTTCTTCCGCCAAGCAGCTGTTTTTTTTTGCTTTTCTTTTATTGTTCCTTTGTGTCTGTGTTCTGAATCATATGATTTAATGAAACAAATAATAAAACCGCAAATAATTTCTTTCAAACAAAAGTTTAGTAGACTTCAATTCACTTCTTCGTTTTCTAATACTTCTAATATAATAATAACGCGCACTTTCCTTTAAACTACCTTAATCTTGCCTCTAGTTTTATCCAATCTACCATATTTCTTCGAATAGAAGACCGGGTAAAGAGTATGATCGCGTGCTCCTGCGTAGCAGCCCTTTTTAAAATTTCTTTTCTGCATAAAAGCTTTCAATGAAGTGCTATAGGGCTGGAAAATGACTCAAAAATACCACATGAGCTAACAGATTTTTGAGCCATTTTCCAGCTCTATAGCACTTGATTGAAAGCTTTTATGCAGAAAAGAAATTTTAAAAAGGGCTGCTACGCAGGAGTACGCAATGATACTCATTACCCGGCCTTCTATTCGAAGAAATACGGTACCTTAATCTTGTCTCTAGTTTTATTCAATCTATCCACTTTATCCAATCGACTTTTTATATTTTTCAATATTCTTTGTGAATCTACATAAAGTCAGACAAAAAGTGGATAAGTTGGTTAAAAATAGAGACAAAAATACATTAGTTTGACAGAAAAGGGACACTTTTTCCATAAAAATATAAAACTGACTATGAGAAATAAAGTTCAAAAATTTTTCATCGGAATTATCGATAAGCAACTCTACTCTTTTTAGATTGCTCAAATATTAATGCCATTTTTCACTCATCATTCCCTCTTTTTCTCTAGACTTTTCGGGAGTGGGACAAATGCGACCTTTTTTTTGCGCACCCGGACATTTGCGCACCTTTTTTTCCGCACCTTGCCCTTTAGCGCACCTTTAACTAATATTAACCAATTTCTATTCCAAATGTTGTTTTTCTAGGTAATTTGAGGGTGTCGAATTCAAATTTTGACAGATCAGAGCTTGTGGAACCAATTTGAAAGACAAAACGGCTAGATCAAATTCCAGAAAATTGTCGATTTTTCTCTTTGTATAACTCCGTCCGTTTGTTTCCATAAGCTCTGATATGTAAAAATTTCGATTCTACGCCCTAAAATTACCTAGAAAAACAACTTTTGGAATAGAAATTGGTTAATATTAGCTATTTAGAGCTTTTTTAAAACGCGAAAAAAGGTGCGCTAATGGGCAAGGTGCGCAAATGTCCGGTTGCGCAAAAAAAAGGTCGCATTTGTCCCACTCCCGACTTTTCTTGTTTTTTATGCGTTTTTGAAGTCAAATTTTATCTTTTTGGCAAAAAAACAAGTAATCTTGAGTTTTTATCTATTTTTATGTTTTAAAACTTTTTTGAAGCTAAATTTTAAGTTCAAATGTTAAAAAAAAGGTTTTAATTTCTAAAACGTGGATAGAAAAAGATAAAAGATGAATATATTTTATATTTTTCTATTAGCCTGTAAATTTATTTTGCTTGACTCAATTTGGATATATATTTCGGTTTTCGGGCAAATTTTCATTCTCTTTTTGGGGGTGGGACAAATGCGACCTTTTTTTGCGCACCTGGACATTTGCGCACCTTTTTTTGCTGGAAAAGGCCTTAGGCAAGGCCGTAGAGCTTCAAAAATGTTTTCATAGAAGGGAATCGCATACGTAGATTCCGAATTTCGACAAATCATACCTCGCTGACACGTCAAATTTGGGCTAAAAGGCAAAAACTGCGGAAAAGCGTTAAGTTGCGTAGTTTTTGCCTTTTAGCCCAAATTTGACGTGTCAGCGAGGTCTGATTTGTCAAAATTCTGAATCTACGCATACGATTCCCTTCCATGAAAACATTTTTGAAGCTCTACGACCTTTCCTAAGGCCTTTTCCAGCAAAAAAAAAGGTGCGCAAATGTCCAGGTGCGCAAAAAAAGGTCGCATTTGTCCCACCCCCGCTTGACTCAATTTGGATATATATTTCGGTTTTCGGGCAAATTTTCATTCTCTTTTTGGGGTAGGCTAATTTCCGCGAGTTTTTTTGCACAACAGGGTCATTTGCTCAACTGGGTCGTTTGCGCAACTCGCCATAACTTTCTTCTAAGTGGACCAATCTTTATGATTTTTGTGTCATTTTGTAGATCTCAATAAGTGCAACAAAATGAAACCAAAAACATAAAGATTGACCGGCTTAGAAGAAAGTTATGGCGAGTTGCGCAAAAAAAATTGCCTGCCCCCTCTTTTTCTCTTTCCATCGCCAGTTCTTGTACTTTCCCGCTCTTTATCGTTCGTGTAAGGTTTAAACTTTGAGAAACTTTTAATTTCTATGTAACTGCATTAACATTTCCTCATCAAAATCATCAAGCTGAGCTATTTTTTGCGTTAACGTACAGCTTTTTACTGGGTATATAGTATATTGCTGAGAAATTTTTGCTTTTAAACAACCCAATTAGCTTTTTGAAAAGTCTAGCTCTTTGTTTTGAGCATTTTACCACCAAAGTTGAGTCAAAGTTTGTGAGAGAGTGAATTTGTTATTTAAATTGCTTAATACATCGTGTTTTTGCTTTTAAGCTTTGGTTTTTTTTAGCTTTAGCCTTTGTTTTGAATTTAGCCCTTTGTTTTGGCATTTCAGACCACTGATCGATTCTTTGTTGTTTTTAACAATCACATCTTCTATCTATCTTAATTTTAAGCTCCAAAAATCGATGTTCTTCCCGAGTAATCATCGCGTTTGTGAGGAGCAAAGCGAGAGAGAAAAGGAGATGGGAGAAAGCGCAGCACACTCGCACAGAAGAGACTCCCGCCGATGGTGTCTTCATGGGTGTCTGCGTCTTCCACTATTGCCCCATCTCTCTCACCGCGTGCCTGTATCGATCGGCGGTGGCCGTGTGTGGTGTGTCGCTACTCTCCGTCTCTCAACTCGGCTCTCTCACCCGGCCACCACCCCAGCCGTCCCCTTTTCCCTTCCCCTTTTTGTCGTCGTCGAAGCCCTGTCCTTTTTTCGCGTTTCACTGTCAACCCGTTATCCGTTTCCGAGTATGGATGAGTAGAGAACTCGTCGATTTCCCTTCATTGTTTTACTCTCGTTTTTTTCCGTTTTCATCTCGGGCTTTTTGATCCTTATCAGCTCTATTGATTGCGTTATTGATAGACACTGTGCGAAATTGTCCTCGATTTCCTAGTTTTGTTTGTTTCTGGATAATTTTTGGTTTATTTCCAGGTTTCGTGTGAGTGCTTCACTACGGCGCCCGCAAATCGACGTCTCGTTTTTGAAGCGACCAAACGAGAACAATTGTCGGTGGGTTTTATTTTGTTCTTGAACTTGTTGGACAAGCTTTTAATGCACAGGCACAGAATCATTCTTGTTTTTTAGTTCTCCACGACAAAACGGATTTTCTTCCCTGTCAACTCTTGAAAATACGCCAAGTACGTTTGTTTTACTCATTTTTGCTTTAAACAGGTACTTGTGCTGTTTGGCTCCCTAAACCATAGATAAAATTCTTTTTGAGAAGCTGCTTAAATTGCTTAAATGCTTAAACTGTTTAAATTCAAGTGCAAAGTGTGCAACTATCTAAAAGTTTAGCATAAATTGACCAAAAGTTTTCTATGGTTTAGGAAAAACCTGCATAACTAGCCAAATTTGTTATGATTTCTCAAGCCTACAATGTAGTTTTGTTTAGATTGGAGGACATGAACAAGCAGATGCTTTCTTGCTCTCTTAAAGGAGCACGTCAAACGACCACGGTTGTAGCTACACATGCACGTGGATCAGACCAACAGGTACGGATTGGCAGGCTGAAATGTTGGAAGAAGTTGCCAGTTAAAAGCTGATAATGCTTTTAGTTGAAAAAACGAATACGAACAATGGTAGCAAGCTAAACCTCTCACTAAAACTTGCCCCAGTAAATGTAAAGTTTAAAAGACTAACAAGATTTCCACAACCATTCTGTTGTTATCACTGGCTTAATCTACTTAAAACAAACTCTTCTTTGGAAATTTCGACACTCAGCGCTTAATTTTGTCGATTTCTCAACGATGATTAATGTCCTAATGGATTCTTCTTGTCGGCTCAAACCCCTTTCCCATAAAGCTTCTTACACATATTTACTGGTCTCGAGTTTTCAGGAATCAATTTGAAATCTTCAAAGATTTTCATGATAACTGTTGACATATATCTTGATTTAAATATCTAAATGATGATTTGATAACTCGACAATATCTAAATCGAGCCTTTCAATAACAATTTCTTTTAATCAGCTCCTTTGGTCCCTACTTGTTTTATTTATTTTCGCTCACGCTGAGAATGACTAGGTTCTTGGCTGCCTTTCTTTTTTCTCCCCTGTGAGGTGCTTTTCTTTTATGCGCGGCCGGCCACATAATCCCTCTTGCCCGCTTTTCCTCCTACGTGATTGATACTCACTAACCGGGTTATTGATATTCTTCTAGAGGTTCTAAAGCTTTTACTTGGTTTACTTCGCCATCTTTCTCATTTTCCACTCAAAATCTATTAAATAGTTATGGGAAATCGGAAATCGATATTCTCGTCTCGGTCAACGTATGAAGTAGCAACCCTGCATCGACAATTAGACTATTGGCAATCTCTTCCAGACTTTGGAAAAGAATTAAACGATCATGTAGCTATTGCAAAACCGTTTTTTAATATCTTGTTTGTTTAGGTCGAAGTCACCTACAGTGATCTAAAAGTGGTCGGTAATGGATCTTTCGGTGTCGTCTTTCTTGCCAAGCTCCAGAATGAAAGTAATGAACAGGTAGGATTTGAGAAAATTCCATTAAAGAAAGCTTATAATTTAAAGTTAGTTAAACTTAGTTTTTTGTTCAGGTTGCGATCAAGAAAGTTCTGCAGGACAAGCGATTTAAGAATCGAGAATTGCAAATCATGCGAAAGCTCTCGCACCCAAACATTGTCAAGCTGAAGTTAGTTTTTGTAGCAAATTAATTTTACGCTTTTTTCAGATACTTTTTCTATTCTGGTGGCGAGAAAAAGGACGAGCTTTATTTGAATCTCATCTTGGAGTGAGTGTTATCCATTTTTCACTTTTATTGGCTCTTTAGATATGTTCCGGAGACGGTTTACCGAGTGGCACGCCATTACATCAAGCAACGGCAACAAATCCCAATGATCTACGTGAAGTTGTACATGTATCAACTCTTCAAGGCCCTTGCTTATATTCATGGAATCGGTAAGTAAAGTTTGACTATCTTTTATGAATATTGGGATTTGACGCTGTCTTTAAATGACTATACCTATATATTTTCGTTTTCAATACTAAATTTTTTTATTTAGGTATCTGCCACAGGGACATCAAGCCACAGAATTTGTTGATCGATCCAGATACGGGTGTGTTGAAGCTCTGCGATTTTGGGTCAGCTAAATATCTTGTCAAGGTAAGCGCTGATTTACCTTGCTTTTAAATACATTTGGATTTAGGATGAGCCAAACGTTTCGTACATTTGCTCCAGATACTACCGGGCTCCCGAATTGATATTCGGTGCCACCAACTACACGAATTCGATTGACATCTGGAGTGCTGGTAGGCTATAGGAATTTTAAAACTGTTATTTAGTTAGTCTCTATAACTTTATTCTTTTAGGAACTGTCTTTGCCGAGTTGCTACTTGGTCAGCCAATCTTTCCTGGTTTGTTTTTGGGTTTTTTTAATATAAAGAACTCGCACATGCACAGATAGACTTTTTACTAAAAGATAAATTTCAGGAGATTCTGGTGTTGATCAACTGGTTGAGATTATCAAGGTATCGCTTTTTACTCCAAACTTTTATAAAACTTCACTTGCAGGTGCTTGGAACGCCGTCAAAGGAGCAAATTCAACACATGAATCCCAATTACAAGGAGTTCAAGTTCCCTCAGATCAAGGCCCATCCCTGGTCGAAGGTAGTTTCTGCAGAACTTGGTGTGAGTGTCCTCGTGTCTTTGTCATAGTCAACTAGTTGTCACTTGTTTTTGATGTAGACAAGCTATACGAATGAGCTGTTTTAGGTTTTCCGAGCCACGACACCTCAAGAAGCTATTGACCTGATCTCACAAATCATCGAGTACACACCGTCGGCCAGGCCCACTCCGCAGATCGCCTGTCAGCATGCTTTCTTTGATGAGCTTCGCAATTCAGGTTGGATCTTTTGAAACTTAAAATTAAGTTTTCGTAGAGTTTGCTAGATTCAAATTTTTTGCATTTGAATTATCGATGACTGCTTAAAACTTGAATTGAATGAAATACGTTGGATAAAATGTACTGAAATGCAACTGTAACTTTTTGCAATCTCATGAATTTCTTTTAGAGTCGAAGTTGCCAACTGGCCGAGCCTTGCCTCCATTGGATCACCCGGATGTGGAAACGTCGCCAATTGAATAGATGATCGTTCGACACACAAGCAAGCAAATCTATTGGACCATTTGTGTACGTAGTTTTGTTTTGATCTTTACTCTCTTTTTCTCTATTAGCTACACCAATTCCCCTAGTCATCTTGGTGATTCCACAAATTGTGCTCCTATATATTTTTGATTGGATTTGTTCTATTTGACTTAAGATGATGTGTGTTTTTCCACCGTTCTCACGCCTTTTTCGGATTTCGTGTTATTTTCTCGTTTTTTTTTTGCGTGGGCTTGCAATGGGTGTGCACACTAATCCAAATGTACATTTGGGGTGTGTTCCTTTTGTTCTTTATATCATCCACTCTTTGACAACCTATATTTGTATTACAATTATTATGTTTATTTCTGGCAATCGAGAGTCTGTTTGCATTGATGATGTGTTTAACAGTTGGGAGTCGTTTGTTGTTTTAAATCTTTCTTTTTGGTAATGCAAATTTTATCTCACTGATACCAGGAAAATTTAGCAGTTTTACATGTAAACTGGGTTTTTAAACCTCGAAGCTTTTCGAAGTGCTCTGCCGTAAACGACTTCCGTACTGACACGAGATTCCCTTCAAATCTTAAACCAATTCACCCATCAATATTCTTTCTTTCCAGATAACCCATCTATTTCCCCCCTCCCTTCATCGAATATCCTTTGATTTCCACCACACTTCTTTTCGATTCCCGACCCCGCGCGACTACTTCGTTGTTGTGCTGCCGGCGGTCTAGATCTGTTCTTTACCTCGGGCACCCTTTTCTATTCTTTTCGTTCATTATTTTGTTTGCTTTCTTTCCGCTTGATATTATAGTTCGACAAAGGTTTGGCACCAACACGCTGTGTCCATTTTTCCCTGAAAACTGACACAAGCGTGTGAATTTTAGTGCTGGCTCGGGTTGGCGCGCGATCGTTTTGTGTTTTTCACCCTTTTGTGCGCCCATGTACAGTTTTCTGCTATTCATTCACCCCATTTCTAAAGCCATTGCGTGTGTGTTTTTTTGTTCTACATTTCTTCCGCTTGGTGATCGTTTTCCTCCCAACTTTTTGTGTATTCACTAAGTGTCGTTCAATTAAACGTTTTTCGCAAAAATTCGAAATTCTTCTCATTTTCTTCTTGGATTGAGGCTCTGGAAGCCTTGGAAATGGCTTAGTTACCCAATAGGCTTGCATTAAAGTCCAGGAATGAAAGTATTCAGCTAAAGCAACCCCTGGTATTTGGCTTTGGATCAATTTTAGCCATGAATATACAATTCATGGCTAAAATTGATCCAAAGCCAAATTCTCGAAGAAATTCCAAGCCTCTGATCAAAATTTGACAATTCTAGAAAAAAATCTTTAACAAAAATCCTCCTGATGAGTCCATATCGTTTTTTTTTCAAAGTTTTCTTTATCAGAAATCACAAAATAGCTGATTGACTTGAAAATTCGAGATTTTTAAGACTGATAATGTTTTTTCGTTTTAAAACTGACAATGTTTTTTCGTTTTTAAAAACAATCAGCTTAAAATTAACCCACAAATTTACGGCGTCTCGGTTTTTCGTCGGAAATTTTCCGGATTTCCATGTTTTTTTTGCGGTTTTTCTTTTATGTAACAGATTTTTTGTTTGTTTTTTTCGAAAATTTAATTCCACTTCCTCCTCCTCCTCCCCCGTTAAACCAATTGATTTTGGCTCTTTTGTGACGCCGGTTTGTCTCAACTTTCTTTCTTTGATCGACTTTTGCAATTTGCATGGAAATTTGCAAATTATATGTGGAAAAATGATAATTTTCTGTTTTCGAACTTTTTTTTTGCTTTCCTTGAGACTGTAAATTTTGGTCGTTTTCTTTATTTTTCCCGTTTTTTTTGAACGTGTACACCCATCCATCCCCAATTCTTTTTTTTTTTTGAGCGTTTTTCATTCATTTTTGTATTTGATAGAATAAATCCTTTGAGATAAAACACGATTTTGATCAGAAACTTTGCATTTAATGAGAAATTGAACAGCAAACAGCAAGCATTCGATCAGCTTCCTGTTTGCCTGCGCGTTTTTTTCCCCACACTGCTGCCACAACTTGTTTTTTTATGTAATTTTTTTTATAAAACTGAATTTATTAAGGAAGCTTTAAAAAGAGAAAAAAATCATCTTTGGAATGTACCGGTTATTTGTGAAGCGCTTTGAACAGAAAAGAAGCAAGATTGCACACAAAATAAAGTAAAAAAAAGAGAAAAAGAAAAGAAATTTGAAAATTTCATTGGAAAAGCTCTTGTTGAAGTGATGGCGGAAGTTTTGCCATTGAACAGACTGAAATATTGGTGAAGGTTGGAAAGGAATTGAGTCCGGAAAAAGCCTGAGGTCAGGTTACAGGCTTGGATAACAGTTAGACCTTATCTACACAACTAGTTTATCTAGATTTTCTAAAGGCTTGTGGCTTTTTTTTTCGGGATTGTTATAAGGCAGATTTATTATTAGTTTTGGTTATACTCACTTCCTTTTGAGACGAGCATCCGCACGGTGCGTGAACACAACTCGGCGAGACGTGGTGGACCGTTCATTTCGGTGGCCGCTCTCACCTGGAAACAGTTAGATCGTTCCAAAACGATTTTTAATCAAGAAGTAAAGTCTTTCTAGAAAAAGGGATGATGAGCTTTTGTCTGACACTTAGTGCACTTTAGAATCGGGATTAGGAATCCGAATCTGAAACAAAAAACTGAAATCTGAATCTGAAATGACTTTCCAGTCATCAATCGGAAACATGGCGTTAAAACGGATGGTTTAAAAGGCTTCTTCTTGGAGGAGAAAAACTACGTTGGTGGCTTAGTGGGCTCCCGCGCAGATGGGTCGCAGACTAATGCAAAAAGCTCCCGCCCACAGGGTCAGGATTCGGTCCTTGAGGTGACTTTTTTTGATTTCAGATTCAGATTCTCATCCTGACCCGGATCTGGTTCTTGAGCCAGACTTAAATCTGGTGCTTGAGCCAAACTTAAATCTGGAGCTTGAGCCAGACTTGGATCAGGTTCTTGAGCTGATTCCAGGACTTGGACCGAAGCTCAGGTCCAGATTTCGCTAGATCTAGCAAAATTTACTGCTTTCCCGAAAATTTGCAATCTTGGCGCAATAACTTCTTTCAAATCTCAAATTTTTGTTAGCTGTTTGTTTTTTAGAAACTAGATTAAACTGTCTGCACCCATAGAATTGTTAACCAGTAATGCACATATAGAACAGACCTGTCACCAAAACAATCCCACTACCCAGCTTTTCTGGTCAATCTACAGACATTGGAAAACTACTTTTCGCATGCTTTATTTATTTCGAAATTTCAATTGTTATATAGAGAATTGTAGCCTTTAATCTTGACTAGATTTATCAACAAAAAAAATTCCAATTGGATGTATATATCTCATTTAACAAGTCCTTGAATAAGCACTAGATCTCTACCCGGCGCGTTGCGATTTTTAACAATTTTCTATATATATTTGTTAATATTTACTTTATTTAACAATAGATTTAACACTATTATTAATATTAAAGATAATTTTTAACTGTTTTACTATAACCAAAGGCAACCTGCTATAAAAACTTAAGAGTTTCCACTAGCTTCTTTGAAAAAATGAAATTTGATCGTTTTTTGATATTTAGTTCTTGTTATATGAGTTGTTCAGCGCTATGAAATTCTTGGAAATAGTTTTTTAAATAAAATTTACTAAATTTACTAAATAAAGCCCTTTTTAGGTAAAAATTTTATGTAGAAAATCGTTAAAAATATCAGCGCGCCGGATAGGGATCTAGTGCTCAGTCAAGCGCTTGCTAAATGAGATGTATCCATCCGATTGGAAAGTTTTTTGTTGATAAATGTAGCCAAGATTAAGGCTACAATTCTCTATATAACACTTGATAGTTTGAAATAAATAAAGGCACTGAGCAGTGAAATGGGCACTAGACACTGGTTCTTTAAGTTCTTTAGCTAGACTTGGACACGTTTGTCTGCAATTATTTGAAGCTGTAGCCTTTCTTTGTAAACTCTGTAAGTTTCCAGTGAATGATATCTGACCTCTTTGGTATTCCCGAAGACATCAACCACTCCATACAACGGTCGATCCATAGGTATCCGATCAATATCCGAGGGAACACTGTGACCATTCCAAACAATGTATAATCTAAAGATAAAGTTTCTAAGCTTTCAATTAAAAATCTATTTACCTAGCATAAGCTGGATCGTTTTCACTTGGCAAATAGTAAACGCCGATCCGACTCCCGATATCCGTTGGAAGGGAAGTCGATGGAGAGTCCAAGGAGGAGAATGGCGAGATTGAGATCATCCATGAGGTTTCGGAAAGGATGCTGAAGAGGTAGAGAGTTTAGTGAGCATTGGATAGTGTCTCAATTCATAAATCTCAACCCTTAGACTCACCTTGAATCAGGTCTATCAGCTGGATTTGCGGTGGTGAGCCCAACGCGAAGATGACCCGTCCATCCACCCTCGACTCCTTCAATCGAAACACAAAACGGTTCACCGACTCTGAGAGCTCTCTCCGTGAAGACCAAAGCCTGGAAATTGAATTTTATTCATCAAAATTCATCTAAAAGGGTTCTCTATGCTTTAGAAAACGATCTTGTACTGTTTACGGAGATTTTTGTTGTAATTTTTACAAGCTAGAGCTTTAATATTCTAATCCAAAATATAGTAATGGCTTAAATTGAGAAAACAATGTTTAACATCATAAAACAGACAATGAAAACATGCTTTATAAAAACTCTTAGCTTTTGCTATATGCTATTTTAGACTTTTAAAAGTTTAACAAAAGACTAAGGTACTTTAATAGTTGAAAAGGGTTATTTTTGGCTTGTTTAGTCGTATTGGCTGGCTTGTTTATTCGTATTAGCTGGCTGAAGTGATTGGCTGGCTTGTTTAGTCATATTGGCTAGCTTGTTTAGTCGTATTAGCTGGCTTGTTTAGTCATATTGGCTAGCTTGTTTAGTCGCATTGGCTAGCTTGTTTAGTTATATTGGCTAGCTTGTTTATTCGTATTGGCTAGCTTGTTTATTCGTTTTGAGAGCTTCGTTTTAATGTTTTTTTTCTATTTTAAAGAAAAAGATATAGCTGAAATGATTCGTGCTAATTTAAGCACGTTTTGATAATCGTTTTTTGATGATTTCCCATGTCCTAACCTTTTGTACCGAATCTTAAAGCTTTCAAGCTGATTTCACTCGAAAAGCTGCAATAATAACTAGAAAAAAATGTTGAAAATACTTCAAAATAAGCACCAATCACTTCAGCATATGTAGAATAGAAGAAAAGCAACGAAACGAAACACTCAAAACATTCGTTTCGACAAAAACAACCCAAAAATGATAGCTTCAAACTATTAAAGCATCTCTACACTCCTCTACAGCTTTACCCCTAAGAAAATAAATATTTCTTCGATAAGTAAAGAAGTTTAAAAAGGTTTTTTGGTAATTTAATGATCCTAATTTTAAAACTGAAACCCATTTGTGACTTTTCCTATCGTTTTCAAGATCTAAGCACGATTTTCAATGGAAAATCGGATTTTTGACCTATAACTTTTTCTCGGTTAAAGATCTAAAAAAACCATTGTGTTTTCCAGAATCTAGACAATATTTGTGACAAAAAATGAATTGAAAGTAAAAGAATAGCGAAGAACTAGATCAGAAAGTGATCGAGAAGAAAAGCAACTCATTTTACACTGAAAACAAGCGAAAATCGGAATTAGAGCTTTGAGATTCGAATCAGACTCAACCGTTCGCTCAATTCCTTTCATCAGATCATTAAATTACCAAAGAAACCTTTTAAACTTCTTCACTTATTCAAGAAATACGTATTTAAGAGATTTACAAAAGTAGAAACCTTCTCAAAGCTGGCGCTCCTTAACGCTCGTCGTCTGTCCTCGAAAAGAACGATATTCTCGCCGTGAAACGCATGAAACCGGATTGAACCCTTTGTAGAAACATTTGGTGAAGAAAATGTTGTTGCGAGATTCGAAATCGGTCCACGAATCGCTCTTGATTGTTGGTGATTTGACGGAGGAAATGGATGCGGTGTTGAGCGACCCACTGCCGTTGCCATCACTAAAATTTCACAGGTTTTGAATAAGAAAACGAAAAGGAAACGAAACAAAAACTAGTTTCAAATGTTACAAATCTTACAAATGTTAGAAATCTAAAAGATTTATAATTTCAAATGTTTTAGATGAAAATGAAATAGGTTTAAGGAAAGGAGACGCTTAATAAATAAAATAAATGTGTTCGGAAATTCTTCCGATAAAGTCTATTTCTCTTTAAAATCTATCGATCAATGTTCCCTCTTAATCCTCCAAAATCTTTCCGTGATTTCCCCAGACACAGCTAGCCAAAATATAGACATTTCCCACTCAACTTTTCGGTATATAAACCCTCCGGTGCTTTAATAAATATTCTGCCTGAATCAAGGGATATGGACACATCTATCCCGAACAAAATGCTTAACGCTTAATAAATGCCTTATAAAGGTCATCGTTCAAAGAATAAATGCTTAACGCTTAATAAATGCCTGATAAAGGTCACCGTTCAAAGAATAAATGCTTAACGCTTAATAAACGCCTTATAAAGGTCATCGTTCAAAGAATAAATGCTTAACGTTTAATAAATGCTTTATATCGCCGTTCAAAGAATAAATGCTCAACGCTTAATAAACGCCTGATAAAGGTCACTGTTCAAAGAAAATCATCATTTTGCAATGCTAAAGAGCTTTCTGCAAACCTAAGCCTATGTTGTTTGAAAGAAATTTGATATTGTAATTGAATTGAAAGAAGCATTGCTTGGGAAAGCTTTCCTTTCCAAATCGGTCCACGAATCGCTCTTGATTGTTGGTGATTTGACGGAGGAAATGGTAAAAAAAAACAAAAAATTTCTGCCCCATCCCAGGCTCGAACTGGGGACCTCGGCATCACTTACAAATTATAAGTACCACGCGCTAACCGACTGCGCCAATGGGGCCACGAGTTAATCGATTTTAATCAAGGGTAAAAGGGGAACAGGTGTGTAAATGAAGATCATTCACAAAAGTGGCTAACGATTTTTTAAATTATAAAAAGACAGACAAGGATAAAAAGACAGACAAGGATTTTAAATGCAAATCTTAAATAGAAAGGGTTAAATGCAAATTTTTAATCTTAAAATCAATAGAAATTTCATTTTTTTTATTTAGAAAAGATGAAAAAATGAAAAATTTTGAATTTTCTAAAGAATTTTTTAAGAAAACGAGAGCTTTAGGGAATTTTGGCATAAAGCCAATAATTGGAAAAGGCTAGAGATTCAGGAAAAAGGCTAGAGGTGCAGGAAAAAGAAAAATGCGAACAAAAACCACTAAGATCGTTAGAGATTTAGAGAAAAGCGAAAATTTTTAGTGTTTTCCCAATTTTGAGAGAATTTTGCCAAAGAAAATGACCATTTTCAAACAATTTTTCCTCTTTTCCACTCAAATTTTACTATTTTTCGCGTGGATTTTTGCGATTTATTCGATTTTTTTTCATTTCAAAGCGATTTCTTTAACATTTTTTATGTTTAAAACGTTTTGAAAGGTTAATTTTTACATATTTAAAGCTTTTTTTCAATCTTTTTCCAATTTTTGAAAGATTTTTGTGTTTAAAAAGAAAAAAAGGTCCAATTAAGTCAATAAAAGCCAAGAAAAGCCAAGAAAAGTTCAATTAAGTCGATAAAAGTCAATAAAAGCCAATAAAAGCCAATAAAAGCCAATAAAAGTCAATAAAAGCCAATAAAAGCCAATAAAAATCAATAAAAATCAAGAAAAATGAAATTTTTAAGTTAAAAACTGACAAAAAATGATCAAATTTGTCATTTACAAAACTTTAAACCCTTTCTTTGACCAATTTGCGTGTTCTCCAATAAATTAGCCTTATTCTATCTACCGTATTTCTTCGAATAGAAGACCGGGTAAAGAGTATCATCGCGTGCTCCTGCGTAGCAGCCCTTTTTAACATTTCTTTTCTGCATAAAAGCTTTCAATGAAGTGCTATAGAGCTGGAAAATGGCTCAAAAATCTGTTAGCTCATGTGGTATTTTTGAGTCATTTTCCAGCCCTATAGCACTTCATTGAAAGCTTTTATGCAGAAAAGAAATTTTAAAAAGGGCTGCTACGCAGGAGTACGCGATCATACTTTACCCGGTCTTCTATTCGAAGAAATACGGTATGTTTTACAAGAAACTATTCAATTTTTGTATATAATAAACATGAAAACATGTACTTTGTATCACAAAAAAAAATAAAGAAAGAAAAGGAGAAAAGTCCAACCCGGACTCGAACCAGAGACCCCTCACCTCCTATTTTAACCCACTACCACTCGGCCACCAACCCTTTTCGACGACTTTTTGGAAAATTCGATATCATTATCGATTATCATAATTTCATTCTCATAATCATAAGTTGAATTCGAAAATGACTTGTTGAACTTTAAACTCGCATAACTTTTGATAGGATAATGCATAGAAAAAAGTGAAATCAGATTCGGAATCAGCGTGAAATTCTATGTATATACAGGGTTTCTATTGGGTTGAGTACTAAATTTTGCCATTGATTTCATCATCTAAATAAACGAAGCATTTACAGCATAAACTAAGCATGCTATACAGCGTTTCCGGAAACAAAGTGATCATTGGTTTGAGTGACATATAAGTTATGCTGGAATTTGTACTTTGAATCAAAAAGAAAGCAAGAAAGAAAAGATGAAAAGTCGAGCCTGGACTCGAACCAGAGACTCCTCACCTCCTATCCTAACCCACTGCCACTCGGCCACCAGCCCCTTCAGGACCCCTCCTGGAAACTTCGATATCATTATTGCTTATGATTTTGATGATCATCCTCATAACGAATTCGAAAATGACTTGTTGAACTTTAAACCCGTATAACTTTTGATAGGATAATGCCTAGCAAAAAGTGAAATCAGATTCGGAATCAGCGTGAAATTCTGTATCTATATTGTAAATGCCATTTGCCCTTGCCCACTTGTACTTTCTTTGCGTTTCACCGGAAATTCTTTTACTCAAAATTCCTTTTTTATTGAATAAATCTCAAGCTACCAAATGAAATAAGCTCTTTTCCAGATAACCCAATCATTTCTCTTGCAAATCACTTTTGAAAGTCTCTGAAAAGCTTTGTTTTCATGGTTTTTGTTTAGCTAGAAGCTGTTCAAAAACAGGTTCGATCATGCAATTTGAACAATTTGAAGTCAAAAATGAATCTTGATGGCATAAACATTTTCTAAAAAAGATTCTAAACTAGATTCCGATAGAAAAGATGGAAAAATGAAACTCAGCGATTACTAGGTCAATCAGCGCAGGTCAATCAGCGCAGGTCAATCAGCGCAGGTCAATCAGCGCAGGTCAATCAGCGCAGGTCAATCAGCGCAGGTCAATCAGCGCAGGTCAATCAGCGCAGGTCAATCAGCGCAGGTCAATCAGCGCAGGTCAATCAGCGCAGGTCAATCAGCGCAGGTCAATCAGCGCAGGTCAATCAGCGCAGGTCAATCAGCGCAGGTCAATCAGCGCAGGTCAATCAGCGCAGGTCAATCAGCGCAGGTCAATCAGCGCAGGTCAATCAGCGCAGGTCAATCAGCGCAGGTCAATCAGCGCAGGTCAATCAGCGCAGGTCAATCAGCGCAGGTCAATCAGCGCAGGTCAATCAGCGCAGGTCAATCAGCGCAGGTCAATCAGCGCAGGTCAATCAGCGCAGGTCAATCAGCGCAGGTCAATCAGCGCAGGTCAATCAGCGCAGGTCAATCAGCTCAAGTCAATCAGCGCAGGTCAATCAGCTCAAGTCAATCAGCTCAAGTCAATCAGCTCAAGTCAATCAGCTCAAGTCAATCATGTTCTTTTCCTCCTTTACACCACTCTACAAGATAAAACTTCTCAAAGAACTTCTTCAAAAATGACAAATTCTTGATTGACACCTCTGATAAGATCTCTTTTTTTCGTTATTTATTTAAAAAACTTTAAAAAAAGGATCTCAACACATCTTTTTTCTTCAACAAATCAACAAAAATCGATTTCGAATCAATTTTTCAATCAATCAATTCATTTTTCGACTTTCTTTTTGACTTTTAACTAATAATTAAGAAATTATTGAACAAATTTAGTCATTCTGTATGCCAGAAAGTGTACGTTTGCATAGAAATTGTCGTTTAAGCAAAAGATTCGATCTTATCAAGAATTTAGAAGTGTTAAGCTCTAACGAGATCCACTTTATGCTTTACTCTTGTAAACGTAGCCTTTCTAGTGCACTGAATCTCTTTCTTTCTCTTTAAAATGAAGAAACAAGTGCTCTAGAAAGGATACGTTTTCAAAGTAGCGTTTTCAAAGTTCGAAAGCGTAAACGCAGTCGATTTGGCACACTTTTTCCCCTCATTTACCCAGCAATTGTCTACAATTTAATTCAAAGAGCAAAGGAAATGAGTAAAACTGTAAATTCTTTAGAAATTCGTTTTTTTCTGTCTCTGGCTTTTGCTGTCTTCAAGACAAGATCAAAATCTCGTTTTTTATTCATTCTTTCGCCGAAAATCGACGATTTTTCCACTTTTCCAATAGAAATTCTTCAATAAAACAGCTTTCTTTATTTATAATTTCCAATTTCTATACTCTATTCAAGCTATAGAACCCTCTATTCAAGCTTTTTGACTTTCTAATGGTATTGAAAGCGGTGAAAAGGGTATTCTGTAAGTAAATTCTTTGAGAAAATCTTCCATTTTTCATTTTACACCAAAATCCTTATTTTTATCAAAAATCACCCAAATTTGGATGACTTTAATGTGCCAGAAAGGTTGCGTTTACGTTTAAAAATTGAAACTATGGAAGATCAAAAAATCTTATCCAAAAAGTTTATCAAAAATCACCCAAATTTGGATGACTTTAATGTGCCAGAAAGGTTGCGTTTACGTTTAAAAATTGAAACTATGGAAGATCAAAAAGTCGCCCACCGCCGGGACTCGAACCCGCGACCATTCGCTGACCAGACAACTGTGCTAACCATTACACCACAACGTTCTCGAGGTCCCCCGCTCAAGAGGGGATTAAGTTAAGAGGGGGTTAACTTAAGATGGAGTTAACAAAGTACGCTTCAAGCGACAGAAACGTTTGAAACTTGTACGTAATAAAGTATTGTTGTAATCATTGCGTTTACATTTAAGAAAGGGAAGAGCCGAGCAAAAACTTGTGCACCGCCGGGTGCTCGAACCCGCGACCTCGAACCCGAACCGCGACCGAACCTGAGCCTGAGCTCACCAGACAACCGTGCTAACCATTACACCACAATGCCCTTGAGCCCCCTCCGCTCAAGAGGGAGTTAACACGCTTCAAGCGACAGAAACGTGGCGCTTGAAACTGGTACGTAATAAAGCTTACCACTTCTTGTAATACTTACGTTTACGTTTAAGAAAGGGAACTAGAGCCGATCAAAAATTTGTGCACGGCCGGGACTCGAACCCGCGACCGTTCCCTCACCAGACAACGGTGCTAACCATTACACCACAACGCCCTTGAGTCCCCCTGCTCAAGAGGGGGTTAACTTAAGATGGGGTTAACAAAGTGCGCTGACAAAAACTGATAAAAGTACAAAGTAAAAGTACAAAGTAAAAGCACAAAGTAAACAAAGAAATGCGGCTTTTCTTTCAGGCATTTCTGTCACTTCAAGCATTATTTCTTGTAAGAAAGTTTACAAGATAACTAATTTTTGCGATTTAAATTCAGATCGAATCGTGAGTCGCGGTTGCGGCATCACATGGAATCGAGTGATGAGATTTGTCACTTTTTCCCTGCTTACAATCACGCTTTTCGTCTTTTTCTCACAGGTAGATTAAAAAAAAACGATAAAATACTTAACGATAACGATTTAAACGATAAAATACTTTTGTTTTAGACCTTAAACAATACAATTTCTTTTTAGTCCCTTTCTGAGGCGATTCCGGTCGATGGTGGATTGGCGCTTGACCCAAATCGAACTCTTTTAACTGGGTTAGTCTTTAAGTTATTGAATTATCAATTATTAATTAAATTAAAAGATATTTGGATAAATGCTTAAGTTATACTGGAATGGTGAAGCTGAGGAAAAAGCGTCACTTTTTTCAAAATTTTTGAAACGGTTAAAGTTAACACTCAACTTTTTATCATTTAGATATCTAAAGATGTGATTAGGATTCTAAACTAGATAGATTCTAGACTAGATAGAATCTAGATTAGATATATTCTAAACTAGATAGGTTCTAAGCTAGATAGGTTCTAAGCTAGATAGATTCTAAACTAGATAGATGATACAGTCATGTGCAAAAGTCTTTTAACACTCAATTTTCTAAAAAGTTACATCGATTTTCTTTGATAAAATGCATGGCGCTCTTTAAGCTATTAATAGTTTTAGTTACACAAATATATGTACAATTTATTTACACAAACGCTGTCGCTATACAAAACTTATTCATCGAGAAAAAAATATAATTGTCAAAACAACCCTGAAAATCGTGGTGCAAAAGTCTTTTAACACAAGACGAAATTAAGCTATAATCAATATTTTGTTGGCCCTCCTTTTGTCAAAAGTACTTCTTTAACACGAGTAGGCATCGATCTAATTAATTCATCAAGAATTCCGGGTCCAATCGTCCTCCAAATTTTTCTGATGTAAAATCATAGCTCGACTTTAGAATTAAAACGTTTTCCTCGCAATTTCGATTTCAAATAGGCCCATAAATTCTCGATAGCATTTAAATCCGGTGAGAATGGTGGAGCTTTGATCAAAGAAACGTGATTGATCCCAAATCATCCCGGTAAATGTGCTTTTCCTCCATTCGAGAGAGTCACAACGCGGCCCATCAAAAATTTGCTTTTGTGTACTGGTGAATTATCTTGATAAAGAAACCATCCTGGATTCATCGAAGCAGTCGCAAATGGAAGTAGACATCTGTCCAATATCTCAATATATTGGCGGGAATCCATTGTTGACTTTACGAGGACAAGCGGACCTGTTGAACTTTTACACATCGCACCTAAAGAAATCACGAAATCACGCATAAAAAGAAAATTATCCTGACCGAAACACATAATTGATCCTCCGCCTCTTTTCACCGTAGGTTGCAAATACTTGAGTTGATATCGCTTTCCGACTGGACGTCGGATCAGGTGATTTCGATTTGAAGAAAAAATATCAACTTTTGTTTCATCAACGAAAATCACTCGGGCCCAATCATTGATTGTCCAATTTGAATAGGTTCGAGCAAATTGAAGGCGTTGCTTCCTGTGTTTGGCTGTCATCATAGGCTTGCGAGCATGTCTTCTAGTATGCAATGCTGCTTGAAGCAAGCGTCGATGCAAGGTCCAGCGGGAAATATCCTTGCTTGAAGTTTGCTTGAAAAGAATGGCCCCATCGTTCAACGTCAAATTCGGATCCTTCTTGAAAGCTCCCGTAAGGAGTCGGTCTTCATTCTTTGTTGTAATCCTCGGCCGTCCCTTTTTCATACATCTGTGCACATTTCCAGACGCATTCACTTTTGCCATAACAAGAGAAACTGTTGTGGGCGTACATCCTACGAGGCGAGCAACGTCTTGTCGTGACATCCCTTGTTTCCTTGCGTTGACGAGCATTTCTTTAACCGGAGTTGACAAATACGCTCCTGGCATCTAAAAAAAAATAAATTAGTACCGGTAAACAAGAAGCGAACGAAAATAATCAAAAATTTTTTCAAGTGTTAAAAGACTTTTGCACCACGATTTTTAGGGTTGTTTTGACAATTATATTTTTTTCTCGATGAATAAGTTTTGTATAGCGACAGCGTTTGTGTAAATAAATTGTACATATATTTGTGTAACTAAAACTATTAATAGCTCAAAGAGCGCCATGCATTTTATCAAAGAAAATCGATGTAACTTTTTAGAAAATTGAGTGTTAAAAGACTTTTGCACATGACTGTAGATTAGATAGATTCTAGATTAGATAGAATCTAAACTAGATAGATTCTAAGTTAGATAGATTCTAAGCTAGATAGATTCTAGACTAGATAGATTCTAAACTACCGTAAATACTGTAATAGTACCCCAGCCCCATAATGACGGTGCGGAGTGTTGCGTAGTCTAGCTTTGGACGCGTTTTTCTCGACACTGGTTTGTGCTACAAGGCGCGCTTAGGTATCAAAAAATAGCTGCAATTCAGGGCTATTTTTTTATACCAAAGATAGCATTTTTGAAAGTACGGGTGCTTTGCAAAAAATGAAATACTAAAAAACTTTTGCGACTACGTGCCTGTACGAGGGGGTGGGGTACTATTAAAGTATTTACGGTAGGTAGATTCTAGACTAGATAGATTCTAAGCTAGATAGATTCTAGTCTAGATAGATTTTAAGCTAGATAGATTCTAGTCTAGATAGATTCTAGTCTAGATAGATTCTAAGTTAGATAGGTTCTAGACTAGATAGATTCTAAGCTAGATAGATCCTAAACTAGATAGATTCTAGTTTAGATAGATTCTAGTCTAGATAGATTCTAGACCTTTAGATAGTACTGTATTTGGATGTCAGATAAATTTTATATAAAAATAGGGATGATCCTCCAGTCGGGAATAGCACTCTTGAGCAAAAAGGGGCTGCTATTGTTGGAAATGAAGCCGAAGAGAAGAAGCGATCACTGGTAAAGATTAGATATTCATTTAAAGAGGCTAATTTTTAAGCGTAAAACGTTAAACGTTAAACTTTTAACTTCCAGGCAATCTTCTTCATCCTTTTCGTCATCGTTTTGGCAACATTAATCGTTCATTTGTTGATCATCACAAATTTTCACTATATTCCGGAAAGTTTAGCGATTGTGATTCTAGGTGAGGCTTTCCTTGATGACTAGAAGGCTCAGTCATGACTAGAAGGCTCTGTCATGACTAGAAGACTTTCCTTGACTAGAAGACTCAGTCAAAAGTCTAATCTAAATAAAAAGAACGAGATTACGGTCGTTTTATTGAATGTCTTCTAGAAAATCGATTTTTGAAATTCTAGGCGCTACAATCGGTTTCGTTCTCTCGTACACATCTCGAGATTGGTCTGAGATTGAGGCTTTGTCACCGGATATTTTCTTTCTTGTCCTCCTACCGCCAATCATTTTCGAAAACGCATATAATTTAAATAAGGTTTTTTTATCAAAAACTCATTTTTTCAATCAAAAAATCATTTTTTTAATTAAAAAGTTAAAAAGTTACAATTTTTTTGGAAAAATACCTGAGAAATGTGCTAATTTATATGCTAATTTATTTCAAAAGTGCTAAGTGTTATTTAGAGAATTGTAGCCGTCATTCTTGGCTACATTTATCTATCAAAAAATTCCCGATTCGTCTTATACAACTCATTTAACAAGCGCTTGAATGAGCGCTAGTCAAAATCTCGACAGCGCTCATTCAAGCGCTTGTTAAATGAGTTGTATAAGTCGAATCAGGAATTTTTTAGTAGATAAATGTAGCCGAGAATTACGGCTACAATTCTCTATACAGCACTTGCTACTTTTGCTACACATTTCGTAGCTATTTTTCTAAAAAGTTGTCGCTATACTTTGCGATCATCCTGTACAAGTCAGGGTTCTTCTAAAGAGATTTTTTATGAGCTAAACCTGCCAGAAGTCGGTCCAGTCCTGGTTCTGGTAGTGCAAGTTTAAATGAGCCAAACTTGCAGAAAAACCAGGCCAGGCAGGCAGTTTAGGGTCTGACTTTTGGTCTTGCTTAGGTTCAGGCTCAGGCTTAGGCTTAGGCTCAGGCTTAGGCTTAGGACTTAGGCTCAGGCTTAGGCTCAGGCTTAGGCTTAGGCTAAACCTAGGCTTGCTCCAGGTTCGACCTAGAAACGGCCTAGGGTTCAAGGTTCAAGCTTGAAGGATTGAACCAGGCCGGATCCTAGACTGATCTAGGATCTGACTAGGCCAGCCTATTGCGCCAGGTGATGCCTAGCACAAAGTACAACAGCCAAGTACAGCAGCCAAGTACAACACAAAGTACAACACAAAGTACAGCTTAAAGCACACCGATAACTTTAGGGGTACTTCTTCTCTAACATCTGGCCAATTTTGACGTTCGCTATTCTCGGCACAGCGTTGTCTTCATTTGTGATTGGGCTAGCTGTTTATATCTTGGGACAGGTGATTTTGCCGTCTGTCGTCTGTAGATACTGTAGCTTAAAACGATTACGGTATTTTTATCTATTCTCAAATTTCTAGGCTTCTCTCGTTTACCCATTGACAATCTTCGAGAGTTTCGCTTTTGGCTCAATGATCAGTGCGGTTGATCCAGTGGCTACGTTAGCGATCTTTCAAGCGGTTAAGGTTAGATCTAAAAGCTCTTAGACTATTAGTACACTGTATTCTTTAAAGTTATAGCTTTTTCAGGTCGAAGGCCTCTTGTACATGCTGGTTTTTGGTGAATCGATGCTGAATGACGCTGTGTCGATTGTGTTGACGGCGACGGGTTTGTTTAGCTCCCCCTGTTTAGCTCTTCTCCAAGATTCGTACAAATTCATTTAGCTATTCTATTTTGTAGTATTCGTTGAGAGCTTTTAAATGATATACTTGAAGTAGTCTTCTTCTTTTCATGAATTAATGAGCATCCTTTCCATAATTTCCCTGTACTGTAGATACTGTAGGTTGCTGTAGATTGGATATTGTGATGTGGCTACCGTCGCCACTGTAGGCTTGTTTACTGTAGTTGCTATAGGTTGGAGTACTGTAGATTGGGTACTGTAGCTGCTAGAGGCAGTGGCACTGTACTCACTGTAGATTGGGCTACTGTAGCTCCTATGGGCTGTGGTACTGTACCTACTATAGGCTGGAATACTGTAGATTAGGTACTGTAGGTGTTAGAGGCTGTCGTACTATCCCCAAATGTAGATTGGGATACTGTAGATTGGGGTACTGTAGATTGGAGTACTGTAGTTGTCATAAGCTACGGTACTGTGGCCGGAGTAGACTGGAGTACTGTAGATTGGGTATTGTAGGTGCTATTGGCTACTGTAGTACTGTAGTACTGTAGATTGAGTACTGTAGGTGCTATAGGCTGTTGTGCTGTACCTATTGCAAATTTCTAAAGCTTTAGAAAGCTATAGAAATCTTCAGAAAGCTTCAGAAAGCTATAGAAAGCTGAGAAAGCTCCAGAAAGCTTTAGAAAGCTTTAGAAAGCTTCAGAAAGCTTTAGGAAGCTACAGAAAGCTTTAGAAAGCTTCAGAAAGCTATAGAAAACAATAGAATTAGATTTTTCTTACAGCCATTCGTCATTCCCATCCACCGTTCTCCTCCCTTCCACCAATGCAAATCCTTTCCTCGGCTGTGGCAACTTTCTTGATCATGTTCACTGTGTCGGCTTTACTTGGCGCAGCAATTGGGCTATTATCAGCTTTGGTTTGTTTCTCTAGAACCCAAAAGTTTCTTATTTAAAAAACCCATTTCACTTTTTTACCAATATTTACAATAAAATTCATTTCAGTTATTCAAACACGTTGATCTTCGCCGAACTCCATCATTAGAATTGGCGTTGTTGATGGTTTTCGCATATATTCCTTATGGTTTAGCTGAATCGTTGTCACTTTCTGGTGAGTTTTCTTTTTTTTTTTGAGAGATTTGAGATAATTACATACCGTAAATACTGTAATATTACCCCACCGCCCTCGTACAGTCGCGTAGTCGCAAAAGTTTTTTAGTATTTCATTTTTTTCAAAGCGCCCGTACTTTCAAAAAATGCGTCTTTGGTATCAAAAAATAGCCCTGAATTTCAGCTATTTTTTGATACCTAAACGAGCATTGCAGCATAAACCAGTGTCGAGAAAAACGCGTTTTAGACTCGGGATGGTCCGGCGTATTATAACTTTAAGACGAGAAATCCGTTCTCTGCGCTGCTTTATGCTACAATGCGCGCTTAGGTATCAAAAAATAGCCCTGAATCTCAGCTATTTTTTTGATACCTAAACGAGCATTGTAGCATAAACCAGTGTCGAGAAAAACTCGTTCAAAGTTAGACTACGCGATGCTCCGGCCGTCATTATAAACTGAAGACGAGAAAAATGCGTTCAAAGTTAGGCTACGTGATGCTCCGTCTTTTGATATCGAAAAATAGCCCTGAATTTCAGCTATTTTTTGATACCTAAATGAGCATTGTAGCATAAACCAGTGTCGAGAAAAACTCGTTCAAAGCTAGACTACGCAACACTCCGCATCGTCATTATGGAGGTGGGGTACTATTACAGTATTTACGGTATCAATTGTATAGGATTTAATATAAAATAGGTATCATGGCAATACTCTTTTGCGGAATCACAATGTCTCAGTACACCCAGAATAACATCAGTCCGGTCACACAAATCACGATGCGACAAACGTTTCGAACAGTTTCTTTCGTCGCAGGTTAGTTTTACTTTATTCTTAAATACTAGCTGTACTTTGTGCTTAAGTACTAGTTGTACTTTATGCTTTAATACTAGTTGTACCTTGTACTTAAATACTAGTTGTACTTTGTACTTAAATACTAGTTGTACTTTGTACTTAAATACTAGCTGTACCTTGTACTTAAATACTAGTTGTACTTTATTCTTAAATACTAGTTGTACTTTATGCTTTAATACTAGTTGTACCTTGTACTTAAATACTAGTTGTACCTTGTACTTAAATACTAGTTGTACTTTGTACTTAAGTACTAGTTGTACTTTATTCTTAAATACTAGCTGTACTTTATGCTTAAGTACTAGTTGTACTTTATGCTTAAGTACCAGTTGTACTTTATGCTTAAATACTAGTTGTACTCTATGCTTAAGTACTAGTTGTACTTTGTACTTAAATACTAGTTGTACTTTATGCTTAAGTACTAATCTATCTCTCTGCTTAAATCTATCTAAACCCAATTCTTCTAACGCATTTGATTTGTTATTTCCAGAGACATCAACATTCGCCTATTTGGGTATGGCTTTTTTCACGATAAAACTCAACTTTCAACCATCATTTATCTTTTGGTCAGTGGTGAGTGATTTAAAGATTTGAATTAAGAAATTATACTTATTATTTCATAATTTACTGTAGTTATCTTAATATTATTTTAATTTTAGATACTTTTCCATTTAAGGACATTTTTAGGTACTTTGCCTTGTCTCTCGAGCTTGTAATATCTTTCCTCTATCTTGGCTTGTGAATAAATGCCGTCGTGAGGTTCAAATCTCGACGAAAAATCAAATTATTATGTGGTTTAGTGGTGAGTTTTAAGTTTTAATCGATTTTCTACTTTCTATTAGGTACTACTACTTAGGGACAAGTTCAGTGTGGTCAAACTTAGGGAAAAGTTTAGTGTGGTCAAACTTAGGGAAAAGATTAGTGTGGTCAAACCGCCTTAGGTTGTATCGCCGGAAACGATCATACGACGATTAAATCAAGCTGGATTATATGCAAGAAGGGCTGCCCGTAAACCTCTGATGACTTCTAAGCACCGGAAGCAGCGCCTTGATTTTGCACGGACCTACCGAAGTTGGACAATAAGTGATTGGGCGAAAGTGCTATTTACCGATGAGACAAAAATCAATTTATTTCACGCGGACGGAAACCATCTTATTCGACGGTCGACTGGCCAACGGCCAAAAAAGGAATCGAGTCACTTTAGGGACAAGTTTAGTGTGGTCAAAATAGAGTTAGCTTCCCAAAATTGAAGATCCGGCGATACAACCTAAGGCGGACCACACTAAACTTGTCCCTAAGTCTGACCACACTAAATTTTTCCCTGAGTTTGACCACACTAAACTTGTCCCTAAGTCTGGCCACACTTAACTTGTCCCTAAAGTGACTCGATTCCTTTTTTGGTCACTCGCATTTCACCCTCGAAATTTCTTCAATGATTCGATCAATTGAAACACGTTTTAGCCCATTTTGTAGAGGAGATTTACGACTTTCAAATAGCTTATAACATTCATCGATTTTAACATCGATATCAGGTTTCTATCGTTGCAAATTTATGAAAATGTTGAAATTGGCATTTCTTATGCATTTATCGAATAGTAAACTAGTAAACTAATTTCAAAAGTTCTAACTTCACATCACTTTAATCAATTGCCTATTTTCTAGACAAAACCTTATACAAACTGGTCAATTTTTTTGCTTTACAATATGCCTAAAAACGTGGAACGTCTAAGAAGCGTCTAAAAAGCGTCTAAGTAAATAAGTTCGCGATTTGGCCATATCTACAAAGTAGCTGTGAATCTTGAATATCTTTTTGTCTTCAGGAATGCGAGGTGCTGTCTGTTTCGCGCTGGCTCTTTATCTGGACATTGATAAAGAAACGAAAAGCGTTCTCCTTACAACAACTCTTTTTTTGATTCTCTTCACAATCATCTTTTTAGGAGGTGAGAAAAATAAGGAAAAGGGTAACTAGAGAATTACGATAACTGGATATTTATTTTAGTTAAAGGATTACGGTAGTTGTAGAGTACCTAAAGGATTACGAGAACTAGAGAATTATGGTAGCGCTGAGGGTTACTGTAGCCAAAGAATTACGATTGCTAAGGATTACTGTAGCTGAAGAACTACTGTAGCTAAAGGACTACTGTATCTAGAGGATTACGGTAGCTAAAGAACCACTGTAGCCAAAGGGTTACGGTAATTAGAGGATTACGGTAGCTGAGGATTACGGTAGCTGATGGTTACGGTATCTAAAGAGCTACGGTATCTAGAGGGTTACGATAACTAGAGGATTACGGTAGCTGAGGATTACTGTAGCTGAAGGATTACGGTAGTTACAGTCTAGAGTACCTAAAGGATTACGAGAACTAGAGAATTATGGTAGCTAAAGAACTATTGTAGCTAAAAGATTACGGTAATTAGAGGATTATGGTGGCTAACGGCTACTGTATCTAGAGAATTACGGTATCCAAAGGATTACGGTAACTGAGGATTACTGTAGCTGAAGGTTTGCGGTTTCCAGAGGGTTACGGTACTGAGGATTCCTGTATCTAGGGAATTACGGTAACTAGAGAGAGGATTACTGTAGCCCCAAGTAGAGAGAGGATTAACTAAAGGATTACGGTAGCTACTACGGTAAAGAGCTACTGTAACTAGAGGATTACGGTATCTAAAGAGCTACGGTATCTAGAGGGTTACGGTAGCTAGAGAATCACGATAGCTAAAGGGCTCTGTAGCTAGAGGATTACGATAGCTAAAGAGCTCTGTAGCTAGAGGATTACGGTTGCTAGAGGATTACGATAGCTAAAGGGCTCTGTAGCTAGGGGATTACGGTCGCTAGAGGATTACGGTAGCTAAAACAAATATTTCTAGGCTCCGCTCTTCCCTTCATCAATCACATCAACGATATGTATCCAGATAAACTCAAATTAGGACGAAAAAGAAAAAGACAAGAAAATGGGAGAGAAAGGAGGGGAAGCGAGAGTGGAAGTGGGACAGCTGGAGAGAATATTCAGATGGGAAATGGTGGTGGCAGAGCGAGGAGTGGAAGTGCGATCGAGAGGAGGAGAAGAGCGATTTTGCTGTCGAAGACACAGGAAATGGTTGGTGATCGAGTTTTGGCTCAAATCTAGCTAAACATGCGCTTTCTGGTGCACTGAATTGTTCTGGTTTCTTGGGGCGAGTTTAGGAATTGTTTGGGCTGTTTGATTGTAGTACTGTAGCTGGAGGATTACGGTAGCTAGAGGATTACGGTAACTGAGGATTACTGTAGCCAAAGGACTACGTTAACTAAAGGATTACGATAGATAAAGGGCTACTGTAGCTGAGGAATTGAGCGAAATATCTTTCCATTGCTTTTCCGAAAGCTTTTCCGCCAATTTTCCTTCAACTCGAGCTTTCAGTCACTCTTCGGTAGCCAAGATTGGAGCTCATCAATCAAGAAACCAAATCCAGTTGATGATCGACCAACAATGATCGGAAATTTGATGAGAAATCTGTTTGTGAGGAGATTCACGCATCAAGTAAGTATTAAAATTGAATTAATTGGCCAAAATTGGGAATTGATTGGCCAAAATTCTGATTTTTCTGAGGATCTTAAGCTTAAGTACCCTGAATCGATTCAATTTTTTAACTTTTCATATACTATTCTAAAGTTGGCTTCATTCGAATCCAAAGCTCGCTCAGCTTGGCTCAGCTTGGCTCAACTTGGTCCAGATTGGCTCCACTTGGCTCAGCTTGGCTCCACTTGGCTCAACTTGGCTCAGCTTGGTCCAGATTGGCTCAGCTTGGTCCAGATTGGCTCAGCTTGGTCCAGATTGGCTCAGCTTGGTCCAGATTGGCTCAGCTTGGCTCAGCTTGGCTCAGATTTCTTTTGAAACAACCTGTACTAGACATAGGAAATTTCTTTAGAAATTTCAAGCTGAACTTAATTCCATCGTTTTCTCGGTCGTTTTTTGTTCAATTTTGGTTTCTTGTCCGTTTGTCTACATACGTTCTTGTAAAATTTTGTCTACAAGCTGTTGATTGTAGATTGTCTACAAGCTGTGGACTGTAGATTGCCTACAAGCTGTGGATTGTAGACAAGCTGGGGACTGTAGATTGTCTACAAGCTGTGGACTGTAGATTACCTACAAGCTGTCGATCATCTATTGTAGACACAATTGAAAAGTCAAGCCGACCCAAGCCAAGCCAAGCCAAGTCAAGCCAAGCCAACTCAAGCCAAACCAATCCAAGCCAATCCAAGCCAAGCCAAGCAAGCAAATTTCAAAGAAATCGGCGAAGAAAAAACCGAGAAAATGATGGAATTAGATTCGGGGCTTGAATTTTTCTATTTTATGTCTATTAATTCTACTATACAAGTGATTAATTCCACAGATTTAAATGATTATTGTATTTAGGAACGAGAAGAGCACAAAGAAAAGCTTCGTCTCCTCACAGAGCAAGCGTTAGAGAATGATTCGTGGACAGACAATGGAGAAGATGGAGAGATTGGAGGGGATTTTGAGGGAAAAGGGTTATTGGAGAATGAAATTGTATAGTTTTTAAACGAATTGCGTTTTCTAAAACATTTAAAAAGATAGAAAAAAGATTGGAAAATAGAAAAAGAAAAAAAAAGTGAATGAATGTAAATAAAAATAGAACAAGACAAGAAAAATAGACAAGATTACGGTAGAAATTGCGACAAAATAGAGACAAGATTACGGTAGACACGTTTTAGAAAACATTTTTGGGGGGTGGGACAAATGCGAGCTTTTTTTGCGCACCTGGACATTTGCGCACCTTTTTTTTGCTGGAAAAGGCCATAGGAAAGGCCGTAGAGCTTCAAAAATGTTTTCATAGAAGGGAATCGTATGCGTAGATTCCGAATTTCGACAAATCAGACCTCGCTGACACGTCAAATTTGGGCTAAAAGGCAAAAACTGCGGAAAAGCGTTAAGTTGCGTAGTTTTTGCCTCTTAGCCCAAATTTGACGTGTCAGTGAGGTGTGATTTGTCGAAATTCGGAATCTACGCATACGATTCCCCTATATGAAAACATTTTTGAAGCTCTACGACCTTTCCTAAGGCCTTTTCCAGCAAAAAAAAGGTGCGCAAATGTCCAGGTGCGCAAAAAAAGGTCGCATTTGTCCCACTCCCAAAAAGTGAATGAATTAAATAAAAATAAAGACAAGATTACGGTAGAAATTACGACAAAATAAAGACAAGATTACGGTAGACATGTTTTAGAAAACATTTTCATTCGTTTTTTGCTTTTTTTGCTTTTTTTCGATCAATTTCGATTCTATTCGATTCAAAAATAAGAAATTTCATTATAAAATGTTATTCCTTTTGCTTTCTAGCTTGTACTTTGTGCTTAAACTTGTAAACACATCCTTTCTAGTGCAGTAAATACTTCATTTTTCTCTTTAGCTTAAAGAAAATGAAATAAAAAAGAAATAAAGAAGAAATAAAGAAAGAAATGAAGAATTTAATGCATTAGAAAGATGTTTAAAAGCTTCAAAAAGTAGCTTGACTCGAATTTTATTCTGTGCTTAGCTTTTCTTTCATTTTTTTGTTCTATTCTTGTTGAATTCTTGTTGAATTCTTGTTCAATTCTTGTTCAATTCTTGTTCTCTTGTTCAATTCTTGTTTTTCTTCAATATTTACGGGTTTTTCCTTTTTCTCTCTAGCTTTTTATAATCCCAAATAACTTTAGAATAGCACAAAAGCTTTAGAAATTTGATTTGAAACTTTAAAAATCGATTAGTTGGGTATTCTTTGTGATTTTTCTTTGGTTTTCTGGTTTTAAATTTGAAATAAAGACTTGTAAAACTGGGGAAATTGTTTGGAATTGTTTGGAATTGTTTGGAATTGTTTATAAATGTTTATAAATGTTTATAAATGTTTATAAATGTTTATATACTTTAAATACTTTATTTAGAAAGAAATAAAGTGCGAAAACGACATGAAAAATGTACTAGATATGGTTCCAATATGGTTCGAAATGGTTTCGATGGTTCGAGATGGTTCGAAAATGGTTCCAATATCGTTCCAATATGGATAAAAGATGACAAAGTCACTTAAAATGCAACGAAGTAGCCCTTTTAAAATCAGACACGGTGGAGTTCAAACGCAACTTGTCGGGAAGGGCATTCCAAACTTTAATCACACGATTTACAAAAAAAGCTAGAGATCTAGAGGATTTAGAGAAAGCAGATTCGGGATACAAGATAAAAGAGCTTTTAGTGACTTTTGGTGACTAGGGACTAGGGTCACCAAAAGCCTCGAGTTTAGCCGAAAAAAATTTTTAAAAAGAGGGTTTTGATGTTTTCCTTTTACAATTTTTACTATTGGAACCGTATTGGAACCGTATTAGATCAAAAAAAGAGCTGTATTGGAACCGTATTAGATCAAAAAAGAACCGTATTAGATCAAAAAAAACCGTATTGGAACCGTATTGGAACCGTATTGGAATCGTATTGGAACCGTATTAGATCAAAAAAAGAACCGTATTGGAACCGTATTGGAATCAAAAAAAGAGCTGTATTGGAACCGTATTAGATAAAAAAAAGAGCCGTATTGGAACCGTATTAGATCAAAAAAAAGAACCGTATTGGAACCGTAACCGTATTGGATCTAAAAAGAAGCCTTGAGTAGCTCTATCTTGATGTAGTCTGGCCCTGGTGCTGTTCCAGTCTTGATGGTGGCGATGGCTGCTCTGATTTCGGCTGGGAGGACTGTCGGTATTTTTTTCTGTGGCAGCTGGCACTTGCGGTGGTGGGTGGGTGCCTGTCGACGAGTAGAGGTCGGTGTAGAAGTCTTGGACAATCTTCTCCATCGCCGCTCTTGAGTTGGTTCTTGTGCCGTTGTTGTCCTTTAGGGTTGTGAAGACTTCCCTGAAAAAAAAATTTCTTTTCCAGCGCGTTTTTCTTTGACTTTTCACTTATTTTTATATGTATTTCTTGAAATGATCATTTTTGAGTCGTCAAAAGATGAAAATCGATGAAAGAGATGAAAATCGGAACCGTGATCTAAATCTAAATCTAAAAATATCTAAAAAGAACTGTATGGGAACCGTATTGGATCTAAAAAGAACCGTATTTGAACCGCACTCAACCAAATCTATGATAGCGCTGTTCTAAGGTTTTAATTGAGACGCTGTTCTAAGGTTTTAATTGAGAAAAGTTTCATTTTCAATTTTGTCGCTTAGGGACTTAGAAATAGGTGACCAAATTAAAGAAGCATATCTGTAAATGTTTATCAGTAATTCTTTATCTATAATTCTTTATCTGTAACTCTTTATCTGTAACTCCTTATCTGTAATTCTTTATCAGTAACTTTTTATCAGTAATTCTTTATCTGTAACTCTTTATCTATAATTCTTTATCTGTAATTCTTTATCTGTAATTCTTTATCTGTAGTTCTTTATCAGTAATTCTTTATCTGTAACTCTTTATCTATAATTCTTTATCTGTAATTCTTTATCTGTAATTCTTTATCTGTAGTTCTTTATCAGTAATTCTTTATCTGTAACTCTTTATCTGTAACTCCTTATCTGTAATTCTTTATCAGTAACTTTTTATCAGTAATTCTTTATCTGTAACTCTTTATCTGTAACCCTTTATTTGTAACTCTTTATCTGTAATTCTTTATCTGTAACCCTTTATTTGTAATTCTTTATCTGTAATTCTTTATCTGTAATTCTTTATCTGTAATTCTTTATCTGTAGTTCTTTATCAGTAATTCTTTATCTGTAACTCTTTATCTGTAACTCCTTATCTGTAATTCTTTATCAGTAACTTTTTATCAGTAATTCTTTATCTATAATTCTTTATCTGTAACTCTTTATCTGTTATTCTTTATCAAAAAGAGATACTCGATGCAGCATCGGATTGAAGAAGATCATCAACATCAAACTCGGCCAACTCTTCGTCTACTGAAATCTCCTTGTACAAAAGTACAAAAGTACAAAAGAACACCAAAGTATAGTAATTTTCTGTAGTTTGTGCTTGATTTTGCCCTTTTTTCACGTTTTCTTCAAAGAAAGGCTGTGAGAAAGCTAAAAAATTGCATGAATAAACTAAAAAATTGAATTTCTCCCGTAAAAGTCGCGTTTCTGGGCTATCTAACACACCAATCGACTCAAAAAGACTTATTTACAAACTAACTAATACCAAACCTTGTACTTTGTGTTCTAAACATAAACGCACACCTGCTGGCACTTGTTTTTTTTGAGTAATAACGAATATAAACCTTCAATTTCTTCGACTTGAACTCGCTCGGCATTTGGCTCTTTTTGTTCATCGTTTGAGGCTGAAAGTGAGGCTGAAATATTAGCTTATAACTTTCTATCTTTCTTATCTTCTTCCTTATCTTCCCCTTCCTTAGCTTCTACTTCCTTGTCTTCTACTTCCTTGTCTTTGTCCTCCTTATCTTCCCCTTCCTTATCTTCTCCTTCCTTATCTTCTCCTTCCTTATCTTCCTCTTCCTTATCTTCCCCTTCCTTATCTTCCCCTTCCTTATCTTCCCCTTCCTTATCTTCCCCTTCCTTATCTTCTTCCTTATCTTCCCTTCCTTATCTTCCCCTTCCTTATCTTCCCCTTCCCTATCTTCTTCCTTACCTTCCCCTTCCTTATCTTCTACTTTCTTATTTAAGATTTGAAAGTCTAAAACCGAACGAACATTTCTCTGTAGTTTGGGGTGAAGTTTCACTCTTTGTACCAATTCCTCTTTTCGATTTTGGTGAATCTGCTAGAGTTGAATTTGTTGAGCTGAGTGAAGCCAATTCTATGTTCTGATTTCTTTCTTCTCTTTCTTTCTTCTTTCTTTCTTCTGATTCATCAGCTTCTGAGTCACTTGAAGATTCGAGCTCTAGAAGAATTTAGTTTTAAAGCTCTAGAAGGAGTTAGCTTTAAAGCTCTAGAAGGGTTTAGCTTTAAAGCTCTAGAAGGAGTTAGCGTTAAAGCTCTAGGAGGAGTTGGCTTTAAAGCTCTTGAAGAATTTATCAAAATACTAGAAAAGATCTATCTTGCCACTCACTTTCGTTGAAATCAAGAGCAGCAATTGAGCGCAGTCCAAGCGATCGGCCTATTGGTGGCAAAGATGGAGCACTGGAAAAGGAACTTGATTGACTTGACTTTCCTTGACTTTCCTTCACTTTAACTACAATTCATTGCAATAGAAAGGTTATCTTTACAAAGCAAAACACAAAGTAAATGTCTATTAAAGTTTTTGAAATTACTTCAATGGTGGCAGTGATGAGGTGGAAGAGAATAAAGGTTTAGAGATTCCAGTGAGTGGCTCGATGGGAGGTTTTGGAGTGGATCGATTGAACCAAGAAGTGTTTCCTGAAGTACTTAGTTCTCTAGCTTTGAATGCTTCTTGTCTGCCGTAATCTGTCTACCGTAATCTGTCTACCGTACCGTAGAGATTTAAGATTGTCTCTTTATATCCAACTTTCTGATTGTACCTGTTGGTTCTTGTGGACTTGAAGCCGTTGAAGATGAAGAGGTTGATTGGCTGGCTGATGGAGAACTTGATGGATTCATTTCCTAAATCATTATTTCACAATATTACTGTCTATAGATTTAGATTGAAGTTAGCCAAAAAGGTTAAAGAGAAAGAGAGAGAAAGAGAAAGAGAGAGAAAGCGAATACGGTAACTAGAGGATTACAGTAACTAGAGGTTTACAGTAGCTAGAGGATTACGATAGCTAAAGGGCTACTGTAACTAGAGGATTACAGTAACTAGAGGTTTACAGTAGCTAGAGGATTACGATAGCTAAAGGGCTACTGTAACTAGAGGATTACAGTAACTAGAGGGTTACGGTAACTAGAAGATTACGGCAACTAGAGGATTACGATAGTTGTATCAAATTTGGTCTTGTAAAGTAAACCTTTGCTTGTTGAACTTCCTCCAATTGAGCGATGCTGGATTTCTCTGAAGTCTAAAGATTTCTTTTCAACTTTAGCTTTAACTTTTGATTGACCTGATTTTTTGTAAGTGATTTCCGAAGATTTGACATTGATTGAAGGAGGTTATTGTTGAGAGAATTCTTTGCGGATTTTATAGAGATTGAACTTTGCGCTGATGAAGCTCGACCGTCAGCAACTGCTCGAATTGGAGAGCTTGGGGCCTAAGATTGGATTGTAATCCACTTTTTAACAGTCTCCACTTGTTGTCAAATGGTTGACTGGTTAGGTGGTCGTTGTCTCTTAATCAAAAGATGAATTAAAAGGTCAAGGGTTAGCTGACGAGCTCGACGAGGGTTTTTCAACATTTAGTGTTAAGGGTATTTTATTGTACGTTAAAGGAATTGTACTGTATGTTAGGATATTGGATTGTACGTTAAAGGAATTGTATTGTACGTTAAAGGAATTGTACTGTATGTTAGGATATTGGATTGTACGTTAAAGGAATTGTATTGTACGTTAAAGGAATTGTACTGTATGTTAGGATATTGGATTGTACGTTAAAGGAATTGTATTGTACGTTAAAGGAATTGTACTGTATGTTAGGATATTGGATTGTACGTTAAAGGAATTGTATTGTACGTTAAAGGAATTGTACTGTATGTTAGGATATTGGATTGTACGTTAAAGAAATTGTACTGTATGTTAGGATATTGGATTGTACGTTAAAGGAATTGTACTGTATGTTAGGATATTGGATTGTACGTTAAAGGTATTGTATTGTACGTTAAAGGTATTGTACTGTATGTTAGGGTATTGTCTTGTACGTTAAAGGTACTGTCTTGTACGTTAAAGATGTATTAAAGAAAGCCAGAAAGCCAGAAAGGTCAAGGGTTCAATCCCCGCTCCGAAATCTATTTTTTCTTGTCGATTTCTTTACTTCTTTACCCAGGACTAGGTAAAGAAGTAAAGAATATGAGTTAGAGGATACACTTTTATTGGAAAGAGAGAGAGAAAGAGAGAGAGAGAGAGAGAGAGAAAGAGAAAGAGAGATCAGCTGAAAGATGAGCTAAAAAAATCGGCTCAACGAAAAGTTCTTGAAATTTGTCTCAACCTTTGTCTCAACTCAAATCAACACCTGGTCAAATCTGACCTAGAAATTTGGCCTAGAACAACGGTGAGATTGCTCTTACATTATTCACAAAAACACTACCGATTGCTGTTCCACTGATGGCGAGATATCGATTGGGTCCACGGATTTCTCGGTGTGCAATCTTGGCTCAACCGGAAGCGCTGCTTTATTTAGTGGAAGTTTTGCATCAAATAATATTGGCTGAATTTCTCGAGCTTCTTTTATATCAAATAATTTCTCTTCCTCTTGATCTCGAACCCAGGTTTCTCGAGGTAACACCTGAAATTTAAATCTTTAGCTATCCTAATATAAAAATTCTTTTTAAAAGCTTATTTCTTTACGCTTAAACTTGCAAACAAATCCTTTCTAGTGCAGTAAATACTTCATTTTTGTCTTTAGCTTAAAGAAAATGAAGAAATGAAGAATTTAATGCATTAGAAAGATGTTTAAAAGCTTCAAAAAGTAGCTTGACTCAAATTTTATCCTGTGCTTAGCTTTTTTTTGTTCAATTCTTGTTTTTCTTCAATGTTTATTTGTTTTTCCTTTTCTCTCTAGCTTTTTATAATCCCAAATAACTTTAGAATAGCACAAAAGCTTTAGAAATTTGATTTGAAACTTTAAGAAATCTCAGAAAAGAGAGAAAGACTCAGATCGACCGGCCACGACCAGAAGAACAGACGACTGATGGACGATATGGATCAGACGCAGAAGAGCTGCTTGGACAGCACTAGGAAGCATCAAAGAAGTCACAAAGATGCTCAAGAATCACCAGAGAACTCGGGCACAACTCTTCGACAGCACCGTCCACCCGGCACTCTGCTACGGGACAGAGACCTGGGCCACGACACAGACCACCGAACGAGCCCTAAGAACGACGCATCGAGCCCTTGAAAGGAACCTCCTCGGGCACAATGAAGACGCAGCTCGACCAAACCCAAGAAGTACGGAGATGCGCCAGCTCTCGGGACTCAGAGGAGATTCAGTGGAAGTGATCGACAGAAAAAGACTCAGATGGCCCATCCACCGGCCCGACCACATAGCCAGAAGAACAGACGACTGATGGACGATACGGATCGCAGAGTGGCTACCACGAGGCCAGAAGAGGCCCATCGGAAGACCAGCAACGAGGTGGAGCACAAGAGTGACAGAAATTGTCAGATGGCAGAGGTCAGAAGGATGACTAGAGTGCAACCACCACCAGTACAAGCAAGTCGAAGACTTCGAACCAGGAACAACCAAGATAGGAAACACTTGATGACAATAGCAAGGGATAGAGAAATGTGGAAGCAGGTTGTGAGCCACGCAAATAGGAACACCTAAGTGCGAAGACAGATCAAAAAATTAGAGTACCAAAGCACAATCAAGTCAAAATGTTTTTATGAAAACTTGAAAACAATTCAATCTGTCTGGCTATGGGTAAATGAAACGAATTCTGTAGATTTCGGTGAGCTAGATCACTTGTGTTTACACGTGTGTGCTGTTCTTTTGGAGTGTTAGCTGTGCTGTGCAAATTGTAATCTTTGGACTTTGTGCTCAAAAGTATGAACACTTTTCTGGTGAACTGAATTTTTCACTTTCTCGCTATACTAGAAGAAAGCGTAAAATCCAATTCGCTAGAAAGGGTGCATTTACAGCTTTTCCAGCACAAAGCACAAAGTACACTTGATCCAAACCTTTCCAACTATCGCTGGATACACTCGAAAGTGTTCATTTAACGAGTCGATCGTGAAATTCGAAACGAATAGAGATAATTGCTCGATATTCAACAATCTCTAAATCATCGAAATCTTCATTACAGTACTTTCAGCTAGCTAGCTTTCTATCTAGCTTCCTTTCTAGCTTCCTTTCTAGCTTCCTTTCTAGCTTCCTTCCTAGCTTCCTTTCTAGCTTTCTATCTAGCTTCCTTTCTAGCTTTCTATCTAGCTTCCTTTCTAGCTTCCTTTCTAGCTTTCTACCTAGCTTCCTTTCTAGCTTTCTACCTAGCTTCCTTTCTAGCTTCCTTTTGCTTCCTTCTCTTCTAGCTTCCTTTTGCTTCCTTTCTAGCTTCCTTTCGTTCCTTTGCTTCCTGTCTAGCTTCCTTTCTAGCTTCCTTTCTAGCTTCCTTTCTAGCTTCCTTTCTAGCTTCCTTTCTAGCTTCCTTTCTAGCTTCCTTTCTAGCTTTCTACCTAGCTTCCTTTCTAGCTTCCTTTCTAGCTTCCTTTCTAGCTTCCTTTCTAGCTTCCTTTCTAGCTTTCTATCTAGCTTTCTAGTTATCTCAAACCTAGATTACATCAATTTCCTAACTCTTCACCCTACCTCGTAAGTTTCAGCTTGTAGCAACTCAGCAGTGGCGTCCAAACAACAATCTTTCAACCAGTGATAGACAATTGAACGCGAGATTAGATCTAAAAAGAACCGACGTGCACTTTTATGCTTAAATCTTGTAAACACACTCCTTCTGGTGCACTTAAAATCTTGAAAACGAGAACAAACCATTCTCGGAGAGCACAGGATACGGCCGCCCAACGTCGAGCATTCGCATCACCGCCTCGCGAATCACTTTCTAAAGATTCGAAATTGTACAATAACCTGGCTTTTATTCTTTAAAAATAACTGTTTTAAAGCTGGAAAGGGTCTGTTTGTTTGTCTGCCTGCCTGCCTGTCTGTCTGTCTGTCTGTCTGTCTGTCTGCCTGCCTGCCTGCCTGTCTGTCTGTCTGTCTGTCTGTCTGTCTGTCTGTCTGTCTGTCTCTCTTTGTCTGTCTGTCTCTCTGCTTGCCTGTCTGCTTGCCTGTCTGCTTGCCTGTCTGTCCGTCTGTCTGTCCGTCTGTCTGTCTGTCTCTCTGTAACTGTCTTATCGTAGTCTTGGTCTTTACTTTAAGCTGTTTTCTTAAGCCTTTTGTAAGATACTAGATACTGAAACCAAAAAGCCGAATCAATCGAGTCCTGTGCGGAGAGACTCAATAAAATTAATGTCTCCAATCGATTCACCGACCCCGAAAACCCTCGGGTACAAATTTACAGCTGAATATCTTCTTTTTATGCAATCTACAAAGCAAAAGTGAAATGATTGGTGGGTGTTCTTTGTGTCGGCGCACAATCGCTCGCGATCTGGCAAACCCACTTAGCATAAGGGTTACGAGTCGGTAAAGAGAAAGAAGCGATGAGCAGATGATTGACAAGAGTCACATTTACATTTGCCACCTGCTCGTTGGGTGACTTTTGTTCACATCTTATTTCTTATAAAGATTAGTGTAAAAAGCCGGCAATTTTCAATTCACCAACCCAATATTACTTTATTTATTTTATTACTTAAACTGTGGATTCTTTTTGTTCACTTATTTTCGTTCACTAACCGTCAAGAATATATAGGCTTTTTGCTTCCGCAACTTCTCGACGAGGCGCTCTTGAAAATCGTCATTAAACGAATCAGTGGTGGCCATAATTGCTAAACTTTACATATAAATAAAACATTAAACTTGCAATAATTTAAGAATTTAAGCTTTAAGAATCTAAGCTTTAAGAATCTAAGCTTTCAATAATTTCTCTAGATTAGAATGGATTTTCTTTAGGCGCTAGCTTTGGTTACCATGGTCACGTCGCTTTTCTCAAAAAGAATCGTTTAACGGGATTTATTGCTGCAAATTGCAATGGGTTCTGTGAAGAAACTATAAAGAAACTATAAAGGAGCTTTAAAGGAGCTTTAAAGGAGCTTTAAAGGAGCTTTAAAGGAGCTTTAAAGGAGCTTTAAAGGAGCTTTAAAGGAGCTTTAAAGGAGCTTTAAAGGAGCTTTAAAGGAGCTTTAAAGGAGCTTTAAAGGAGCTTTAAAGGAGCTTTAAAGGAAGCTTTACTAGAAAAAAGAGAAATTAAAAGAATTCAGTGTGCCAGAAAGGATTTGTTTGTGTGTAAGTACACTGGGAATAGGCTACAAACACTTCTCTTCCATTTCCTTCAGAAAATCACTCGCAATAGCTTGCTATATTGCACTAAAATCCCGATTACTGTAACTTATAATCGAATGCAAATTTATTCTTCACATTTTATTCGCTAATTTTCTTTTCCAGGATGAGTGGCATTCGAAATTCTCGTGTTTTTCGATCAATTGGATGACGGCTTGCATGTGGTCGATCACCGAGAAGTTCTTGCGAAGGCCGACTGCTCCGCTGGCTGGTAGTCGTCGAGTTGCCGCTCTATTCATTGTTTGTTCTATTTGTTAGAGAATCTTCGTGTAGAGCTTGTACAGGGCCGATAGCAGAGATATTGACCTGTAGTTTCCGATGTCTTCTTTGTCTCCTTTCTGTCTCCTTTGTTGTCTCCTTTCTTGCTTCTCGCCAGTGGTCAGGCATCCTCTAGTTGTGGAGGTAGGTGGTGAAGCGTTCGGCCAGCAGCTTGTGCATGTCTTTTCCTCCAGCCTTGAGTAGCTCTATCTTGATTTAGTCTGGCCCTGGTGCTGTTCCAGTCTTGATGGTGGCGATGGCTGCTCTGATTTCGGCTGGGAGGACTGTCGGTATTATTTTTTCTGTGGCAGCTGGCACTTGCGGTGGTGGGTGGGTGCCTGTCGATGAGTAGAGGTCGGTGTAGAAGTCTTGGACAATCTTCTCCATCGCCGCTCTTGAGTTGGTTCTTGTGCCGTTGTATGTATTTCTTAAAATGATCATTTTTGAGTCGTCAAAAGTTTGGACACGCTTTATTTTACAATTTTTATATATAATTACAGAGATTTTACAATTTTTATGTATAATTACAGAGAAAAAACCTTTCAGAGAATGTCATGGAGCTTCTCGTTGCAAAAATCAATAGTGCGATGAGCTGCCGAAAAGCTACCGATATCTATGCTCGACTGTAGCAGAAAAAACTTTCACAAATGGAAAAGAATCGGCCTCGCTCAAGCGTCAATCTGTTTGAGGACGATCAAAAAAGACTACAAAGAGGCCAAGCGGTACTTCTTTAATTTGTACCCCCAAACAGCGATTTTTGAAAAATTTTGCTTTTGATTTTGATTTATTCGATTTCGAAAAATTACGAAAATTTTAGTTTAAAAATTTTTTTCTTTATAGTTCCTTTATAGTTCCTTTATGGTTCCTTTATAGTTCCTATTTAGTTCCTTTAAAGCTCCTTTAAAGCTCCTTTATAGTTCCTTTATGGTTCCTATTTAGTTCCTTTATAGTTCCTTTATAGTTCCTTTAAAGCTCCTTTAAAGCTCCTTTATAGTTCCTTTATAGTTCCTTTATAGTTCCTTTATAGTTCCTTTATAGTTCCTTTATAGTTCCTTTATAGTTCCTTTATAGTTCCTTTATAGTTCCTTTATAGTTCCTTTATAGTTCCTTTATAGTTCCTTTATAGTTCCTTTATAGTTCCTTTATGGTTCCTTTACAGTTCCTTCTTTATTCTCTCTTATTATTTTTGTGTTTTTTTTTGTACATAACTAAGCATTAGAAATAATATTTAAAAGAAATTACCGTAAATACTGTAATAGTACCCTACCCCCCTAGTACAGTCGCGTAGTCGCAAAAGTTTTTTAGTATTTCATTTTTTTCAAAGCGCCCGTACTTTCAAAAAATACGTCTTTGGTATCAAAAAATAGCCCTGAATTTCAGCTATTTTTTGATACCTAAGCGCGCATTGTAGCATAAACGAGTGTCGAGAAAAACTCGTTCAAAGCTAGACTACGCAACACTCCGCACCGGAATTAGTTACCTCCGCGCCGTCATTATGGGGGTGGGGTACTATTACAGTATTTACGGTAGGTTATTTTAGTTATAGACTGCTGCCTTCAGCAGCTTCAGTTCTGAAATGATGCCTTCAATTTTGTTCTCGAGCTGTAATCGCTGCCTTGTCCGACCTCTAATTTTTGCTTTTTTATTCTTTTTGGGTTCCAACTTAGTGATATTTCCAAAAGGCCATTTCCAAAAAGCCATTTCCATTTGCCATTTTCAGCGAAACCCTTATACTCCACTTTAGCTAGTTACATTATCCAACTAAACATTAAGATTTACTACTTTTAAGCCGATAAATTGTTATTGTTTGTTATTGTTTGTTTTGTTATTCTTACTAGCGCCGAGATCACAGCATTTTAACGCTGTGATCACAGCATTTTAACGCTGCGATCTCAGCATTTTAACGCTGTGATCTCACGCCAAGAGGTGTGTCCAAACTTTTAGCCACTATTGTAAATTATTTCAACAATTCGTTGGCTAAACTTTCTTTTCCTCTTTACCAAAAACATTCCCACAAAGTGGCAGCGTCCCTTGTTCACTCGCGGTCTGTAGCCTGTCCCCTTTACCGTATTCCCCACCTAGCCTTTCCCTACACGCGACTACAAGAAACAAACTGTTTTCATCATTTCACCCTCTCCACTCATTCAAATATTAATTTTTGTGCGCTTTTTGTTTTTTTGTTTAGCTTTACCTTATCTAAACCTGTTTTCTTTATCTTAAAAATGATTTTTCTTACTTTTAGAATCCTCCAACACAACGAATGGATGTGGTGGGTGATGTTGGACCACTTGTTGGCCATGATTTAGTGAGTTTTTGCTTTTTGCTTTTGCTTTTTTTGTTATTTTCTTGTTTAGTTTGATGAAAACGTGTATTATATGACGGAAAATAGGGAAAATATAGTAAAAGGGGTGGGTTTTTAGCTTAAAAATTGGGTATTTTTCTGCTTTAGCTTGATAAAAAGCCGACAATATTGCAAATCTATAGTAATTTGCTGCCAGAGGTGGGTTTTCTTATTGTAAATTATCTATGAGTGAGCTAGAAGGGATAAAAATTGGGTTAAATTTTGATTAAACTTGTTTTAGGCATCATTTTGATTCAAAAGCTGCAAAATTTTCAGATAAAAATAGACATTTTCTTTTAGAATTCTTTATTTTCTTGCAGAATTCTTTATTCCCTTTTAGAATTTCTGTGGAAAACTGTTTGGATCAGTTAATTGTTCAATGTTTTCGTTTTTTTTAGGTGGCTCAAGACGAATTAGTGGTGGAAGATGGATCGGATTGGATGATTGAGGATCCGAATGTGGCACACGAGGAAACCGTTGATGACGCTTTTCAAAGGGTACATGCTTTAAGGCTATGGGTTTTTGTAAAAACGAAGGTTCCTTTCTAAGGTTTTAGGATTTTTGAATGAAAGCCAAGTTTTAAACGATTAGAAATTTGTAGAAGTTGTAGAAATTTGTAGAAGATATTTGGCTGTCCAGAAAGTCTTTTTGTTCCTTTTTTTACTTTCGTTTAAAACCAACAAAGACACCAATTGAACTACATTAAAAACCAATTGAACTTGTTTCATTAAAAAGGCCAATTATTTTTCTGTAAAATAATATTAAAACGGGTTCCGACTTAAAAAGATGGGAATTCCAACAATAGACACTTTTAAGTTAGAGCAAGCCATAGGTTAATTGGTTAATTTTTCAAGGAAAGTATGAAATGGAACGAAAAGAACTTTTTGGCAGTCTAATAGTTTGACAAAAACATTTCAGGCTTTCGAATAAGACAGAGTTGAGTTAAATTTGATAGTCCAGTCTCGAGAAAATCAAACGGTCACAAATTTGATTGATAGGTTAGTTGTTGAGCCGCTTAATCTTTGTTTGATTTTCTTGTGATTTGTCTTTTTAATCTTTTTATTGTTGCAAAGTTTTGATCAATCTTTTCGTTGTTGCAGAGTGCCGACTTGGAGTTGTTGGAGTTGGACGAATTGATAGATGTTGGCGGTGAAGGTGATGGATATGTGGGACTATCGCTAAACCTCAACGATTTACTTTCAAAGGTTGGTTTTGTGTAAGTTTCGATGTAAATTTTGATGTAAGTTTTAACTAACAAAAGTAATTTATCATCTTATATTTTAATAAGGAAGATATTTTAATCAGTCAGATTTTTTGGTAAAGCTTATATTGATGCTTATATTGATTTTATTGTTGTTAATTTCTTCTTTAGGCGATCGAATTTGAGGGAAACGAGCGAATTGTCGTGTGTTTCTCGAAAAAGGGTCGTCCCCAGCTTGCCGCCGAGGGTTTCCTCTACAATGCTATTGGATATGTAAGTTTACTTTACTTAGTCTTAGTTTACTTTACTTAGTCTTAGTTTACTTTACTTAGTGCTAGTTTATGTAATGTTAAATAGCTAAAGCTATTCAAATTCAGAACATTTTTAGTACAACGAGAACTACGAGTGTCAGTGGCGTTGCGTGAATCCGTCGTGTCCGGCCAAGGTCTGTTTATAATTTTTTTCAATTTCACAGTTATTTAGCTCCGTTCAAGCCCCGGCTTCACCGAATTGAGCTATTTATGCAGCACACATTTGAGTTCTTGTATTCCTGATGATCTCCAGGTAGCCAATTTAACCAATTTATTTTAGTTTAGCCAATTTAGCTATCAAAGTATATAACTAATATACCTAGATGTGTTTTAAATACATCTAAATATGTTTTGCAAATATATCTAGATCTAAAAATGTCTAGATCAAGTTCGAGTAGATCTTGTAATGTTTTTTTGCTTCAGCTTCGACTTCGCATCGCCATCTTTGACCTTCGACTCGTCGCTGAGTTCACCGATCATCCACTTGAAGATATTCACCGGAATTTTTGTGAGTAACATAGAAAAACCCTGCAGTTGTTAGTTAACTAGGGAAAACCGACAAGCCGGCCTGGGTTCTTGGCGGTTTTTTTACTTGCATTTAAAATACAAACTTTCTGCGATGTTTGCTAATTAGAAAGATTGAATATAAATCAAATTTAGTGCTCGATCTTTGGAACAAATCCCCGGAGGTGGCGCAAATTTTCCCGCCCTTTGAGACGTTGGCAAGAACGCTGCAACAACATCGCACAGAAAAGGTTGGAATGTTTTTTGATTGGTGAAAGATTTATCAAAAGTTCTTGTTCTAACAGCTTAATAACAAGGATTTTAGAGCTATCGTCGTCGCTTTGAGCTGCAGCACTCGAAAGCGCAACGAATGACGATAGACAGCATGAGTCTGGGCAAAAAGACGAAGCCGCTTCCATTGGTGAGCTTTGGGATTTGTGTTTTAAATTGCCAAATAGATATTGTGACCAAGTTGCCGCAATTTTTTGCTTCTATGAAAACGTTCCCCCAAAACTACACATATATTTAGGCAACTTGCTTCCTTTGTGGCGACCAGATGCGCTCGTCGGACATTCCGTCGCAGGATATGTTGATTGGACATGTACAGAATATACACAGGCTTGTTTTTTTAAAGAATATCGAGATTAACAAAATTATAAACAGCCTTATAGATTTATAAAATTGCTTAAAAATGTAACTACATTCGAACCTCGTTAGTGAACACCTCGATAGTGAACTAACCTCGATAGGAATCGGATTTTTTAGGATCCCTCTGAGTTGATTTAGTACTAATCAAACCTCGATAGTGAACTAACCTCGATGGTGAACCATTTTTTAGGATTCCTTCCATAGTTAACTAACGAGATTCGACTGTATTTCTTCTTTAGTAAGCCCGAGCTCTCGATCGGCCAATTCACGTTCGCGGATGCGGCCTCTTTTGAAGTGAGTTTTACCTTAACCTAGTTTTAATTTGGCCTAACTTTGGCTTACGATTGTGAATTAGTCATTTAATTGAACACTTTTAAACATTTGCATGGCATTTTTTTAGCAATGGATCCGCGCCGTGCTTGCCTCTGCCGCTCAGACACCGGATTGCCGTTTGAAGAAATATGGGGTTTTCGACGAATGCATGTACTACCTGTGCGCGAATGATAGTCGACAAATGCTGAAAAAGGTAACTTTCGAATTTCAAAACTTTCCATTTCAAATTTCGAAGGTAATTTTCAATTTTCAGAGACACGAGGCCGTCGAAGAGTTGCACAGCTCGTGCACGGCTTTTGTGAGGGTTCGAGACTTTAGGGTTGGTTTATTTTTTTGAAAATTTTAAATTGATTTTTTAGAATGCTCGTGAGAAATCTTCGCCAATCATCGTTGACTACAATTTGGATCACTGGAGTCACTCGGGTTGGTCGATTTCCATTGAGCTTTCAATGGATTTTAATATCTAGATTACCATTTTTCTAGAAACAATCTTGAACGAGCCGTTAATCCCCGAGTACTTCATGGAGCACTTGAAAGCGAAACGAAAAAGAACACAGGATTTTTTACAGGACACCAAGTTACAGGTTTGTTTTGTGCAAATATCTATAACGCAATGCAAGTTAAACTTTATGTTGAATATTTTTAAACTATCCAATTTCAGCGCGTTTCACGAGTCGCCGCTATGGGAGCCACATCGGCGGTGATTAGCACAAGGTGTAAGTAAAAGTTTTACCTCTAAGACATATAATAGATTTTGTTGTTTAGGCAGTGCCAAGCACTGTCAACTATATTTTCGATATTTAGTGGTGAATAGCGGCGAGAAAGTGATTGCGGCGGCGGCTCGACGCCAGAATATGCCGAATCCGATCACCGCTTTCCAATTCTCCAATCAGGGACTTGATCATGGTAGGGTTTAATTTAAAGGGGATATGGTTAAAACAGCGCCGTCAAATTTCTCACAATCCAAAAAATCAAGCCGGCTCAAGTTTTATACCATCATATAGCCAAGAATGCAAGGAATTTTTTGGTATAAAAATTGAAACGGCTAGGTTTTACTAACTGTGCGTGAATGATAATGCTGAAAAAGGTAACTTTCTAATCTAAAACTTTCCATTTCCATTTCGGCCGCTCGACGTCAGAACATGACGAATCCGCTCACCGCTTTCCAATTCGCCAATCAGGGACTTGATCACGGTAAAGTTTAATTTAAAGGGGATTTGGTTAAAATTGGCGCTGTCAAATTTCTCAAAATCCAAAAAATCAAGCCGGTTCAAGTTTTATACCATCATATAGCCAAGGACGCAAGGAAATTTTTGGTATAAAACTTGAACTGGCTTGCTTTTTTGGATTGTGTGAAATTTGACGGCGCTGCTTTGAACGTTTTCTATTCGGCGCTGTTTTAACTACATCACCTTTAAAGACTTAGCCCAAGATATAATACAGATACAAGATATTTGATAGAATTAAACTTATCAGGAGACATTTATTAGGTTGGAAAGAAAGTTCGTAGAAAAAGTTTGCACGGTGATTTCTCAAAAATCAAGCCATGAATTCTTCCCAGATTTTTTGATAAACTTGACTATATTTCAAAAGTTTTTAACAAAAAAGTCAGAGTGGGCTTTAGGTAAAAGAAAGAAGAGATTTCTTCAGCTGAAGTGACTTGGTCACTTTTTGAGTGACCAGCTTTTAGACAAGTTTTTAATGGTTAATGAATAGACAATGGATCTCATTCAAAACCTAAAATGAAGTACTTAAAATAGTGAAAATTTGTGATTAAGGCAAATTTTATCTAAAATTCACAGAATCACCTATTTTAGCAAGGTGCCAAGAAGATTTTGAATTATTTTTTGAAATACAGCTTTACAGCTTCTCTGTAAAAGAATTTTTAGCCAAAAATGGAGATTATAGAGCGCATTGCTCATTTATGCTAGCTTTACATCATAAGGAATCGTTTTTCTCGTGCAAAAAATGAGCTAAATTTAAGCTGGAAAAGAGTAATTTTTCAAAAATCTAAATTTTACGGAGCAGCTGCACTCATTTTTTACGAGTAATTTCTTGGAGTCGACTTATAAATAATAGAACAAAATGTTCTTAAATTAATGGATTCGTTTTCAAGAAATTCTAGTCAAACTTTTTCCGAGAACTTTCTTTCCAACCTAATAGCTATAAACACCCCACTCTTTAGATGGCCGAGATCAACCGATGGTCCAAATGATGCCTGGCGATGATGTGGCTGATAAGCTGTTGTACCCGGTGCCTGAGAATAACGAACGATTGACGGCGATAATCGCGAGATTAGGCGAGTTTTGAACTACTACTAGTACAAAGAAAACTAGACTTGTTAAAAACCTTGCTTTCATTGACCAATTTCTCTTTTCCAGGCCCTCTTACTCAATCATCACTTGCCCCTGAGGCTCACATGATCACACAAAGGGGCAACTTCCGTGACAACCACGTCCTCTACAATCACGTGCTCCAAATTGAGCAACAGTGTCAAGTAAGGGATTATTTTCATTAAAAACAAAGGTTTTTGACTTTAGAATCTCGTTCGACGGATGCAGAACTGTCGCTCGGTACAATCTGCCAAGAAACACCTTGGAAAAGTCTTGCAGCTTCTGGGAGAAGTGAGTTTTTACAGAATTTAATAATGTTTGATAGGATTTGATTTACATTTTCGATTTTCTAGGTATCAGCCGATCCATCGGTGGCCAACGGAGATGGCAGAAAATTTCCGCAAACTGGTCGGTTTTATTTTTTAAATTTACAGTTTTTATATTAAGATTAAGATATTCAGTCAATCGATCTTTTTAAGTTTAAGTATTTTTAAGTTTTATTTGTTCAGGTGACAAGAGAAGAGCCGATTTTGAGGTGGACGAGGGTGGGGAGCCGTCGACAAAGGTAAGTTTTAGTGTTTAAAATCGATTATCTATGAATCAATTTTGATATCTATTATTAAAATATGCGATAGAATTATAGATTTTTTTATGTGTTAAGAAGTTACATGTTAATAGTTTTAGATTCCCATCTTGACTCTTCCGAATGACGACGCGAACCGACCGTTTCCCATTCAAAAGGCAAAAGTTGTCAAGTCGTCGACGGCCCGGCTGGCCGGTTTTGATCTCCCGTTGAATGGTGGGTTTATTTTATGTTTTAAAATTAGTTGCTTTAAAAGTTGCTAAATCAGCTCTTCACTAGCTCCTTACTTTGCTCTTTTCAGCCGAACCACAACCGCTCGCGTCGATTGATGAGATGCAAGGAGGTGAAGGAGAAAGGTGAGTTTGTTTTTGAGTTGTCACTTTTGACAAATTTTGAACAGGCTTCGATTTGTTTAACCTTTGTTTAATTGTGTATTTTTAGAAAGGGTGAGTACGTGAAGAAGTACATCCGAAGAAACGAACAAGGACAATTGGTGATGGTGACGAGAAGGGTGACGACGAGAAGAGTTGCCTCAAAAGAGACAGACAATAGTGGTTTGTGGTTTCGTTTTGGAAAATAGCTTCCTTGTTGGTAAAGTAAGGGGAAAATGGAAAATGGATTACGGTAGGAAATAGCCACAAATATTCAACTTCTTGTGCTTTCTATATGCGCTTTCTATTTGGCACTAACTTGAGCGATATTAAAGCTCGAATTTACAGGAATCAAGTGTTACAAATTCATACAAATTGTAAAACCATTGTACAACCATTTTTTTTTTCAGATCAACCCGGCACAAGTGCTCAGACGGCTCAAACCACACAATAGAGCCACCTCGAAATCATCTTGTCCGGATCTTTTACGTACAAATGTAACAAGGTTTTTCGTTTCCTTTGTAAATTTAACCTCATCATTTCTCAGGTCTATTTTTTTGTAAAGCCGATTTTCACATTTTCACACACCAATTGTGCATTATTGGGTTTTGGGGGAAATTTCGACTACCGTAACGACTACCTTGTTGCGGAAATTTTTACAGTAACAACTATTACGGTAGTTTTATTCTCCATTTACCATCATCTAATTTTTTAAAATTACTCTCTCTCTCTTTTTTTTTCTCCACTCAAATTCTATTCCGATCTCATTGCCATTTTGTTGAATTTTCTTATTTTCTAATGTTTTTTCTTTTCTTCTTTCTGTGAAAAATCTCTATGTACGGATTTTCTCTTTGAATTTTTATCGATTTTCATTTTAAAACTAATAAGTTAAGTTTATTTTGTCGTTTTCCTCTTACTCCTTCTAGCTGATCTCGAATTTTTATGAATAAATTGAATTGTTTAGAGATTGACTCTGACTGACTAGCATCTCGAGTTTGCCAGGAAAATTGGTTTGATTGACTGCAACTTTTTCTCAGTTTTTCCCAGAGCACAGTAACCTAGGAGTACTGTAGTTTGAAGAAAGGGACACGTTTTAGAAAACGAATTAGAGGTGAAAAAAATCCTAATGCTTTTATAAAACTTGTCAACTTTGAAACTACCGTAATCTTGCTCGGGTTTTGAGCCCTTTCTGTACTATTTACATTTACAGGTAATTTTCAAAATTATCAAAATTATAATTCATCACTTCACTTCATATAACTCATCACAAAATTCCCAAAACTACATCCATCAACACCAAAAACCGATTCCAAAAGTGGTGAAATATGTTTTTTTCTTTCTTTTTTAGCTTTTCACTTTAAAATTTCAAAACAAAAAAATGGACTTTTCTTTTTGTTTAGTGTCTCTAGGAAACCGTTTCTAATATATTTTTCACTTTTTTTTTTGCTGACGACGACAACAAGAAACGCTTACGAATTCACCGCCCACCATTTGGCTTTAAGAAAAGAAAACGTTGAAATCTTTGAAATCTTTGAAATATTTGAGATTTCAAATTTAAGATGAAGAAAATTTTAATCGTTTTCGCGATTTTCTTAGCGCTAGCGGCAGCTGAATCGGAAGAGGGACGACCGGAAGAGGTTTCTTTGTGTACTTTGTGTACTTTGTGTACTTTGTGCTCACTTGTAAACCCATCTTTTTGGTGCAATAAATTCAAGCTAGTAGCTTGTAGAAGCTTTTTTAGTACCTCTTTGACATTAGCTAATAGGAGTTAGCATTAGAATTCATAACTCCAGCGCCTACCGTAACTTGGCAGAGATGTTGACAAGCTGATTTTTCAGGCCAGTTCAGATCAAAACCAGCCTAGCATTGAATTTTGGAGCTGACACTGATTTACAGAAGAGGACCTGATTGTGCTAGAGTTGTCCTGGTTCTAGCCTGCCTTGTCTAGCCTGCCTAGTCTAGTCTGCCTAGTCTAGCCTGCCTAATCTAGCCTGCCTAGTCTAGTCTGCCTAGTCTAGCCTGCCTAATCTAGCCTGCCTAGTCTAGCCTGCCTTGTCTAGTCTGCCTTGTCTAGTCTGCCTAGTCTAGCCTGCCTTGTCTAGCCTGCCTAATCTAGCCTGCCTCGTCTAGCCTGCCTTGTCTAGCCTGCCTAATCTAGCCTGCCTCGTCTAGCCTGCCTTGTCTAGCCTGCCTAATCTAGCCTGCCTCGTCTAGCCTGCCTTGTCTAGCCTGCCTAATCTAGCCTGCCTCGTCTAGCCTGCCTTGTCTAGCCTGCCTAATCTAGCCTGCCTCGTCTAGCCTGCCTTGTCTAGCCTGCCTAATCTAGCCTGCCTCGTCTAGCCTGCCTTGTCTAGCCTGCCTAGTCTAGTCTAGCCTAGTCTAGTCTAGCCTGTCTTGTCTAGCCTGCCTAATCTAGCCTGCCTAGTCTAGTCTGCCTTGTCTAGTCTGCCTAGTCTAGCCTAGTCCAACCACAAAAAGTGCCTAGACCTGGCTAGGGTTAGACCAGAGGCTAAGTTAGTAGCCAGATGTGATTCTGTAGGCAAGGTGTGAACCAAAATATTCAGGGTAGCTAAAGTAAGATATTTGCTAATTTCAGGATGAGGGCTACGAGTTTCACGAGCCAATGGCAAGAGTCAAAGTAAGTCAGAACAGAATCACCGAGTTTTCATTGATGTCATTGATGCCATTGATGTCATTGATGTCATTGATGCAAAGAAAGACACGATTGATAGCTCACTCCCAGTTGCAGCAATACTGTCCTGTCAGCACTACTAAACAGCAATACTGTCCAGAGATTTGATAATCGTTTGCAGCGTTGGTCGAAAACGATTCCGAGAAAGCCAAAGCGGGAAGCGTTGGTGAAAGATGATGAGGGGATCGTTGAGGAATTCGATGATACACCGATCGAGGCTGAGAAACATCCACAGGTGAGTTGGGAAAGAGATTCATGCAAAAGTAGGTCGATTGATCACTCACTCATCCAGTTGTAGCAATAGAAAGAGCACTAAACAGGAACACTTATTTTGCTGAGTTGGAACTAGGGTAGTTCAAAATTTGCGCACCGCCTGGACTCGAACCCGAGACCTTTCGCTTACCGGCCAAATGTGCTAACCATTACACTACAACGCATCTGATCTCCACTCCTCATGAGGGACTTAAGTGCTGTCTAGAGAGTCTTTTCGTTCATTTCGTTGTTGTTGTAAAGTTTTGTAAACTAGGTTAGTGAAATCTTTTCGTTTTACTAGAACTACAATAGCGTTTAGGCAGCTCGATCCAAGCGCACCTCAAAAACGCACAAGCATGGCGAGCGACCAAAGCGACAACCGCCTCCTCTCCCACAACCGATTGTCCCCGGACCACCAATTCCACCACCGGGTACTTGACTTGAACTTGATCTAGAATGTTAGCTACTACTTCTTGATCAACGATAACCGTTTCAGCTGCTCCTGTAGTGCCTGCTGGAGTACCTGCAGGAGTACCTGCTGGAGTGCCTGCTGGAGTGCCTGCTGGAGTGCAAGCCCAAGCAGAGACTCAACCAGGAAACACTCAAGTAAGATGGGAATCTGAAACAGTCGCTGAATTCATTTAGAAAAGTTTAGCTTAATCATTTAATCATGATTTTGATGAAAGAAATGACTAAATTACAACTTTAGGAAGTCGCCAAGTCGAATGGAATCGACAAACAAGAACAACAAGACCAAGCTGGCTCAGAGAATCAGGTAAAGAAATGAATAGCAAAGAATTTCGAACAAAGGGATTAAACCCTCGGTCTTCTGCTTACCTTCCGCTTACCAGATGCTTTACCACTGAGCTATTGGCGTCTTCTTTGCTCAAGAAATAGGAAAGACAAGGAATAGAAAGAAAGGAAGAAGAAAGAAAGCAAGAGAAAGAAAGAGAAAGAAAAGAAAAAGAAAGAAAGAAAGAGACTCAACCAGGGAACACTCCAGTAAGATGGGAAGAAAGAAAGAAGAAAGAAAGAAAGAAGAAAGAAAGAAAGAAAGAAAGAGAAAGAAAGGAAGAAGAAAGAAAGAAAGAAAGAAGAAAATAAAGATAAGCTTCTAAAACTAAAGTCCGTTCATTGCTTACAATTAGCTCATAGATTACGGTAGAGTACACAAAACAGTTTTTTTAGTGCAGTTCTTTACGCTGATTCCGAATATCTAGGTGCTTTGGGGATGATGTGTTGAAATTCACAAGATATTCAGCTCCAAAGTTTGCACCGAAATTTTGAGATGGCTTTTAGATAGTTAAACCACTTTTCAAAAGTCTTGGCAACGTTTGCTCGTGGCCTACTGGCTAGTGTGCTTGGCCTCAGTTCTTTACCTCACGGTTTCGAGCCCGCTTGCAGACTTTTGCTTGCTTTTCATGTTTAGTGAGTAAAAGATTAAATTCGACAAGTCTCGAATGAAACCTCGCCCGTCTCACTAATGTCTTCAAAAAGGAGTCAAACAAGGGGACTCGAACCCGAGAAGGTTTGCCTTATGTTCTAGCCAATACCACTCGGCCACCACTGCCTCGGAAACCCTCTGGGAAATATGGTTCTAAGCTCGATTCCATCCAACTTACATCCAAAACTTTGAGCGCTTATAACTTTTGAGAGAGTGTTGCATTTCAAAAACGGAAAGCAGATTCCGAATGAGAGCAAAATTCTGCGTTGAATCCTTTATCAATTTCACCGAATAATTTAGCCTCAACACCAGCAACCAGCCAAGCGAAACGAGATCGGTTAAAAATTAAAAAATTCTCCGTAATTTTTATCACTTTAGACACTTTCGAGCGAGTGAAACGCCGTGTGGCTTAAATCTTCTCAACAAAAAAAAACGTTTCAAATTGTGTAATTTTAAAGTTTTCTTAACGTTTGTGTGTAGTTTTTTTGAGAATTTTGAAAATTTTGTGGTTTATTTGATAAAATTTCAGAAAGTACATAAAAATATACAATACCAGTAATTAAGATGATCGAAAATTTGCATAAACAACAACTCACAACACGATTCTAAAAGGTGAATATGGAGAATAGTAGCAAAAACTTCTAGATAGAATTGGTTAGCTTTTCCAAAAGTCATCCATTCCTACCGTAAAAGTCACCTTTCTACTTTCTATGATCGGCTCCGATCGCTTGAGAGACATTCGAGAAACCGTCACGTCGTAAACATTCGACCAATTCGCGTTTTACCTGGAAAAGAGAATGAACGAAAAACGGCTCCGATGGTCTGATGGATAGTGTGCTAGACTGCCGAACCTATTCCATAATTTTTACCCACAAGGTAAAAGCCACAGCAAAAGCCTTTAGCCACATTTTTACCCATTTTTACCCAATTTTTTGCCCAAAAGTTCGATTCCCACGAGAGTGGGAAGAGTTTGGGCGCAAGTTTGGCCTCAGGTTTGGTCTCAAGTTTGACCTCAAGTTTGGACGCAAGTTTGACCTCAAGTTTAGACGCAAGTTTAGCCTCAAGCTTGGCCTCAAGTTTGACCTCAAACTTGGGCGCAAGTTTGACGAGACTGGGACTTGAACTTGGGAATAAAAGTGCAACAGGTTCGGTAGTCTAACAGACCATCCACTAGACCACCGAAGCAGTTGTCGGGCGAATGTATGGCGTCTTCTTAAGGAGTCCGAAATTTAGAAATCTCACGTGATTCAAGGTGATTTTCTATGTCAAATATTTCGTTTCTGAAAAGCGTTTTGCAAAAACTAAAAACGGATTCGAGATCCCTATGAGCGACTCTATAAGATGGAGTCAAAAAACCAGGTTGACTCGGTGCTTTTCCCTGTTAGATTAGACTTGTTTTTTAAGTGTAAACTGTAGCTTTTTGTATAATGAACTTCAAAAAATAAGCCATGAGTCAAGCCTAGTACTAGCAGCTAGTAGGAACGAGTCATGAGTCAGAACAAGCCAAAACCAGGTCAGTAGTTGTTCCTAGAGCTATAACTAGTTAAGCCAAGAGGGAAGAGTCCCATTGCTGAGGCTAAAGCACGCTTTTTAATCCCCAGAAACCTGTAAGTGTCTCTGTTCAAATCAACAAACTGTTAGCTGTAAAAGTCTTACAAATTCAAAAGAGAAAGCTAAACCCGATTGTGAGTAGGCTGACAATGAAAGCTAACAATGAAAGCTGACAATGAAAGCTTACAATCAAAAGCTGACAATCTAAAGCTGACATTCTAAAGCTGACAATAGCTTGATAGCTGTTCTAGAAGCTGAGATCTAAACGCTCAAAGATGAACATGCCATTTGTATCGATAATATCAGCAAGTCTACTGTCAAATGCCTAAATCATTGAGCCACTTTCAAACCTTTCCAATGACGGGGAAACCCAAGTAGACCATCGCCGTGTACAGTTGAACAACGCTTGCGCCAGCTCGAATCTTCTCGTAAGCGTCCTCACCCGATCCCACTCCACCGCAGCCAATGATTGCCACTTTGCCATTAGTCAAACTAAAGTGTTTAGAATTTTGTTGGTTTATTTCAAATTCTAAACTCACCGATACATTTTTCTGATGCACTCGGTGCTCAACGCTTTCACTGGAGCACCGGAAAGGCCACCGATTTCATCTAAACGGGAAAATGAGTTGAAAAATTATCACCAAAGTTAACACTAACTTTTGTGTTCACTTCTCAGCTCGGGTGGTCGAGTGATTGTTGTGTTTGAGATGATTAAACCGGTGACACCATAGCTTGAATCCAACACAACCTAGAAAGTGGAGACTATATCATTTAGTGGAGAAAGTGGAGACTATATAATTTAGAAACTTTATAATAGCTGGGACAAGCTTTATGACAACTCTGCCTGCTCAATGTCCGTTAAAGAGTCGTAAATCAATTAAAACAATAGATAATATTTCTAGTTTTCATCTCAGACTAGAGTATAACCAAAATTTCTATAAGGATAGCTAATCCTTTCTTCAAAAAAAACTACCATAATCTTTTATCAATGTTTTCCCCTACCTTTGCAATGTCTTTCAGTTCAGCTTCCACAAGATCGGGCGCAATTTTGAGGAAAATCCGCGGCGGTTTCTCTAATTTGTGCATCTCGACGGCTCGTTTGACGTAGGAGAGAAGCTAAATGAAAACAAATTTCAATAAATTTCAATAAAAACAATTACTCAACGTTTTCTAAAAGGCATCAAAATTATCGTAATCTCAGCGCCAATTTTCATTCGTTTAACCCAAATTTTGAAATCATTGACTGAACCTTTTGATCTCTTATCGAATGTGATCAAAATTAACAAATATTTACCAATTAACCTATCGTTTTCCTCTATTTCTCTTTTTCCGTTCTCCTCTCTCCTCTGTTTATTGTTCAATTTTCATCTTTTTAACTCAATTTGGATTGAATTTCAAGAAAATTCGCGAGTGATAAACGTGTTTTTCGTAGAAAATCTATCAAAACCTCGACGAAGAAATTGACTGAATGAATTTCTCTCAAAATTTAGTTATATATCAAACTTTTTGTGCTCTATCTTTTATCTATAGACACCAAGATAGATTTCCTTAGCGCAAAGTGTCTAAACGGCATCATTGAACCGCATCGTCACCCTTTTTGACTACTCGACTTTGCACTCGTGTCATTTGACCGTCCCTTAAAAATAAAAAGTGTTTATTGTTCAATTTCCCATCTTTTCAGTCATTTCATTCAATTTCCCATCTTTTAAAGTCAATTTTGGTTCACTTTCAAATAAATTCGACAGTGAAAACATTGGGTTTTTCGCAGAAAATCTATAAAAACCTCGACGAAGAAATTGATTGAATGAATTTCTCTCAAAATTTGACTATATACCAAACTTTTTGTGCTCTATCTTTTATCTATAGACACGAAGATAGATTTCCTTAGCGCAAAGTTTGTCTAAACCGCGTCTAAACCGCATCATTGAGTCGTCACCATTTTTGACTACTTGACTTTACACTCTCAAAAAAAAACCCGGTACTAGTGGACTTGGGGGTCCACTTTTTTTTCTTCAAAGCCACTTTTTCTAGGGTAGTTTTATTACCCTAGAAACTATTACTAGTGTCGAGATTTGAGTGTTTCTTTAAAAGTAAACTTCGACTACGCGACGCTCCTATAGGTTATTAGAGAAAAGTCTATTTCTACCTGTTCCAATTGTTTTCTTCCTTGCATTGACCGGAGTCCTGGAGTGTTCGGCGAGGATACATTGACGACCAAATAGTCGGAGAATCCCGCAAAATAGTTCACCCCGACTTCATAGTCCAATTTAGTGCTGGAATTGAATAAATGTATAAAAATGTATAAAAAGCTATAGATATCTATAGCTATCTAAGGATAATTTTATTGAATTTAAAATTTGGATAAGCTAGATAATTCAAATGTTTTTAGCCCTTACTTCTCTTCATCGGTGAGCTTGTTCTTGCCGAGATTCACCCCGAAAATTGCCATCTCTGGAGACCAAGGAGTGCCACGAGCTGCCTAAAATCTATCAAGTACTTATTTTAGGATAAATTTTATCGATATTTATCTATATCTATAGGTTTTTTTATTTATTTTATGCAAATCCCTGACTTTCACCCGTTGCTGAACCCGTCCCACACCGTCACTGTTGAAACCGTAGCGATTGATCGTCGCCTAAAGGAGAAGCTTACAATTAGGGTAATAAGTAGAAAATCCTATATTCTTTTGTACTGTTACCAGCACCAGTATTTAGGGTTTCAAGTCAGCAAACCGGAGTCTGACCTCTGATTTGCTTGACTGGGGCTGGGATGAAGCTGGGATGAACTAGGGCTTCAATGAGAAACCAGGCACTGAACTGGGCCCGGTTTCACCAAACTATTTAGCATTTATTTTTGATCTTAAATCCCTTAGGCTCCGTCGCTTGATCACGGATTTAATAGAATATTTCAAAATTATAAAGAGCAAGCAAGCTATCCTTTCTTTCAAGATTTATTCAAAGTTAATCGCAAAGTCAATCGCGTTAATTCAAAAAGAGGTTCTTTTATGTTAGAAATTCGCATCATCATTAGAAACTCACAGACATAATCTTGTGTATAAGTCTTTTCCAATAAGAACTTCCAGAATTTGGAATTTACTCCCTAGAATTTTTAGAGTCTAATAGTCTTGGAACCTCTAAATTATCTGTAGATGATCCGTGATCAAAAGCGACGGGCCTAAGGGTTCAAGATCAAAAATAAATGCTAAATAGTTTGGTGAAACCGGACCCAGTTCAGTGCCTGGTTTCTCATTGAAGTAGATCTTGAATTTCTAGTAGATTCTTGACTTTATTTGTGCTAGCCATTTATTCCATACATTATATCGTGTTGCTTTTTATCGATCATTTTAGTTTTTATGTGTATGACTTCATGTGTATTAATCTTAAATCTTGAGCACTTTATTTCATTTCCTGAATAAAGGATATATAAAAATATTTTTTATTATGAGCTTTGGTCACTTCAATGCCCACAACTAATCTTTCACTTTGTTGTTGTGGTGGTGATGAATTTTTCATGTACAGGGGGTCATGTAATCAGGAAAATCTCCAAAAAAAGTCAAAAAATTGTGATAACCAAACCTTGTCCTCTTCCAGTCGAAACACCCTCGGATACGCGTTTCCCGGTTGTGGCAATGGAGTGATCGAACCGATTTCGATCATCCCGAAGCCACTGTTGGCGAGTGGGAGAATCGCGTCACCATTCTAAAAAGTTGATCCTTTCTCATTTTTTGTACTTTCTCAGTTAGAAAATTCATAAAACTTGTACTCACTTTGTCGAAACCAGCCGCCAAACCAATCGGGTTTTTCAGCTTTCTGCCGATAAACTAAAATAAGTTTTTTTAGAACAGTACTGTAAAATTCTAATAGAAGAGCCGGCTCAAAAGCTCAAAAATTGGTGTTTTTGTTGGATTTTCATCCGCTTTTCGACGTTATTAAGCTTTTTAGTAAATAACTATTATTTAAAGGCTTTGGACTATTTATTTAAAGGCTAAAAAGTGGAGCATTTTGCTATCTAATGATAAATCCAAAAAACGAAAATTTTTGACTAAAGAAGGCTCTTCTATCGAAGAAAGCTTTTCAATTGGAATAAGTAATATATTAAAACCCTCACCTCACACTCCAGCTCCGGGTATTCCCAGTGATTCGGGCCGAAACGCGGTAAAAGGCCGTACTTGCAGGACGAGATCGCCCACCGGTGTGCCGTCTCCCCATCGGCCATCTTGTGAATGATTGGCATTACCTGAAAGTTTACAAATATTCTTGGCAATTTGTATATTACTTCTTAATCTTAGCAATTTACAATTCCTCAATTTTTATACTATATGATCGGAAAGTGCTTACAACTTTTAGCTTCAACTTGGCTCATTGTCAGAAATGATTCAGTCAAAGCCATTTTGACAGAATTTGCCTGAGTTAGCTTAGATATTTTAAATTTATGCTAAAACATTAATAAAATAAGTGAAATGAGATATTTTGAACTTACAGTAACATTTGTCATTTGACAAATGACTTTTAGACTTGACTTTTAGATTGTTTATGAGCAACAAACCGCTTTTTCGTAAAAAGTCTCTCCACCGAAGAGAAATTCGACAGCACCAAAGCCGATCAACCCGCCAGCAATGCAGTAAACCTAAAATATTAATAATTAGCTAAATATCTATTAGATTGGCAACTTGAAAGATGGTCTACTTATTCATTGCACTTTTTAGAAATAACTAGTGCACCAATTAATCTACAGTTTTTACCAATAAAAAGGCCCATTTATTCTCTAAACCAGGCTTTCAACAGTTTTTAAATTTCGAAAAGCCACGGTTTTGTAGGTTTTTAGGGGGCAAGAAGTTGAGAACCCAAAAATGATGAACTCGATGAAGCGATTTGAGCACTTTCTTCCACATAAACCTATTTTAGTGCCAATAAAACAAGAGAGAGCATAACAAGTTCGATAAATAGCCGAATTCTCAGCGCGATTTGTCTAATTGCTTTAGTTATATGTCTGTTTGAAGAATTTTCAGAAAAACCTGAATTTCTGCTCAAATTTGTTTCAAAAGTCACCCAAATTTGCTTAAGCATGTCTTAAATTAGATAATATACAGTCGAACCTCTCTATAACGAACCTCGATATAACGTAAACCTCTCTATAACGTAAGGCGTGACCGGTCCCGGCCGTCGTTAAGCTATATAAAACGGCACTCTATATAACGTAAACCTCTATATAACGTAAGCTATAGCCGTCCCGTGAGTTACGTTATAGAGAGGTTCCACTGTATAACTTTTATTTAGAGAAGTCGTCTCTTGTGCAGTTTCCGGGCATTTTGAAAGAATCCGGGATTTTGAACGAGTCGTCCCGATTTGAAGGCCTATAACTTTGTCCAGAGATAATATTTTTGTTAACTTTTGATATCATTGGACAGACGACATTCTAGGCTTTCAAATGATACTAAATAGAACTTCACTGAGTTTTTCATTCCTTTGTAAACAAGGCGACACGACACCCGAGTTGGATAGGCCTTATTGGCTCAGAGTTGGCTCTGATTTCCTTCGACTGGATGATCCAATCAAGCTCTATTTAGTATCATTTGAAAGCCTAGAATGTCATCTGTTCAATGATATCAAAAGTTAACAAAAATATTATCTCTGGACAAAGTTATAGGCCTTCAAATCGGGACGACTCGTTCAAAATCCTGGAAACTGTGCAAGAGCCGAGAAGTCTATTTCAATTGGCGTATTAAATATGTTTTATGGAAAAGAAAAAGTGTACCAACTTTCAAATTGCCAATCTAATATTGTAAGATTTAAAATTTAACTACAAACCGACGATTTGGCAATATATCCGGGCGGAAGTTTGCCGTACATTTTTTCTTTTAATGATCCGCCAATTTCGGGAGTTTCGAATAGAAGTCGTTGAACTAAAACAATGCTTGATGTTTGTTTAAAAAAAACATTTTTAAATCAAAGAAATTATTGAGAAGAAATTGAGAAGAAATTGCTTTAACATAATCATTCCCGAAGATACCAGTTATTAGTACCAATTACTGGTATCTTTTCCCCGTTTTGATGTATTCAACCGATTTCTTAGTTAATGGTTATCAAAAAATTAAATCAAGAACCATTTAACCTTACTCAATATTGAGTAAGGTTAAATGGTTTTTGCTTTTGCTCACTAATCCTCTTTCTAAAATAATTAGACACAAGACTCAAACAATTAGACACAAGACTCGAGAAAAACCTCAAAAAGATCGCGCCGATTTGATTTGATAGATTTTGTGCGTTTTAGTTAAAAGAGAATTGGTTAAGTTAAGTTTATACGACACGTACAAAAAGATTCAAAGAAAATAGAGTAGAAGAAAGCTGAGAGAAACGAAAGAAAACGATTTTAGAAATTTAAACAGGCGGAACAATATAACGAAAAGGCAATTCGGGGTGACAAATAACTTTAAAACACTCTAGAAAAAGGAGGATAGATTTTACAGAAGGCGGAAAAAAACTTATGCGAGACTCAGCATTAAAAAAACTGGACAACATTCACGATTCCACCACGGAATGCAGAAAAATGACAATAATGGCAAAGGGGAATTTTACTACGGGATACGGTAGCGTATCCAGGCTTTAGAAAGCACGCCTAAAACTTTTCTTTCAAGAATTGCGGTCATTTTATATATAATTCGATGTGTTTTAGTCTTCTCTACAACTATTTCCTATATGAAAAACAAGGCTTCCAATGAAGAAATGAAGAAAAACGCATTTTTTGCTTTCTGTCTCACCCTAAAACGTGGATATTTTGCGAAAATTAACCTTTTAAAAAAGGTTAATTAACTCTAACCAATCGGCTCGAGGAATGGCAGAGGAAATGGGTGCCATTCCCCGACAGGAAATGGATCTGAAGAGAAGCTCCGTCAACACAATCATCAAGAAAAAGCTGAAAATGAAGCCGTACAAGAAGAACAAATCTCAATTACTATCAGCTAATTGGAAGGGATTGCGAAGGACAAGCGAAAAGGCCAATGTGCCCAACTTTTGCAACGGTTCAACGGAATCCATCACCACAACATCCTGTTCACCGATGAAAAGATATTTACCGTCGAGGGAATTCTCAACAAGCAAAATGATCGAGTTCGAAAATTCTTGGTCACCCTAATTAGTGACTTTGTTATTTTTCAAAGAAAATAGAAAGGAAGGAAAAGAAGAAAGGAAAAGACTTTCTAAAAAGTCTAATAAAAGGCGCTAAACTACTTTAATCAATCTTAATCTCCTAATCCAATTTGTAAAGTATTTTTGGCTCACCTCTTTCCTCGTGAATTCGTATCGTTTCTCTGAATGATCGTCGAATTTCAGGAATAACACAAAAATCGGTCGAAGCGATGAGAGAGACGCGTCCACTGGCGCCACAAACTATAATTTGGAAAAGATTTTATCACAATTTTTACACAAAAACGTCAAGAGACAGGGGAAAGTGTTGGATTTTTTTTTCTAAGTCTTATTCCAGCTCGAATATCTTATTCCAAGTCTATAACTATTACCGTAATACCTCTAATATACGTCATATACGTAATGCCGCCCTCGACCCCGTACAGTCGCGTTCCTACCCTCTCTAATAACTATTCCTAGTCATTCAGTGCACTAGATAGGGCACATTTGTACTCGAGCGCAAAGTCTACCCGCCACTTTTAGCGTCAAATTTGTAAACTTGGTTGGATTCACTGGATTTTACTTTGAAAATGGTTTTCTTAGCAAAAGCAAAAGCAAAAGCATACTTTTACTGTCCAATCAAAAGCGGTGATCGTCTTGACGAGCTCGTTTTCCCGATCAGACATCAAATTTTGCTTGAAAATATAATAAATTTTTGCAGAATTGATTGTAAATAGAGTGTGTTCCTCGCGAGTAAGTAATTACTCGAGCAAATTTGCATGAGTAATTGTCAAGTAATGCGTTTTCTAAAAAGTGCGCCCTAGGGTCATTTGCGCAACCGGGTCGTTTGCGCAACTCGCCATAACTTTTTTCTAACTAAGCCAATCTTTATGATTTTGGTGTCATTTTCTAGATCTCAACAATGACAATAAAATGAAACCAAAATCATAAAGATTGGTTTACTTGGAAGAAAGTTATGGCGAGTTGCGCAAATGACCCTGTTGAGGAAAGCCTACCCCCAGGTCTTTAAAAAAAAATCCTTTTTTACATTGGAAAGAAATTTCCCACCAAAGCAGTTAAACGGCTGAGTATCTTTAAAAAGTGTCGTATATAATGCGAGGCTCGTCATTTTTGCGTCATTGTTTTGGGGGGTAGGCTACTTTGCGCCAAACTTTTTGCGCAACTCGCCATAACTTTCTTCTAGGTGGACCAATCTTTATGATTTTGGTGTCATTTTCTAGATCTCAACAATGACAATAAAATGACACCAAAATCATAAAGATTGGTTCACTTATAAGAAAGTTGTGGCGAGTTGCGCAAAGTAGGCTAATTTCCGCTGGGTCGTTTGCGCAACTCGCCATAACTTTCTTCCAAATAAACCAATCTTTATTATTTTGGTTTCATTTTATTGTCATTGTTGAGATCTACAAAATGAAACCAAAATCATAAAGATTGGTTCACTATTAGAAAGTTATGGCGAGTTGCGCAAAGTAGGCTAATTTCCGCTGGGTCGTTTTGCGCAACTCGCCATAACTTTCTTCAAATAAACCAATCTTTATTATTTTGGTTTCATTTTATTGTCATTGTTGAGATCTACAAAATGAAACCAAAATCATAAAGATTGGTTCACTTATAAGAAAGTTATGGCGAGTTGCGCAAAAAATTTGGCGCAAAGTAGCCTACCCTTTTTTTGCAATAATTTTTTCCCAAGTGTGCTTTTTAAAAAAACGCATTACTCGCGAGGAACACACTCTAATTCTAAAAAAGACTAAATTCCCATTAATATTCCATCAAAATTTAATTCGAATACAAAATTGAGAAATATTTTTTGAAAAAAACAATTAAATAAAAGCCATTAACACATGAAAATTGAAATAAACTATCGTTTTTAATAAATTTTTATTCAAAAAACAACAACCAGAAAGATTTTTATAATCGGCAACACACGAATAAACGAAAAAAAAGAAAAAAAAGAACAAACCACCCAGTGAAAACCTAGAAATTTTAGCTGTAAAGTTCTCAATAAGTGAAAAACGCTTTTTAGCTGAATATCTTCAAAATTATTGTAAATTTTCACTAAAATAGTTGAAAATGTCGACTTTTTCTAATAAGAAATGGTAATTTTGAAAATAAGAAATATGAATTTCTAAGAAATCTGAAGCGAATCTTATCGAGAACGTTACCTAACAAACTAGACTACAAACTAGACTATAAACCCTTGTAGAAACGCTTAGAATAGAGATTTTTCAAAACTTTTTTTACCAAAAGATTAAGCAAAATTTAGGCTTTTGAATGATACCAAAACCAAGCCAAATCATATTCTGTATGTTGAGATTTAACGTTTTTTTCAAGTTGTAGTCTCATCCGACTCTACTCCACTATAAATAGCTTGTTCTCAGAGTAGAGATAATAGATTTTCTTGATTTTGGTGTCATTCAAAAGCCTAAATTTTGCTTAATCTTTTGGTAAAAAAAGTTTTGAAAACTCTCTATTCTAAGCGTTTCTACAAGGGTTTGTAGTTTGTAGTCTTGTAATTTGTAGCGTCCATGTCTATCACAAACTAAAACCACCAATAAACTTTTGAAAAGAAAAAGGCACTATAACTGTGATAAGCAAATTAACAAGCAAATTTAAGGGGGGGAAAAGGAAAATTGAATACATGTAAGGCACTGGCATCAGAAGGAAAGAAGAAGCCCGTTTGGGGATGAGAAAGCGATAAAATCGAGTCGATATGCCACGTTCGTTTACGAATTAAGAGCTTTTTTAAAAGACAATCGACTTAGTGGCAAAATAAAAAATATACAAAATATATGGATTTATATTGTAAAATAAATTTCAGCTTATTTAATTTGATAGAAATTTTTTTTATAGCCATTCAAAGTTAGAGTCAAAAGTTGTCCAAAGTTCCCTTAAAATAGCTATAAAAATTGAACCAAAAAGTTCGGTAAATGGCTTATTTTGTTGGGAATTATACGTAGATGCTTAAAGTGAAGCTACATCTAACATTTCTCTTTTGTAAGTGAGAGAAATAGGCGCGCGGGCGAGTTTCAAAGAGATCTCCTAACTTCCAACCCCGAACTGAAGTCAGTCCGCGCAATCTTTCTGTCACTTTCAACAAATAAATGTTTAATGTAGCTTCACTTTAAGCATCTACGTATAATTCCCAACAAAATAAGCCATTTACCGAACTTTTTGGTTCAATTTTTATAGCTATTTTAAGGAAACTTTGGACAACTTTTGACTCTAACTTTGAATGGCTATAAAAAAAATTTCTATCAAATTAAATAAGCTGAAATTTATTTTACAATATAAATCCATATATTTTGTATATTTTGGCACTAAGTCAGTTGTCTTTTAAAAACCCCTCAGTTCGAAAATGGACCTAATAGAAAAACTTTTGAAGTGAACCCTAGCCTTGGAGTGAACTTTTTTCTTATTGCTATGAAAATCACCGAATTAATCATGTTCTTTATGCGATCGCGTAATCGCTCACGATCTGGCAAACAGCTCTAGCATAAAGCTCCCTTTTCAGCTCCCTTTTCTAGCTGAGAACTGTTTTGGAGCTGACAGCTTCGAGCGACGGTGAGGAACTGACAAGGGGAGTACTGCATCCTGCCCAGCCGGAGCCTGTCCATCCGGATCCTGCCCCATCGATCTGTTCAGATCGCTCACGATCTGGCAAACAGCTCTAGCATAAGGGGGTTCCCTTTTCTAGCTGAGAACTGTTTTGGAGCTGACAGCTTCGAGCGACGGTGAGGAACTGACAAGAGGAGTACCGCATCCCGCCCAGCAAATTTCAAGTGGAGTTTATTTGTTCTTTTGTATGGAAACCCGTGCTGAAACCAAATTTTTCGGAATCAGCGTTAAAAATTACCCTAGAATTCAATAAAATTGTGTTTTTTTAGAAAAAAATTATTTAAAGAATGGCTTGACTCGGAATCGAACCCTGGACCCTCGGATTGCTGCTGGGCTGGACTGCTGGACTCGACTGACCTGACAAGTGCCGCATCCAGCCCAGCCCTCACAAGTGAGCCAAATGAGAGGAATGCTCCGACTCCATGACCAGAATAACCGCTTGGAATGAAGCTTGATTTTCTTAGGATTCTGTTCTCCAATCAAATTCCATTCCAAATCCGATCACTCTTGAGAGTTTCCTCTCACGGAATTGAACCCGCGACCTCGACCAGTCCAGCCCAGCAGAAATCCGAGGGTCGAGGGTTCGATTCCGAGTCAAGCCATTCTTTAAATAATTTTTTCTAAAAAAACAATTCTATTGAATTCTAGGGTAATTTTTAACGCTGATTCCGAAAAATTTGGTTTCAGCACGGGTTTCCATACAAAAGAACAACTAAACTCAATTTTCTTGAAATTTTGGATTAAAAGTGCTTCAGTAAAAAAGCTGTAAAAACTTTGAAATTTGATGAATCGATAAACGGTCTTTTCTATTCAATCCGCTAGATAATTAGCTTTCAAATGAGCTTTCAAATGAGTTATTACAAAGTCAAATCTTTAAAAAGATCGGCAGAAACTTTCTCCTCAAGCTAAAGGTAGTTGACGTTCATTTCTTATACTTCAAAAGGATTTTTCTAGATAAAATTGGGGATATAACCGTAAGAAATATGGAAAAGGGAAAAGGGAGAAGGGAATGGGGAATAGGGAATAGGGACAAGGGAATAGGGAAAAGGGAAAAGGGAAAAGAAATAGGGAAAAGAAATCTCGGCTAAGTGATGTTTTGATCAATATTTTAAATCAATATTTTAAATCAATATTTTAAATCAATATCAATATAATCAATATCAATAGAATTCTCTAAACTAAATAGGCAAGACGCGATGAAAATTTCGGGGATTGGAAAGGAAAAAGAATATCACAGTTAGGTCATCAGAAATTTGTAGAATTTGTAGAATTTGTAGAATTTTAAAACCTAGCACTTTGAACTTTTGCAAACGCAATCCATCTATCGCAGAAGTCCCCATTTTTCTTAGTTAAACTCGTGAAAACTGGGAAATTCAGTGCGCTAGATGATGAGGGTTTCCAAGAACAAAGTACACTTGAAAGTACACTTGAAAATATACTTGGAAGTATACTTGGAAGTATACTTGGAAGTATACTTGGAAGTACACTTGGAAGTACACTTGGAAGTACACTTGGAAGTACACTAAACCCTAAATCTCGGTCCTCAATCGACTATTGAATATCTCTTCTCCATCCGAGTCCGACTCTGAATCCAAGATGCGTACCCGATCCTGAGCACTATTGTAATGGGAAAGCTTCGTGTATCTAAAAAGAGTAGATAAATTCAGTTGCAAAGCTTCAAGATTACGGTAGACTGATTACCGTAGATTAGACAGATTACTGATTAGACTGACTACTGTAAATACAGTAATCAGGCAATCGGTAAGTAGATATCGTTTCCTTGGGTTAGCCTGGGTTAACTCAAGGTTTACAAAGAATTTTGGGCTAACAGAAAAGATATTCAGCTACAGTAATCTTATAGAAACGATATTCACAAGAGATGGCCAACTGGCTGAGCGTCTAAAGTTTTGTTAGAGAAAAGAGCGAAAGTGCGGCTCGAATTTGTCAGGTCTCGCTTTGGAAACGAAAGCTCTACCACTCGGCCACAGCTGCACCGAATTGGGTCCGCAAGGAAGCCACTAAGAGGCCGAACAACCACATTTTCACCACAAAACTTTAGACGCTTATAACTTGTGACAAATTGCCATTTAGAAAAAACGGAATTCAGTTTCGGAATCAGCATCAAATTCTGCGTTCAATGGTATAAGTTGCATAGCATTTTGCTCAACCAATTGGTCATTTCTTGTCACGTTTGTCATCCCTTGTCACGTGTTCAAAGAGTAAGTAAATCTTCAAAACAACTCACTCAATGCCGTCCTCTTTAAAACACCACATGAAGCCAAAGCCGATCAACGCCATAATCATCACGATGAGAATCACCCAGATAAATGACCAAAAGAGGGAACTCGATGCATGCGATCGATACAATGGCCGCTTCAAAGTACAGTCTTCTAAAAGGTTGATTTTTAAGCTTGCCTTCGAAGCCTGTGCTTTTAAAGGTAATGTTTTTAAGCCTAAGCCAAGCCTAAGCCTAAGCCTAAGCCTAAGCCAAGCCTAAGCCAAGACTAAGCCAAGCCTAAGCCTAAGCCAAGCCTAAGCCAAGCCTAAGCCAAGCCTAAGCCAAGACTAAGCCAAGCCTAAGCCTAAGCCTAAGCCTAAGCCTAAGCCTAATGTCAGATCTCAAATTTTAGACACGAGATCGACCTGAAAATTTGCCAGGATCCTCCTATGGGGGGCGCATGCACACCGCCAAACGGGTGTTCCTTAGCTCCGAGAACTGGCTGAGATCCAGAAAATGGGGGTTTAGCCCAAACCCAAATAAACTTAGTGCTAGGCGCTAGCCGCTAGCCTTCGCACTAAGTCCAAGCCTAAGCCTAAGCCTAACCCTAAGCCTAACCCTGTTGCTTACCGTCCCTTAACCTCTGTTAGTTTAGATTTAAAACTGTTCTCACGAACCACAATGATAAACTTCTGGTTGTTGCCCTGTCTTGCAACACGGTCGACAGTAACCGACGCTCACATTACCGTAACCCTCGGCGCAAGTGTCACAGAATAAAGGACCTGCAAAGGAAAATGAAAATGAACATAATCTATGATAGTTATTCGATAATTATTCTATAACTTCACCCGCTCCATGACACGTCTTGCACGCCTCATCGCACAGTGTACACTTGTTTTGCACGGCAAGGTAAAAGCTGAAATTGAATAGAATGAATAAAATGAATGTCTTCAATCGATTCACCGACCCTGAAAACCCCTGGGTACAAATTTAAGGCTAAATAAATTTTTAATGCAATTTACAAAGCAAAGAGAAATCTCGGTGGGTGCTCTTTGTGCACGCGCAGAATTGCTTGCGATCTGGGTCAAGCCACTTAGGGTGGTCCCGTGGTCTAGTGGACCTGTGTACAAGCCGAGCGGGCAAGTGCATGCTCAGGTTCGAGTCCCGAATTTTTTGATTTGCTTGACCCTCACTTAGGGTTAAGCAAGGCTAATCAGGGCCTGGGTTCTGAAATAACGACTAACTTGATCACGGGAGGCTCGTGACCATGGCTCGATCTTGCTTGAGCTTGCTTGAGCTTGACCATGGCTTGATCTTGCTTGAGCATGATCATGGCTTGATCTTGCTTGAGCTTGATCATGGCTTGATTTTGCTGGAGCATGATCATGGCTTGATCTTGCTTGAGCATGATCGACCAAGAGTCGACCAAGTGGCCAAGAGTTGACCCTAGAACCCAGTTAGAACACCCGATCCAATTTCGGCTTATTTACCTAATAAGTTTATAAACTTTAGAGTAAATTTGGACCATTTTCCAAACACGCTTTCAAACACTCAAACTTTAACTCAACCCACCCTTCTCCGCACATATTCTCCTTCAATACACATCTCGCTTGGATGAGATTCGTTTGATCTAAAGTTACGTGATCGAAATGGTGATAATAAATAAATTTTCTTGCAAAAATCAGGGATTAAGAAGTTATTTTTGACAAGGGGAAATGACGAAAAAGGCAGAAAATCAAAAAAGTTTTGAGTTTTAGGAGTTTTTTTTTGTTTTGAAAGCATGCAACTCACTTTCCACCGATACAACAGTTAAATTTGGATCTAAATGAAAATGAAAATGGACGAAACACTGGACGAGATTGTTAACAATGAAAATATTAAAAATTACAAATTACAACAATTTTACAGTGATTAGTGCACTTGAGTATGCGTCCACAGGACAGTCCGTCCTAGTAGGTCCTAGTACGTCCTAGTCCGTCCTAATACGTCCTAGTATGTCCTAGTACGTCCTAGCCCGTCCTAATACGTCCTAGTCCGTCCCAATACGTCCTAGTCCGTCCTAATACGTCCTAGTCCGTCCTAATACGTCCTAGTCCGTCCTAATACGTCCTAGTACGTCCTAGTACGCCCTAGTACGTCCTAGTACGTCCTAGTCCGTCCTAATACGTCCTAATACGTCCTAGTACGTCCTAGTACGTCCTAGTCCGTCCTAATACGTCCTAATACGTCCTAGTACGTCCTAGTACGTCCTAATACGTCCTAGTACGTCCTAGTCCGTCCTAATACGTCCTAGTCCGTCCTAATACGTCCTAGTCCGTCCTAATACGTCCTAGTCCGTCCTAATACGTCCTAGTACGTCCTAATTTGTGCTCTTGTAAACGGCTACGCTTTCTGGCGCACAGTTGTCCTTTTAGGCTCACGATTGCAGCCTTCCAAGCGCACTGGATTCTCATTTTTTCAAAAGTTTCTGTGCACTAGATAGGCTGCGTTTACAGCTACAAAGTACACCATCGAATCCGTCTATTTCTGTACTCAAAAATCAGAAATTCTGTACTTTTCTACTCAAAAATTGTAAACATATCTTTTCTGGCAAACTGTGCAAAAATAAATAACATAAAGGCCTATATCTTAGTTCTCATTTAGAACAAAAATTGGATTTCAGTGCGCCAGAAAGTGGGCGTTTGCGTGAGCAGGAAAGTAGGCGTTTTTGGTTTTCAGATCGACTACGGTTACATAAAGGTTTAGTAAAAGAAAACTGTGATAAACAACTCACAATCCGCAATTAATCCCATTGGACATTGATCGACACAAGTGCCGTGATCGAAATGGCCATAATGCGCAACGTCGATGATCAACTGGGCACCTGGACACGTCTCACACACCTGCAACAGATGATCTTTCTCTTTCTTCCTTTCTCTTTCTTCCTTCCACTTCCTTATCTCTTCCTCTCTCTTCCTCTCTTCCTATTCCTTCTCTGGAAAAGAAGGAATAGCTCAGTGGAAGAGTATTTGCCTGGTACCGTATTTTCTCTAATTCACCCCGGCGTAGTGCACCCCGGCGAGCCGAGTTGATGCCCATTTTACAGTTTCTAAGTTTTCCCTGAAGCTCAAGACTCAATTTAGGCGACGCTCAGGGTGCACTACTATTAGAGAGAATACGGTAAGCGGAAAGTAAGCAGAAGGCTAAGGATTCAACTCCCGCTCGATTCCAAATTCTTTGATCTAACTCTTGGCTCTAATCTTTAGCGTTTTGGAATTAGCAAAGGAATTAGGCTGTACTTCTGATCGACTCTGTAGCTTCATTATTGTTGGGCCTAGCCTAAACTAGTTGGGCTAGTTGACCTTGAACCTTGACCTTGACCTTTAAATGGCGCACCGAACCCTCCAGGCGCACCGAATGAATTCTAGAGTCATGCAGAAGGAGAAATCTTGGCCTAAGCCTTTCCCTAAGCTTTTATTTCTCATTTTCTACTTATAAAATAGCGTTTTTTTTCTCTAATAGTAGTGGGCCCTGAGCGCCGCCTAAATTCCTCAAAATCTCGAGAACCGCTTATGAGAACCTATCGATGTGGGATCGGAAAATGTAGCTAACGAGCAGATCTTGATGATGATTAAAGTCTTGAGCTTCTGCAAAAGCTTGGAAACTATAAAATGGGCATCAACTCGGCTGGGTGCACTGTTATTAGAGAAAATGCGGTATATTAATTTTGCATCCTTTCTCAGCAAGATTACAGCATTTTTTCTCAAGAATTCGACAAAAATGAAGTAATGAAATCGGTTTTGAATCACGTATTCGTAAATTTCAAGTTTTATTGTACCTCTGACGCGGAACAAGTCTTGCAATGCACTGAGCAAATCCGACAATTGTCTCCATCAAGATAATACCCGTCATCGCATCTAGTTACACATCTAAAAATGGAATTTTTTTCAAAAAAAAGGTTAAAGATATTCTCAAAAAAACATAAAGCTAAAGAAACTTTCAAAAAAAGAAAGGGAAAAGTTTTTTAAATTACCCAAACTTTGGTGTACTTTGTGCTATAAATGCATCCTTTCTGGCTCACTGAAATCTTCATTTTCTCTTGATTCAGTGCCCTAGAAAGGTTGCATTTACAACACAAAGTACACAAAAACAAAAGGTGAAGCCCGTCACTTACTTGAAGCCGGTGTTTGGGTTATTACTGGAAAGATTCATTAGAAAATCTATCATTTGGATAGTAAAACTTATAGATCTGAATGAAGATGTTTCTATAGAGCTTTCTACCTTCTATAGAGCTTTCTAATTGTTTTCTATAGAGCTTTCTACATTCTATAGATCTTTCTACGTTCTATAGAGCTTTCTACCTTCTATAGAACTGTCTAATTGCTTTCTAGAGAGCTTTCTTCATTCTCTAGAGCTTTCTAATTGCTTTCTATAGAGCTTTCTTCATTCTCTAGAGCTTTCTAATTGCTTTCTATAGAGCTTTCTACCTTCTATAGAGCTTTCTAATTGTTTTCTATAGAGCTTTCTACGTTCTATAGAGCTTTCTACCTTCTATAGAACTGTCTAATTGCTTTCTATAGAACTTCCTAATTGCTTTCTATAGAGCTTTCTACACTCTACAGAGCTTTCTACATTCTAGAGAACGTTCTAATTGCTTTCTATAATTGCTTTGCTTTCTATAGAGCTTTCTACCTTCTATAGAACGTTCTAATTGCTTTCTATAGAGCTTTCTACATTCTACAGAACGTTCTAATTGCTTTCCACAAAGCTTTCTTCATGCTATAGACCTTTCTTCATTCTATAGAACTTTCTAATTGATTTTTAAATCTTACTTGAAACCAGCTCGATTACGCAACGTCTGAGTGAGGTGTTTACAGGTGAAGCAAGCGCTCGAACTTCTCGGTTCGGTGCAGCTAAAAAGAATCATTTTTGAGGTACTATAGTTTTCTGAAAAGCAACAAAACTACCGTAATATTGCCTTTTTATAAAAGTCGACTACACTACAGTAATCTTAACTGTAGTAATACTTAACCAAAACTACTGTAATAACAGTTTCATTTCGATCAGTTTTGGTATTCTTGACTGACAAGGGAAAGACCGCCCGTCACCGGTTAAAAGGCTTTTCTGGCAGGGGAGACTGAATGGTCCTGTGGCCTAGTGGATAAGGGGCTTGTGTACGAGGCGAGGGGGCGACTGTAGGCTCGGGTTCGAGTCCCGTCTTGTGAATTTTTTGATTTTGGAAGGTCTAGATCAAGAAAGAGGTCAAGGTCAAGATCAAGAATCATTCAAGAAACCATCGAGTCTTGTTTACGATAGTTTTAGGTGTATTTTCGAAAACTTAAAGGAAGAATTGTATAACTTTAAAACCAAAAAACAAACCCAGTTGCGCATTCGTCATGACAATCACCAACTGATCGAAAATCCGAGAACGTCAATCCATCAGATAAATGATCAGGCTAAAAAAAAAGAAAGAAAATCGAATCGATTAAAAGAAATCGAATCATCAAAACTCATCAAATAAGCAGATTTTAGTGAATGAAAGGCTCAAAAGAGGAGAATTTTCAAAAGCCAAGTGTACTTTTTGTTTGAATCTTGCAAATGCACATCATCTGGTGCACTGATGTTCATCATTTTCTCACAGAAAATAAAGAATCCAGTGCATTAGAAGCGTTGCGTTTGTACAAAGTACAAAAAACACAAAGTTTACCTCATTTTTCGTTAAATTAAAGCTCTCAAAAGGTTTCGTTTCATTCAAAATATCTAATAATATATCAGCAAAGCTTAAAAATATCAAAATCATCAAAATCGACGATTTTAACACCGTTTCTTTTCAATTATTTAAGCAATTTCTTGATTTTATCCCTCTTTTTTCATTGATTTAACGACTTTACACTAGTTTCTTTCCTCTAGATCCCCTTTTCCCCAATCGAAAACACTCAGCTGGATTTCTTTTTGAGCTTTTCTTCACTTTGAAACGCTTTAAGAGTAAATATTCATCAAAAATCCATCAAAAAAATCGGTAAATAACTTTTCCTACAACCTTATCACCATTCTTACAACCTTCTTACCATTCTTCCAGCCTTATAAGTATTCTGATAGCCTTATAAGCATTCTGATAGCCTTACAACCATTCTTACAATCTTAAAACCATTCTTACAGCCTTGCAGCCATTCTTCCAGCCTTCTTACCCTTCTTACAGCCTCCTTACCCCTCTTACAGTCTTCCTACCATTCTTACAGCCTTACAACCATTCCTCCAGCCTTCTTACCCCTCTTACAGCCTTCTTACCCATCTTACAGTCTTCCTACCATTCTTACAGCCTTACAACCATTCCTCCAGCCTCCTTACCCTTCTTACAGCCTTACAACCATTCCTCCAGCCTTCTTACCCCTCTTACAGCCTCCTTACCCTTCTTACAGTCTTCCTACCATTCTTACAGCCTTACAACCATTCCTCCAGCCTTATTCCATTTTTCGATTCAATTAGCTTTTAGATTTTCATAGTACAACAACATCTAAAATCAAGATAAACAAATGAAAGCTCAAATGAATTTCTTAAATCATTATCTCAAACCCTTATCTCAAATCAATCTCTACCAAAGCGACGAATCTGATCTCACAATGGTCTCACAAAAGTTTGTCTGTAACAATAAATAAAACGCAGATTTCAAATGGAATGCATTTAAAAAACAAAATGGCGTTGACGGGGTTTTTTTGAATTTTTGAATTTTTTTTGCAATCCCTAGAGATTTTTCTTATAAGGTGGATGTTTTTTTTGCTCTCTACGATCACTTTTCCACTCTTTAAACAGGTCAAAGTCGTCAAAAACCCAAAAATCCACTAAAATCAGATATTCAGCGCTATTTGATCTAAATTGTGTATATAAAATTGAAATTAATTAGCATTTAAGCCTTTAGAATTAGGGGAATTAGGGGAATTAGATGAAATTTGAGAAAATTTAAGGAAATTTAAGGAAATTTGCAAAAATTTGCAAAAGCTCCTCTAAAGCTCCTCTAAAGCTCCTTTATAGTGCCTATTTAGTTCCTCTAAAGCTCCTTTAAAGCTCCTCTAAAGCTCCTTTAAAGCTCATTTTCCCGTCAACGCCACAGAGTTTTTTTTTCCACAAAAATCCCAAAAATTTTATGTAAAATTTTATTTTTCACACGTTTTTTTCAATTTTCTTTTGAAATTTGTTAAGAAAAAGGCACTAAAATTGGAATTGAAACATTTAAAATCGAGAAATATGCATAGAATATGCAGAGAAATTTGAAAAAAAGCAAATAAAAGCAATGAAAATCAATGAAAATCAATGAAAATCAATCAATCAATCACTTAAAATCGAATAAAATCCATCTCCTCTACAATAAACAACAATTTAAACATGCAATTGAAACAAATCTTTTGCGAATTCACTCAAATTTTCGCAAATTCTTGCTGAAATCGACGTTTTTTTCAAGCGCAATCTTGACATGAAAAGTTAGTAAAGCGAAACGCATTTTTTCAAGAGAACTCACTTTTTGGCTGACTCTGGGTAAAGAAAGCTTTCAATATTTACAGAAAATAACTCGAAAATTGATTCCAAATGTGATTTTGGATTCAATTTTGTTCTTTTAGAAGATAAAAGAGAAAAAAAAGCTGCTTCCGGGATCGAACTTTTCGAGGTTGAGAGGCCTCCCGAGCTCGAGTCCCCCGCTCTACCCACTGCGCCAAACCGATCACTGGTTTGCTCATCGAAAGTTCGATATTCAAGCCAAAGTACAAGCTAAAAGAGAAAAAAGCTGCTTCCAGGATCGAACCTTTCGAGATCCAGGGACCTCCCGAGCTCGAGCCCCCCGCTCTACCGACTGCGCCAAACCGAGCACTCTCATGGTTAGCGAAAATTCGATATTCTAGCCATAATACAAAGGAAACACGATTGATTATGCAAATTTGAAAACAAACAAACAAATATGCAATTTGTATTCAAATTTGTATGCAAATTCTATGCAAATTTGTATGCAAATTTTATGCAAATTTGTATGCAAATTTCTATGCAATTTTTATGCAAATTTCTTTACAAAACATTAATATGCAAATTTGAGACAAGCTGGGGAGACAAATGAGCAAGCGTAAACAGTTAAAAGACGGAAAATGTTTCGAAAATTCGACAAAAGACAAAAGATCACAGTTTTTACACAAAAATAGCCTAATTTTCGATGTTTTTTTCGCAAAAATATTTAACTTTTGAAATATTTTCTTGAAAAAATCGTTTTTTTTGTAAATTTAGTTAAGCGAAAACCCGGATTGAGAAGATTTTTGAGTCTTGAAATCGTTTTTTTTTGCGGCTTTTAGCTAGAAAGCTAAAAATACGATGTTTTTTAGGTAAAAGAATCGATTTTTAGCTTTATTTTGGATAAAAGAGTCGATTTTAGCTCTATTTTAGCTTTATTTTTGATAAAAGAGTCGACTTTGAGCTCTAGAAGTCTAGAGAAAACAATTCCAAACCAATTTCAAGACCCTCGACTAACAAATACTTATGCCTATCAGTACTTTGTGCTCATAAACGCATCCCTCTGGCGCAATGAAACAGTGCACTAGAAGATCTACGTTTTCGAGGAGCACAAAGCACATTAGACGCCGAACATTCGCGCAAACACGTGATGGAAATACGAGCGCAGTCGATCGTAGACCCCATCCCTGGCAGCGCCAAGATTTTGCTTTGACACATAACTATTGTAACTTGGCAGCGATGAAGAGGACGGTGACGAGGGACGGGGAAAACCCTATACATTGAATATTTGTTATGCTGGCTAGAGTTGGGGGGAATTGTTAAAGGAGGGAGGGAGGGTGAATAGGTCAAGATCGGGGTTACGGTGAGTTTGAGAACTTTTGGCTTAGGCTAGGCTTAGGCTAGGCTTAGGCTAGGCTTAGGCTAGGCTTAGGCTAGGCTTAGGCTAGGCTTAGGCTAGGCTTAGGCTAGGCTTAGGCTGGCTTAGGCTAGGCTTAGGCTAGGCTTAGGCTAGGCTTAGGCTAGGCTTAGGCTAGGCTTAGGCTAGGCTTAGGCTTGCTTGGCTTAGGCTAGGCTAAGGCTAGGCTTAGGCTAGGTTTAGGCTTGCTTAGCTTAGGCTTGGCTTAGGCTTGCTTGGCTTAGGCTAGGCTAAGGCTAGGCTTAGGCTAGGTTTAGGCTTGCTTAGGCTAGGCTTAGGCTTGCTTAGCTTAGGCTTGGCTTAGGCCTAAGCTTGGCTCATCCTTAGCTTAAGCTTGGCTTAAGCTTGGCTTAGGCTTTTCTTAGGCCTAAGCTTCGCTCATCCTTAGCTTAGGCTTGGCTTAGGGCCCTTCTTAACACCCTAAAACTTTTTTGATACCGTAAGGCTCAAGTGAAAAGTCCTGTAACTCTAAAAACTTCTAGCTATTCAACCAAGAACTCTTCTCGATTGAATACCGTAAACTTTAACTTAACAATCCAGACATTCTTAAGTCCTAAATGCAAATCTGATACCGTAACCTTGACTTTCTTGACGAATTTCCCCCACCGATAAATCTCGAATAGGAAAATGCACACAAATTCTCCAAAAAGCACAACAAACACAAGCAAAGATTAGTTCATAGACTGAATTTAGCTTATAGCTTATCGCTTAAAAGATGTTTGAAGAAAGCTAGTAATCAAGAGCCAAGCTGAAATCGAACAGAAAGGTTCTAGTCAAAAACAGTAGGATTCTAGCTAAAGCTCTAGAATTACGATAGCTTTTTCGAAAGAACATCGTTCAAAAAACGATTCAGCCAAGAGAAACTCAGACTATTAGTAGCAGAAAACTCACTCGGCTTCAAAAAAAAAACAAAAACATTTTTGTGGATTTCTGTGGCAAGAATTAAAAACCCGATGAGCAAAGGGAATTTTTTTTGGGAAATAAACGAAAGGGTTGAGTTAAAGAGTTTTCTAAAAGATCTTTAAGAGCTACCGCTAACTCAAGGTGTTTAAGCGACGGTTTCGGTAAAAGGAGGATCTTTTAGAAGACACTTTAGCCCGCATGTTCGTTAATGACAAGTTATTGACTCGTGCAAACTATAGTTGGATAAAAAGAAACGGAAAAAAAGCGGATGAAAAGGAGTGGCTTTGAATGAAGTAAGAGAATGAACGGCTGAATGGAGTACGGTAGTCTTATGCAAGGAATCTTATCCTCATCCAACCTACAGTAACCTGACTACGACCAGATCTACGACAAGTTTAGATCTAAACCTATAGGATCCAGAGATCCAGATCCAGAGATCCAGAGATCCAGAGATCCAGAGATGGATCCAGAGAATGGACTTGGACTAGACGACAGCACCTGGGCTGGGCTCCTGGCTTGGGCTAGACTACAGACTATAGCACCTTTACTACAGTAAGCCTTATCCAAGGATAAAACCTACCGTAGTTCTAGGCTAGACCAAGCCAAACCAAACTAATTTGGATCAAAGCCACGTCCAGCCAAGTCAAGAGAAGCCAGATCAGTTTTAAGATCAGGACAAAGGCCTGGCTCTGATCAAACCGACCAAGGTTCAGGTTCAGAGCTGTAAACCAGGACAAAGATCAGGTCCAAACCAGCAAGTCCAACCAAACCGAGGCCAGGATTACTACCAGGACCAGGGGAAGGACCAGGGTCTGAGTCTGAGCTTAAGCTTAAGCCTGAGCCTAAGCCTGAGCCTGAGCCTGAGCCTTAGCCTGATCCTGAGCCTGAGCTTAAGCCTAAACCTAAGCCTAAGCCAGCCTAAACCAGCCTAAGCCAGCCTAAGCCAGCCTAAGCCAGCCTAAGCCAGCCTAAGCCAGCCTAAGCCTAAGCCCAGGATCGAACCAGGCTGCAGAATTTTCCTCCAGAAATAGAAAACAGAAAAAAACTCAATTCGGCTAAAGCCAGAGCCCAAAACCAGATCGAACTTAGAGCCAAGTTTAGATCTAAATCTATCTCAGGATTAGACGGTTTATGCTAGACTACAGTAATCTACAGTATTCTTCTCCTACCAAACAGCCTACGGTAACTTTCGTGCCACTTTTCAAAGCCAAACTCCTTTTCATCTCAGCAAAGTCATCAGAAGAAGTAAAAAGCATGCGTAGTAAAAGGGATTTCTCGATAATCTCATCCAAATCACGGCAATGACGTCGATGCACGTCGACAGGCAATCGCCGCCGCCACAGCGATCACAATCAACACCAACACTTGGCATACCATCAGCACTACGGGTAACGAAATCTGCACAATGAAATGATAGTTTTTGGAGTTTAGAAAACATAGAGGTTTAGAAGTTCTGTGAGCTTTGAGCTTTTACTTTGAACTCTGTGGAAACGCAGTCTTTCTATCGTACAAGGATGTGCCAAAAGCTGTGCGTTTGGAAAAGCTAGCGTTTGGAAAAGCTAGCGTTTGGAAAAGCTAGCGTTTGGAAAAGCTAGCGTTTGGAAAAGCTAGCGTTTGGAAAAGCTAGCGTTTGGAAAAGCTAGCGTTTGGAAAAGCTAGCGTTTGGAAAAGCCCTAGCGTTTGGAAAAGCTTGCGTTTGGAAAAGCTGTTGGAAAAGCTAGCGTTTGGAAAAGCTAGCGTTTTGGAAAAGCTAGCGTTTGGAAAAGCTAGCGTTTGGAAAAGCTAGCGTTTGGAAAAGCTAGCGTTTGGAAAAGCTAGCGTTTGGAAAAGCTAGCGTTTGGAAAAGCTCTGCGCTTCCAAAAGCTCTGCGCTTCCAAAAGCTCTGCGCTTCCAAAAGCTCTGCGCTTCCAAAAGCTCTGCGCTTCCAAAAGCTCTGCGCTTCCAAAAGCTCTGCGCTTCCAAAAGCTCTGCGCTTCCAAAAGCTCTGCGCTTCCAAAAGCTCTGCGCTTCCAAAAGCTCTGCGCTTCCAAAAGCTCTGCGCTTCCAAAAGCTCTGCGCTTCCAAAAGCTCTGCGCTTCCAAAAGCTCTGCGCTTCCAAAAGCTCTGCGCTTCCAAAAGCTCTGCGCTTCCAAAAGCACAAAGCATTGTGTAAACGCAAAGCTTTTATCAACGTTGATTTGCCAGAAGCTGTGTGTTTACCAGAACAGAATTAGTGTACTTTGAGCTCTTTATAAACCAAAGCTTTAAACCAAAGCTTTCTGCTGTCTTTCTGCTTCTTCTACCGCTAGAAACAGTGCGTTTTCAAGAGCACAAAGTACAAGACATGCAAGAGAGACGAAAGATTCACTCAAACTAGACACTTTTCACCGATTTCAGCCCATTTTTGGAAAGTTTTTCAACATGCAAAAAGGATACAAAAGAAAAAGAAAAAAGAAAAATAAGAAAATACCTGAAAATTGACAATTTCTTGAGCTTTTTGAAGAACCAGAGTTAGAAAAAAGGCCAATAAAGACGAAGAAAATGATAAAAGAAAAAGAAAACCCCATTATCTTGGGCTAGCTTCTTTAAAAACGTCTATAACGTCGACGATTTCGTTTAAACCAAGGCGATGATCGCTGCGGAGTAATCCAAATCCATTGCTGCCTTGTCGCGTCAAACCACCATTGACCCATTGCAGGCAGATTTGCGAACGATTGCACTTGTTGCCCTTGTTGCCCTTGTTGCACTTGCTGCTGCTGGATTGGCCTTTGCTGTTGTGGGAAAATCCTTGGCCTTGACGCCACGAGACGACCCGTGTTTCGATTTGGCAAATGAAATTGTCGCATACGTGAGAAGGCCAACAGACGCCCACGCTAGATTTTGATTAGAAAAGTGCTTTTTGATCGAACTACCACCATTTATTCATGCACATGCCACAGCAAACGAGCGCGGAGAACAAAATGAACACTCTACATGCAAAGGGAAATGTTTAGGCAAAGAAGAAAGGTCTAGTACTGATGAGATTCGAGATTCGGAAGCTCCAGAGTCCACAAGTTCTATAGTACCCGGACCTAGGGTTCCAGGACCTACAGTAGCCCAGCTCCAGGGTCTCAAGGTCCCTAAGGTTCCAAGGATCCATAGTACCCAGTTCTAGCGTTCCCAGGACCTACAGTAACCCGGTTCTGGGGTCCCAAGGTCCCTAAGGTTCCAAGGATCCATAGTACCCAGTTCTAGCGTTCCCAGGACCTACAGTAACCCGGTTCTGGGGTCCCAAGGTCCCTAAGGTTCCAAGGATCCATAGTACCCAATCCTAAAATCCTACGGTTCCCCAGGATCTATAGTACCCCGGCCCTAGGTCCCCAGGACCTACAGTACCCGATCCCAGGGTCCTACGGTTCTCCAGGACCTACAGTGTCCATAAGACATCCAGAACCTACAGTACCTTTAAAGTGTCTAGCGTCTACTGTACCCTTAGTGCCCTACAATTGTTCAAAAATGACTCTAGGGTCAGTCCTCTGAGTTTCTAGAGCTATGACATCTCTAAGGTTTTCAGGATCAACAATATCACAACTTCCAAGAGATCCGGGACCCGAAAGGCTTCTTAAAACTACCGTAATCCAATTAGCTTTCGAAAGCTACCGTAATCCAGTTAGCTTTCAAAAGCTACCGTAATCCAGTTAGCTTTCAAAAGCTACCGTAATCCAGTTAGCTTTCGAAAGCTAGCGTAACCTGAATTACAATATTTAGATGATCTAGATATTCACTTTTCATTTTAACAGCTCGACATTTCCCTAAACATTTCCCAAATATTTTCCAGAAAACAGTTAAAGCGATTGAGTTAGAGAGGTTGCGTAAAAGAAAAAAACAAACAAAAATAAATGATGGGGACAATGCAAGCACAAGAAAAATCACTTAAAATGAAAATCACTTAAAATAAAAATGAAATTAGTTTACATAAAATAAACTTTAGTTTATGAAAAGAGAAAAAAACTCTGTGGCGCTTAGGAAAATTTTTAAAAAAACGGCAAACCAAAGAGAAAGTTTACTTGAAGGTTTTACTTGTAAATCCTCAAAATTTTCTATAGTTTTTAGCTTTAGCTTAGCTTTAACTGAATAGCTTAGCTTTGTCTTAGTTTTGTGCAAAAATTACGAAGCAACATTGAGATTTGAGTGCGATAAATGATCTAGATTACGACTAGAATCTAGATTACTAGAATTAGAACTAGTCTAGAGCGCATAATCGGATGAGAGATAAGCCTTTACCTGTGAAGTGAGCTGAGAAACGACTCGACTGATTGGTGGAGATGGAGATGGTGGATGCACTGGATCACCCGGTTGTGCTGGCTCCGCTGTACCGTATAGCAAAAGGGACCAGTCGTGGAAAGTACCTGAAAGAGCTATTTGATCAGTGATCAGATCAGTGCTCTAGATTTAGACTATTTTAGATCTAAGCCAAGGTTTAAACAGTTTAGATCGAGGTCTAAAACTTGAGCTTTTCTGAACTTGAGCTTTTCTCACCTCCAAGATTCGGATTCGTTGTCACCGACTCGACCATCAGTACCCAGGTACCTCTTGGATCTTCGCCCCATTGTTGCACTGAGAGGAAAGGCCATTTGTGGAAGCCATTAACATTGAAGTCTTGTGGACGCGGGGGAAGAAGGACAGAACGAGTACCAGCTGGAGAGAACAGGGTAAGCTTGAGATCGCCACGCTTTCCGTAGCGCACAGTGGCATGCACCTGAATCGAGTGGCTTTTAGAATTGTAGGTATGGATATTATAGAGCTACAGTGTACAGTGATGATCCAGCTGGACTCTAGAAACTCCAGCTGATGATCCAGCTGAACTTCTAGAGACCAGCTGGATCATCAGAATCCCGTTCCCGGTCCAGGACAGGCTAAGTAACCTGTAGCCTAGATCTTACAGTATCCTTGATTTAGTTTCTACAGTACCTAGTATTACAGTAAGAATACTGTAAGACAGTACAGCCTTGCAGTATCTTTAACTGGATATTTAGGGCAAGCTAAGCAAGGGATACTGTAGCCTAGGATCTTACAGTATCGTTTGCCTAGGGTTCTACAGTATTCTTTGCCTAGGGCTCTACAGTATCCTTAACCTAAGGCTCTACAGTATCGTTTGCCTAGGGTTCTACAGTATCCTTTGCCTAGGGTTCTACAGTATCCTTTGCCTAGGGTTCTACAGTATCCTTTGCCTAGGGTTCTACAGTATTCTTTGCCTAGGGCTCTACAGTATCCTTGCCTAGATTCCTAAAGTATTCTTTGCCTAGGGTTCTACAGTATCCTTGCCTAGATTCCTAAAGTATTCTTTGTCTAGGGTTCTACAGTATCCTTGGACTGGGATCTTACCGTCCAGGAGTGAAGCCAGAACAGGCTAAACAAGGGATACTGTAGCCTAGGGTCTTACAGTATCCCTAGCCTAGGTTCCTACAGTATCCTCAGCCTAGGATCTTACAGTATCCCTAGCCTAAGGTTCTACAGTATCCTTAGCCTAGAGTCTTCCCGTATTCTTGGACCAGTATCTTACAGTCCAGGAGCGAAGCCAAAACAGGTTAAGCAAGGCATAATGTAGGATATTACAGCATCCTTGGTCTAGAGTTTTACAGAATCCTTTGCCTAGGGTCCTACAGTATCCTTGGACTAGGGTCTTACAGTCCAGGAGTGAAACCAGGACAGGCTAAGCAAGGGATACTGTATCCCTAGATCTTACAGCATCTTTGACCCAGATTCTACAGTATCTGCAAAACCGTACAGAACATTACAGTCCTACAGTATCCTTTGCCTAGATTCTAGATTACTACAGTGCCTAGATTCTACAGTACCTTAACTGAATATTTTTTAGAATCACCTGCACATGCTCCAAATAAAGCACCGGGGTGCCCGACTCGCATCCATTCACGTCCAACGTGAAGTTCATTTGGAAACGACCGGTGATTGGACGGGGGCTAAACAATTTCCATTTAAACTATTCGATACTAAGATTTCTATAGATTCTAAGATCCCTATAAGCTAAAAGCTAAAAGCTCACTTTGGTGCCGCCAATTTGTACTCATACGTACAAATGTGTTGCTCAGGTGTTTGGCGCCACGTTTTCGCCACTTTCACCAGCGCTCCACCATCCATTAAACCGTAGCCGAATCTGGAAATGGCAGTAGATAGGAAAGGATTAGATTAGAGATAGATTAGAGCTAGATTAGAGACTCTAGATAGTGTCTCTGAGCACTTACTCTTACTCTTGTAGCTCTTACTTGTTACTAATATGTCGCCCAACACCATTGATCGACCATCCGGGATTGTTGAGAAGTGGCTTCGCGTTCGCCGTTCGTAAAACGATATGCTGCATGTCACGCCAAGTGAGTTGAGGACTGAAAGAGATTGATGGAGAAGACAAGGACAAGGATAAGGATCATCTCATCAACTCTGGAGTCAGTAACTTGACTCAGACTTGAGCATAGCTCGGGTAAGCTCTGGCTAAGCTCTAGCTAAGCTCTGGGTAAGCTCTAGCTGTAGGACAAGGATCATCTCGTCAACTCTGGAGTCAGTAACTTGACTCAGGCTTGAGCATAGCTCGGCTAAGCTCTAGCTAAGCTCTGGCTAAGCTCTGGCTCTAGCTGTTGCTCATTGAGCTGACGATCACATTGAAGTTGGTCATTAGCTTAACTTCTAGCCTAGCTTTCTATCAGATCGAGAGTCAGACTTGATCCTGAATCAACTCCGGAGTGTCTAGCTGTTGCAAGTACAGCTAGACAGTCTAGCTGTACTTGCAACAGCTAAATCCAGATCTAACCCTGGCTCTAGTCTGGCTCTAGTCTGGCTCTAGTCTGACTTTGGTTTACATGTCTGGCTTACAAGTTCCGCTTGGAATAGCAAGACTGAACTTATCTAAAACCTACTTTGCTTCGAGTGCCAAAGCGATGATCCCAGCTGCAAGTGGAGCCGATGCCGAAGTACCTGTATGCATTTTTGTACAACCTGACGGAACATCGACGGTCACCTGAAATTAATTGAATTGATAAAGTGAAAGATAAACTCAAGACAATGGATAAGGTCATGGATAAGTTATTGGACGATTGGATAGCTGAGAAAGTCTTTACAAACGGACAAACAGATGGACAAACAGCTGTTTATAGATGTTGTACATCACTTACAATAGCCGGTTGATTGATGTTCGCTGAGGAGTATGTGGTGGCAATGGATGATGGACATTCCTCCAAATACCAGGGTCGGTGATTGTCGAAAGTGGCTGATGAGATTGAGAGAGTGTACACCGAGGTCGTGTACCCGTCAGCCGAACAGGAGTCTTGTCTAGAAGAGTTTCGTATAGGCTAAGCAAAGACCTAGGTCTGACCCTGGACCTGAACCTGGCCCTGAACCTGGTCCTGAACCTGGCCCTGAACCTGGCCCTGAACCTGGCCTTGACCCTGGCCCTGAATCTAGTTCTGACTCTGAATCTGGCTCTGAGCCTGGCTCTGACCCTGGCCCTGGCTCTAAATCTGGCCCTGCCTCGGGCCATGACCCTGAATCTGGCTCTGACTCTAGCCCTGACGCTGAATCTGGCCCTGACCTTAGCCCTGACCATTATCTTGATCTGGTTTTGTTTTGAAAAATACTTTTGCAACCCTGACGATAAGTTTTATGCAAACCCACCTCGATCCACCATTTCCACTCGCCCAGACGAAGATATTCCCCTTTCCGCCTCTTCCATTCTTGATTCCTCTATAGAAAGCCTCACGAGCCAATGGCCCTGGTCCATCAAATGTTTTCCCGTCATCCTCCGGACCCCAACTCGCCGAGTAAATATCAATGTGGTGCTGGTTTAATGCCAACGAAGCTGCTTCCACCGAGTCGGAGACTGAAATCGGGATTAGTTGTTGACTAGCACGGTTGGGTAACTGAACCCTACTTCCTGTCCGATTAGGAAAAGTTTTCTGTCTTACTTCCTGGCGCACTTTCTGCTCCGCTTTCCCACTTTCTTCCACGCTATCTACCCCACTATCTGCTCCATTTCCAGCCCCACTTCCTGCCCCGCTTTCTTCCACACTTTCTTCCACACTTTCTTCCCCACTATCTGCCCCACCATCTGCCCCACTTTCTGCCCCACTTCCTCCCCCACTTTCTTCCCCGCTTTCTTCCCCATGATCTACCCCACTTCCTGCCCCACTTCCTCCCCCACTTCCTCCCCCACTTGCTTCCCCACTTTCTTCCCCGCTTTCTTCCCCATTATCTACCCCACTTCCTCCCCCACTTTTTCCTCAACTTCCTCCCCCACTTCCCCACTTACTGTAAATAAAGATACATATCTTCCGGGTCTATGCAACTGCAGTTGAGGTCGGTCATTTCACAGGGACTCTAATACGTTGGAGGAGTTGAGTTGGGTTGTCGGGGTGTTAGAGATGGCGGGATATCAAAAGGGATCCACTCTCTTTAACTTATCTGCCCCCTTTCCACCCCAATACAAACATCTTGATAAGCCAAATTTCCAGCGCGCCCTAGTGAACCAGCATGGTGTACTTTGTGCTCGGAATCTGTAAATGCACTCCTTCTGGCGCACTCAAATCTTCTTTGCTATAGGGAAATGAAGAGTGCGCAAAGAAAGGGTGCGTTTACAGAGCACAAAGTACTCGCCAAATGGCTGGCTTTTAAGGAAAGGTCGATTACGGTAAATCTGGTAATATTTTAGCAAGATACAAATGGATACAGTAACCCAAAAAAAAATGGGCACTCACCAGCGCCATCCAACATTCTGACACCGCCGATTTTCGCCTTGAACGCCACCCCGACACCGCATTGATTATTCCCAGCAATTGCCGCCACTTCTCCAGCACATCGAGTACCATGTCTAAAAGATTTATATGCTAATTTTCTTCTATCATTTTTTAAAAGACCCAAAAAACTAGAAAAAGCTATTTGTAAAGCTATTTATAAAGCTATTTATAAAACTAAATTTCTACCGTAATTATTTTAATCAAAGAATCCCCTCCGTTCAGTCGCGTAGTCGAAAAATTCTTTTTTTTTCTAAGCGCTGCTGTTTTCTTTTGGTGTCAAAATATAGCTGAGATTTAGGGCTATCGTTTGATACCAAAACGAACACTGTAGTAAAAAACAGCGCTAAGAACGAGACGCTTAAAGTTAGACTACGTGACGCTCCGGGTAGGGGTACTTCTATTAGAAAAATTACGATAAATATTACGACAATTTGGGGTTTTTTTTGGTGGAAATTAGGCTTTCACTTGCATGCACTGTGATTAAAGTTTTTGAAATTGAACTTATCAAATAGTTTGGTCATTTGGTGACTTTGAAAACTCACCCATTGTACCAGATGTTATGATAACTGTACAATAGTTGTTGTTAGCTTATTGTTAGCTTATTGTTAGCTTATTGTTTACTTATTGTTAGCTTATTGTTAGCTTACTGGTAGCTTACTGTACAATAGTTGTTGTTAGCTTACTGTTAGCTTATTGTTAGCTTATTGTTAGCTTATTGTTAGCTTATTGTTAGCTTACTGTACAATAGTTATTGTTAGCTTACTGTTAGCTTACTGTTGGCTTACTGAAGAGTTAATATTTGATAGTAGCTTACTATCAAAGCTTACTATCAAAGCTTACTATTAAAGCTTTCTATTAAAGCTTACTATTAAAGCTTTCTACTAAAGCTTACTATCAAAGCTTTCTATCAAATATTAACATTTACAGCTTTAAATGAGCAATGAAATCAAATTTAACCAGGTCAAATTGAACCAAATCAAATTCTACTTGTTATCTCCATTGTTTTGCGGCGTTGGATCATCGTCATGATCATTGATATCGGTAGAAGCTAGTGGATCATAGTTGGCCGCCAAATCTGGGTGATCTCGTTGAATGCCTGGAATTGAGGGGCTGATCATAGTATTTTTATGACTACAATCTAGAGAAGTTAACTAGGGAAAGGCCACAAAATTCCTGTGTGCTTTCGTCTCCGGATCACATACATCTTACTAAATCAGCTTTAATAAGGTCAAAGACTTTTTTTTAGCTAAACTTCAAGTTTTCTAAAAGTTACGCTTAAGAAAAATAAGCATTAAAGGGTGCTTTTCAAGGAAAGGTGGCTTTTGGGCACCGGTGGCCTAGTGGATAGTGGGATGGGCTCTCGGTCGATCGGGGAACATCGGGGGTTCGATCCTGCTCTTGGTTTTTGGTTTTTTTAGTACTCCAAAAGCTACAGTACTTCAAAAGCTACAGTACTTGAAAGCTACACTAGCACCGGTGGCCTAGTGGATAGTGGGATGGGCTCTCGGTCGATCGGGGATTTTGATTAAGAAAGTTAAGAAGATCAAGAGCTTAAGCTTGATAGCTAAAGCTAAAGCTTAAGAGCTTAAGCTTGATAGCTTAAGAGCTAAACTTAAGAACGTTAAAAGTGTGCTTAAGTGCATGAATTAAACAAACCGTCATCGAGAATCGAGACGGAAACATTTCTTCCGGCATATCCCATCAACCACGCCTCCCGCACATTCATATCGAATCCACCAACGGCTCCACCAATCTGCAAATGATAAACTAATGAATTCTTAAGTCTCAAGATTACGATAACATTAATCAATAATAAAACAACATAATAGCTAACTAGGCTCTGCAGGCTATCCAAAAGAAATCCAGAAAGTAAGCTGTCTAGTAAGCTTATCTAGTAAGCTCTCTTCCTTCTTTTTCTTACCAAAAAAATAAACCAATTGTTTTATTAGAAAAGCTAATTCTTTTTTCTCATTAAAACGGTTTAAAATGATGTTTAAACGAACGATTTTTAAACTTTATTTGAGAACATGAAGTCGGGTAGGGTGTCGATGTTTAGATAAAGGTTTTGACACACTTTAGCTAAGAAAACTTATCTTGGTGTCTATAGATAGAAGATAGAGTACAAAAAGGGCTATCATTTGATATCAAAGCGTACACTGTAGCTTAAACTAGTGCAAAGAACGAGAGGTTCAAAGTTTGACTCGTATTTGAGAACATGAAGTCTGGTAGGGTGTCGATGTTTAGATAAAGGTTTTGACACACTTTAGCTAAGAAAACTTATTTTGATGTCTATAGATAAAAGATAGAGTACAAAAAGGGCTATCATTTGATATCAAAGCGTACACTGTAGCTTAAACTAGTGCAAAGAACGAGAGGTTCAAAGTTTGACTCTGCTCGTGTTATTATTTTTTGGTCTAATAATGCTTAGAATCGCAGCTTCTATACATTTCTTAGATCTAAGCCAGAGCTAAAGCTAGATAAGCTTTAGCCGCTAGATAAGCTTTGTTAGGATGAGATTTTGAGGGTACAGTCGCGTAGTCGTTAACTAGCGAATTCGTCGATTCGCCGATTCGAAACAATTTTTCAGACACAATTTTACAGTAGCTAAAAGCTTTTTTAAAAGCTAAGAGTTCTTTTAAAACGTTTTCTAAAACATTCTCTAAAACATTTCCTTTTCTTCTGTCTATATTTTAACTCACCAAATACCATTGATCTCTGTATAATGGATCGGAAAATGGTAGTCTCGGGATCTCCAACGGTGCTTGTCTCTTCAACACTTGATGTGCCGTTTGTCTCACCGATCGACTCAATAAAGCCGATTGCTAAAAGTCAGTTTTTTGCATTTTCTTCTTCAAAATACAATAATCTTTATTATCTAACGATTTAACGATAACGATTAATCTAACGATAACGATCTAACGACTACAATTCGTCATTATTCACCTCTCGTACTTCATCGTTGTAGACATAGTCGCGCTTTGTTCGCCGTTTCGGTCGTTGCTCTTCAACCTGGAAAATTATAAGGTTTTTGAATGGTCTGGTATTGGATTTGATAATGGATTTGATAATGGATTTGATCAAAACCGTATTGGAACCATATTGGAACCGTATTGGAACTTGGTTTTGATCTTGGTTTTGATCTTGGATTTGATCTTGGACTTGATATTGGACTTGATCTTGGATTTGATCTTGGTATTGATCTTGGATTCGATATTGGATTCGATATTGAATTTGATCTTGCATTTGTTCTTGGTTTTGTTCTTGGTTTTGATATTTAATTTAATCTTTAACTCAATTTATTCTTTATTCAACTAACAAACCCATTCAACAGCTGGATGCTCATTCAATTGCTCTGTAATCGCTCTTTTCCGCCTTCTTGACAACTCCGAATCGTCATGATACAAGAAATAGTGATTGTCCATAAAAGCGTCACCCTGTAAATGTCAATGTATTAAGTTGATGTACAAGGAAGAGTCAGATCCAGAGCATACAGATTTACCACTGCACTATTCGGTCTGTTTGGAGGGAAGGTTAAGAGAATCGTTATAAACGGAGGTTCCCAGTAATTAGTTCACCCAGTGACCAGTAAGTTCACCCAGTAAGTTTGGCCAGTAAGTTCACCCAGTGACCAGTCCAAATTTGCAACTCGCTTTTCTCGAAAACCATTGGGTTTAAACGAAAACTAAGCACAGAATCGGATTCTCCATACCCGAAATACCTTTTCCACCATTCATTCGATCCAATCCTTGAGTTGGAACAAAAAATTACGGCGTCGGGAGTCGAACCCCCGACCTTCAGCTTATCAGACAACTGTGCTAACCATTACACCACAACGCAGTTGAACACCCTCCTTTCAGAAAGAGTTAACTCTTCACCTTAGCTTTAAACCATTCCCTTTCAGAAGCCCCCCAAATTTCAGATATCCATTTGTCATTCGATCTCTATATCTATAAAAGTCCCACGCGCAATCTTTCCGTCATGGTCGAGGGGTTAAGAGGTGGGACTGCTGAGCGGTCAAGGGTTCGAATCCCGTCAGTGCAAACGTTCGCCTTTCTTTCTGAAAACTTCTACCCAGGGGTAATCGAGTATGGAGAGCCCGAATCTTTTATTCGTTTTTCAAAATTTACACGATACAACCGCTTGTAGGTCCGAAATAGCTTTTCGCTGTTTTGTTTAAATTTAAACATAGCGGACAGCGATTATTATTATTATTATTATTTTCTTGACCTTGACAACCATCCCGTGTCTCTTCGCAATCTGATGCGCTAATTCATCGTCTCTTCTTTTCAATCGAATCACTGTGTGAGTAGAGTCGGGACATTTTGGATCGTGTGGATCTTGGCAATCCTGAAAAATCGATGAATTCTAAACATTTTTCCAATTCCAACACTCTAATTCTAAAATTTCCTCATAAACGCACATCCTCTTCGTCATTTAATAAACTTTTCAGAATCCAAGCCAGCCTTTTTCCTCTTAAAAACCCACAGCCTCTAATACATTAAATTTCTTTCTCATTTTACGAATTTTAAGAATTTAGAAGAAGAAGAAGAAGAAGAAGAAGAAGAAGAAGGAGAAGAAGGAGAAGGAGAAGAAGGAGAAGAAGGAGAAGAAGGAGAAGAAGGAGAAGAAGGAGAAGAAGGAGAAGAAGAAGAAGAAGAAGAAGAAGAAAGAAGAAGGAGAAGAAGGAGGAGAAGAAGGAGAAGAAGAAGGAGAAGAAGGAGAAGAAGAAGAAGGAGAAGAAGAAGGAGAAGAAGGAGAAGAAGGAGAAGAAGGAGAAGAAGGAGAAGAAGGAGAAGAAGAATAAGAATAAGAATAAGAATTAAGTAAATTTGAAATCCAATATGCTAGAAGCTTTCTATAAACGCAAAGTACACTTTTCTTTGCGCTCAATGAAAGCTGAAAGGCAAACGCTTGTTCCCTAAGTCATTTAACAATTGCTTACCCTGCTTTAACATATTTTACGTTTAAAATTATACATTAAGAATAATATTATGGTTTACTTGTGTCTATAGCTTTATATTATAGCTTTAAAAGCTTTAAAAGCTTTATATTCTAGCTTTAGAAGCTTTATATAATAGCTTCAAAAGCTTCAAAAGCTTACAAAACTCACATGATCAAAATCGTTAGCAAAAATCGATATCCATAAAGCCAATGGCGCTATCCAAAGGCGCATATCACAGTCGAAAGGAGGAAAGTAGAGCTTTTCTGGAAATTTATATTTAGAATCTCTTTATTACGGTAAAGGGGTATTCCCGGGCATCCAATCAAAAAGTGACCCACATAAAAAATGTTCATAATACATATATTTTATAATAAATTTTTGAAATTAGCTCATTTGGTTCAGTAGAAATTTTTTTTTTGAACCTTCAAAGTTTAGGTTCAAAAATGACCTAAAATGGCTATAAAAAATTTTCTACTCAGCCAAAAAACTTGTCTAATAGCTCATTTTGTAGCCAATTTGATGTAGTTTCTTAAAGTAAAGCCATCTAAAACAATTTTTTGTTGAAAGTAGGAGAAAGAGGGCGAGGAACAAATTCAGGGCAATTCTCAAATGTGAAAACAGCGACCGAGTTCAACTGAAGTCGTTCCTCGCCCTCTTTCTCCTAGCTTTGAAAAACAAATGTTCAATGTAGCTTTACTTTAAGAAACTACATCAAATTGGCTACAAAATGAGCCATTAGGCAAGTTTTTGGCTGAGTAGAAAATTTTTTATAGCCATTTTAGGGCATTTTTGAACCTAAACTTTGAAGGTTCAAAAAAAAATTTCTACTGAACCAAATGAGCTAATTTCAAAAATTTATTATAAAATATATGTATTATGAACATTTTTTATGTGGGTCACTTTTTGATTGGATGCCCGGGAATACCCTCATTCGTTAGCGGCTGAATTTCGTAAGCGGCTACGACATATATTTATCTATCTATCTTTATCTATCTTTTCCTTTATCTTTATATCTTTATCTTTATCTTTATATCGTTAAAACTAAAGATCTTTTCAAAACAAAAAGCTTACAAAACGTTTAAACTCTTCTTTCGTCGTTTTCCCTCACAAAAGCATCACCATTAAGCGAAAAAACAAAAAAAAAACCCGTCGATTTGTTGTTTTCCTGTAAAAATTTGCATTCAATTTGCATATTACATTGAAAAGATTAAAAAGAAATGAAATTGAAAAAAGATAAATGTAAATTCAATTAAGATGAAGATATTTTCGAGTGTTAAAAAGGTTTTTGGGGGGGTTTTTTTTGCATAGAGATTACACTAGCAAACAAATGACACCAAATAGATGATTGGGAAGGGAATTTACATGTGATCAACATCACATTTTTCATTTCTTTACACTAATTCCTTGAAAATTTCGATTTAGATTTAAGAAAAATCGCAAATTTCATCTTTTTAAGTATTTAAGTTAGTTAAGAATTAGAATTAAGTTACTTTTTAAGTAAAGTTGTTTAAGTAAAGTTGTTTAAATTGATTGAGCAAGTCAAAAAAAGCAATTCAAATAATATTGATAAGAAAAAGGTTTGTAAAATAAGGTTTGTAAAGATTTTGTTTGTAAAGTTTGTAAATTTCAATGTATTTTATGCTTTAAATCTGTAAAAACACCATTTCTAGTGCAATGAAAACAGTTTTTGTAAGAAAATTGAGAGTTTTCATGCATTCTTTGTATGAATTAAGAGTGAAAGATGGAAATTTCCGTTTAAAAATGGAAATTAGTTAAATAGTCCGTGATGTCACACGTTCTGTGGTAGCACAACAGATTCTGTGATGTCACAGCACGTTCTATGATCTCACAGCAGTTTCTATGATCTCACAGCAGCTTCTATGATCTCACAGCAGTTTCTATGATCTCACAGCACCTTCTATGATCTCACAGCACCTTCTGTGATGTCACACCACCTTCTATGATGTCACACCACCTTCTGTGATGTCACAGCATCTTCTATGATGTCACAGCATCTTCTGTGATGTCACAGCATCTTCTATGATCTCACAACACCTTCTGTGCTATCACACGTTCTGTGCCATCACAGGTTCTGTGTCTGTGCCATCACAGGTTCTGTGTCTGTGCCATCACAGGTTCTGTGTCTGTGTCATCACACGTTCTGTCCTGCCACAGCTATCACACTTTCCGTGATATCACACCTTCTCCGCTATCACATCTCTTTCAGCGCACTAGAAACGTTGCGTTTACAAATTTTAAGCATAAAAACAAGCAACAAACAAGCTGATAAGGTTAAACTTCCGATAAACTTTTTATAAAAGTTTTTCTTTTTGTTGAGAAAACTTTCTGACGCATGAGATGACAAAGAAAAAAAAAAGAAAATAGAAATTTTTGATGGAGAAAAGGTTTTAAGAACATTTTTGAATTCAATAAAGTAAAAAATAACTATTAAAAGTTTAAAAAAAAACATTAAAAATAGGAAATCTTCTTGAAAAATAAAAGGTTTTGAATTATTTTTTGGAAAAGAGATCATTGAGATTAAATTGAGAGATTTAGAGATAAGAAAGGGTTGTTTTTTTAAAACAAAAATCCCTTTATTTTGTCTCCTTTCGTATATAAGGCGGCACTTAATATAAGCTGGCACCCGTATACAATATAAGGCCGTATATAAGCCAGCCCGCATATATAAACCGGCACTCGTATATAAGCCGGTCCGCATATATAAGCCAGCCCGCGTATATAAGCCGGCCCGCGTATATAAGCCGGCCCGCATATATAAGCCGGCCCGCATATGTAAGCCAGCCCGCGTATATAAGGCGGTTCGCATATATAAGCCGGCACTCGTATATAAGCCGGCACTCCTATTTAAGCCGGCTCGCGTATATAAGCCGGCGTAAACGAATTACTTGTGCGGAACACACTTGTAATAAATGCTGCTTTCAAGATCAAAAATTGAAGATCTTTTGCTGAAATCGTGGAAGCAAAGAAGTGACTCTTGCGCGGCGAAAAACATGCGGAACACACCCAGAAGAAGAAACACTTCATAGAGACACCTCATTGTTGAAGTGGCGAGTGTTGGACCATGTTCATCATCAAATATTGCCCCTCTTTCCCCCCTTTTCCCACGATTTTTCGAAAAGACCGGGATGAACAAGGAATTCACGAGACAATTATTGTTTGACCAGCGCGAAAAGGGAAAGTTTTCTTGGTTTTGAACTGCTGAAATATTCAATTTCTATACACAATTTCGGGATTATAGAATGGGTATTGATCTTTCAAAAATTCAGCTCTGGGAAATTGAGAATGGGTTTAGCTGTGGAAATGAGCTGATTTCTAGCTAGATCTAAAGATCTAAAGCTCTAAATTTTCGATCTAAAGCTATTACCCAGTGCCATAAGATGGAAAACTAGAGTAGAGCTAGAGTAGCTTTTGCTTAAGCACTAGTTGCTTGTTGCTTGGCCAAGAGCAGGCTCAGGTTCGGCTATAGTCTAGCTTTAAGCAAAAAAAGAAGCCAAAGCTTTTTCAAAGCCCCACAAAAACATCGAAAGCTTGAAGAAATCACTGTTGAAAGCGTGGGAAGAGCTCGATCTAGTTTATTTGGTCCCAATAGCAAAATAGCAAATAAAGCAAATAAATAAGGTAAAAGATGGGCAACTTATGTAAAAGTTAGTGCGCCAGACGAGATGCGTTTGGTAGAAATTAGAAAGTAGAAATTCTTCTTTTCTACTAGTAGAAAGTAGAAATTCATAAAGAGAATTTAAAAGCTAAGATTTAAGAAAAGCTAAGCTAAAAATCACGTGAAAGTTCATTAAAACATCTGTGAGTTCAAGGAAAAGATGGATTTGGAAAAAAAGAAGAGATTTTCTCTGTTTAAGAGATTTCCTCTGTTTAATCTATTCCTTTTCCCCATGTGTGCCGATCGATTTCTTTCCAAAAATTGGGAAAACATTTCGAAAATTCTTCTTTTTCTGTTTTGAAAACGATTTCTATTTGAACTATACCCTAGAGAAAGCAAATAATGACAAATCAAGCCTGGAAGAAGCAAAAAGAAAAAAGATTCATAGATTTTTGCTTAAGATTAAGATTTTAGCTTAAGCTTAAGATTTTAGCTTACATTTCATGATCTTAAATAACCTTTTAGTGGGCTAGATGATTTGCGTTTCCGTCAAACACTTCGACGACTTTGTGCTTTGTGTAAACGCAAGATTCGGAATCGGCATGAAATTCTGCGTCGAATGGTATATGGCTCGTCCTTTGCCCACCACATCATTGACATCCATTTGTCAGTCTCGCACCGGTCCTTCCTCTTTACGAACGGTTCCAATACGGTTCCAATACGTTTCCAATACGGTCCCAACCCATCGTTGACATCCATTTGTCAGTCTCGCACCGGTCCTTCCTCTTTACGAACGGTTCCAATACGGTTCCAATACGGTTCCAATACGGCCCCAACACATCGTTGACATCCATTTGTCAGTCTCGCACCGGTCCTTCCTCTTTACGAACGGTTCCAATACAGTTCCAATACAGTTCCAATACAGTTCCAATACAGTTCCAATACAGTTCCAATACAGTTCCAATACAGTTCCAATACATCGTTGACATCCATTTCTCAATCTCGCACCGGTCCTTCTTCTTCACTTCACTCGAGAAAATGAAGCACCCCATGCTGCAGCATGTGCCAGATCGCGAGCGATTATGAGCGCGCACAAAGAACATCTACAAGGAATTGCAGGGATTTCCCTATAGATGACAGAAAAAAGATATTCAGCTGTAAACTTGTACCCAGGGGTTTTCGAGGTCGGCGAATCGATTGGAGCCATTCATTTTACCAAGTCTACTAGTTAGAACTCGAATTTGATCCCACATTCTAAGCATTGAAAATTCTAAGCACTTTGAAACTTTGAAAACACTTTAAAAGCTCAAATTCACAGCTGAATACTGATCAAATTCGAGTTCTAACTAGTAGACTCGGTAAAATGAATGACTCCAATCGATTCGCCGACCTCGAAAACCCCTGGATACAAATTTACAGCTGAATATATTACGGGAACGCAAGCAAAAAACTGAATTTCCTATTTTGTTTCCATTTTAAACCCATTAAATACATTTTTCCGCACAATACATTGCAAACTTTTAGCCAAAACGGAAAAACATGAGAACAATTGAAAAACAAACATCGTTGTCACAAAAAAATATCGTTTTTTTTTCCAATTCAACCATTGTCAAAA